CGGTAAGCTGGGCGTGGTGCGTGTGAATAGCAGCCCAGTCCGTACAACTTCCCGGAATTTGTACGGATAAGACGCATGGGGAATGAAAAGAGAATTGAAAAGATCGGAACATACCCTTTTGAATACACGGCTCCAAAAATAAGGTCGAATTAGGAACGGTACGGACAGAGAATGGGGGGTTTGGGGCCGATGGTTGGCGAAATAATGCTATGCTGTATCGTAAAATCAATGTGAGAATGCTTGCTGTAACACGTTGGTTGAATCGGCTGGTGGACCGAATAAGCAACCAAATTTCGTGAAATAATAGATAGGCAGCTTGAGATGATACCAAAGAGGATCTGAACTAATGAGAACTTTCCGGGGGGTGTCCTATTGAGTAAGGAGATTGTCGGATGAATGTCGCGGCCTTCACCTCTTTAATTTTTATTTTCTTGCTTAGGAGCTGAGCGATGCTGTTGTGCTGGGGAATTGGTTTTCCTTTCCTTGGTCGAAAAAAGGCTAACTTCGATTGATAAGCCAATCGCATCACATCATTGGCCCAACTCAATCTGTCCTCTTCCATGCGGAAAGATCATTTCATTCTCCTTGCATTCGAATTGAATCGGTATAGAAGAAGAATAAAATGTTCCTTACTCGCTATTCTAGTGTTAACAGCTTCAAGTACCCTAAAATCCTTTGGTTAGTAGATTGAGTGAGTGAGGTATAGTAAATGAGAGAGATAGTAGTGTGTTGGATCAGCATGATTGGTTCCCGGTCGTGCCTGTTCCTGATGCGGTGTGAAATTTGTGGTCGCTTTAACCCGTGGACATAAGTGTTTTTTGTACCATGAGAAATCGGGGACATAAAGGAAAAGACTTGTCGCTCCAAAAATTGGGTAAATAGAAAGACGATGAAATGAGGAATGGTTTTCAAGATATGAAGAAGTTTCTACCATCATTTGACGTGGTGAATCCATCATTTCCAATTTGTAGCATTAGGAAAAAAGGAAGGCCGCCCTGTCTTTCTTGACTAGGTTTGTGATAGTGGCAGGTAGGAAAGAGGATACAAGAGGAACGGAGAATTTGAATGAATTCAAAATGACTCGAAAGCAGAAAGGAAATGAAGAATCAAAGAGAAAGTGAAAAGAGGCGAATATGATACTCAGGAAGAAAGATAGGATGAGAGAAGAAAAAAACAGGAACAGAGGAAAAAAAAGAGGGGGAATGGAGTTTTATTTAATTGTTCAAAGGTGCAGGGCCAAATTGGAAATCACGTTTCCCGCCAGGATATAAGCTTTTGGCGTATAAATCATTGCCTTACAGAAAAGATCAGATTGATAGGTTACAAATGCTGTCTGTCTATGAAAGGTACCTATGCTGGTATGCTGGTATGGTATTTCGTTCCTGTTTTTAGTTCTCTAGACCCATTTCAATTTCTCCTCACATCATCGAGATACCGCACACAGACCAATAATCCCGCTACCGTTACAGAACATACCTCTGAAGTTGGGGATGAGATGAATGGGATGATTGAGACGAGATATCGATGGGATATCGGTGGGACGATGGATGGTTATACCAAGTTTATGACATTGAGTCTTTCTCCGTGAGGTACTCGTACCAATATCACCCTGGGAACTCGTAACATATTTCCCGGGGAATTCGTTTGACAATTCCTGCATGTTTCTTTATGATACCGGTACGTTTGTGGTATGTGGATGGCTTCGATTGACATCCACTAAGTGAAAGGATTTAAAAGATAGACCGGAAAATCTATACCAAGGTTGTTGATCAATGAATGCATCTGGGCTTCTTTTTTATTACTATCTAGATAACTCCGCTACTATTACCTACTTCCTCCATCATTGGCAGCCGGAGATCCTTGATTCTCTATTAATGGTTAAACCCATACTGATTTTATCGAAATTAATGATAGCTATGAAATGCTGAGCGTAGGTAGGTCAATGAAGAAAGTTATGGTGTGTGATTTTGTGATCATTACCACGTATCATGATTCCTGCATTTGAGACGATTCATCCTGCAAGCAATGTGCCGTAAGATTACGACTTCTCGCGTCTTCTTCCCTCTTACTCATAAGATTCCTTGGGGCCGGCTATCCGAATCTGTCGTTTGGTGATTGTGGAGACCAGAATATCTTGTTGGAGGTGGCTCCGTGGGAGCACGAGAGTTTGTGGAAGGATCAGTTGAATGTATGATTTTGACGGAATGGCGTTCATGTTGCAAGGAACTTTTATGGGAGGAGCACCTTAATGGTCTATCAAGTATGCATAAGACCGGGTCCAATAGGTAGATTTTAGAAAGCCCAGAACAGTAGTATGGATGGATTGACACACGTTAAATGACAAATGAAGAATGAGGAGCGAGGAATAATGGCTGATAGTTATAGGGATAAAAAGAAAAGCTATCTCCTCCTATTTTGGAGTTGGCCGACTTCAATGCATCCATCCTCATACTTGCTTAAAAGACTCGTCCCATGATCCAAATGAGTAATATTGTCTATATACCTATCTCGATGTTGCAGGGCTCTTTGGTAGGTGGTATGAAAAGGGAGGAGTGCAGATGGTGTAACTGGGGCACAACAGATTAATATGGTTAGTTCTGGTGGCTTTTGAATTTTAGTTTCGGCAGGCACGAGGCTTCTTGGTCGTCATTTCTTTCGCTTAATGAAGTTTGGGAAAACGCCGAGAAGGTTTAATCCCTGCGTGGGTCCATCATAATCTACGGATTATGTTAAAGCTTTGGAGATACCTGGTAAATGCATCGAATCATTTGTTAGCTTATCTACGGAGAACTGTACGTTTGTACTAGACTACTAGTGCTCAAGCAGGGACTCACGCATCTCTTTTTCATTGCATAAACATTCGGGATTCTAACGCAGCTCTGGTGCTCCATTGTTTACCTTGACTACCTGGTACTGAGCAGCAATAGACAATCCATACTTCGTACATAAATAAAAGACACCATAACAACAAGATGGTCAAAAGAAAAGCCAAAGAAATTGGAGATGAAATTCCTGTACGTGTAGAACCTCGAAGATCCAGTCGACAGAAAACAAACAACAACAATAACAATAATGAGAGCTTGAAGGAAGAGACTACAACTTCATCAACTTCTCAAGCTTCAAGCCGGAATAAGGAGAACAAGAAGAAGGTGGCAAATGGGAACCCCACAAGAGTTGCTGAGGTCAACGGAGAAGTTACTGCGCCAAAATCAAATACTGTAGGTCCATACTTCCCGTTATTCTCAATTCTTCTCATATGAAGGGTCCTACCGTCTATCTATCCACGGTGGATCGATCTATCTACCCACTGTAATTAAGTCTTACATTGATTTTGTCTCATATTTTTATCCACAAGGAGTTCTCTTGGACGGGCAAGTGCTCTTCACAAATGGGTTTACATATTCATTTCATTTCATCTCATTCATGCTCTTCACATTTTTGTCAATTCGATTTCTATCTTAGCATTTTTGGAATTTAATCAGCGGATCATTCTTAGAATTCTATCAAATCTACCCAATCATCTCTACTAAATGGCACCGAACCTACATCAACGGCCGTCTCATCAGCAGAGTCCTCAACACGTCAATATTGGCTCATGAAAGCTGAACCAGAATCACGTATTGAAAAAGGTCATGATATTAAATTCTCCATTGATGATTTGGCAGCGAAGACTGAACCAGAGCCTTGGGATGGTATGTTATTCCTTACATATGTATTAATATGTCAACATCAACACTAACATTTTCAAAGGAATACGAGCATATCCAGGTATGTCACCTTACAATGCAGTTTTACAATTAAATCACTTACACACACTTTAGCACGCAACAATCTTCGTGCCATGAAGAAAGGAGATCTAGCTTTCTTTTACCATTCATCCTGCAAAATCCCTGCAATCGTTGGAATCATGGAAATTGTTCAAGAACATTCTCCCGATCGTAAATATCTCCACGATTCTATTCTTCCATTATCCATACTAACTAGAACTTTAGTCTCAGCACATGACCCCACCGCCCCATATTATGATTCTAAATCATCACCGGATGATCCCAAGTGGAGTGTAGTACACGTTGAATTCCGCCAGAAACTCAAAACTCCTATCACGCTCAAGGAAATCAAAGCCTGGTTTGAAGAAAAGGGAAATGCTCTGAATAACATGCAAATGTTGAAACTTGCACGATTGAGTGTGAGTAAAGTAAGTAGTGATGAGTGGAGATTTCTGGTAGGTGAAATGGAGAAGAATGGAGATGTGGTTAGGGAGTAGAAGTTTCGAGATGCGATGGAGAAATAATGCTTAAATGATGCCCATAGGATATGCGTTATATGGATTGATTCTTTGAGCTTAGGATAGTGATGTAAAATACCAGGTTATACGATAATTTTCCAATGATCAACTGAGGAGATAATGCGGTTCTATTCCTATTTTACTCTACTTTCCTCATACGAGTAAGTAGAATGCATGTCACAAAAGCATATCTTTTCCTTCATATCTGTATATTTACCACTGGGTATTCAATGATTCAATTTCATACATACATCCTCATCCTCCTTTTTATTCTTATTCTTATTCTTATTCTCATTCTCATTTTACACACCAAATCACACCACACCATATATCCACAAAGCAGGATATCCTCAAACCCCCACATTCAAATCATCATCCTATTTATTCCAACCCCATCCATTCACAGCGCATCACATCTCATCTCAACCCATCATATCACAGCAAAATAAAATAATACAAAATAAAGTGAAAGTTAAGAATAAAACAAAAAAGAACCCACTCGCTTGTTTGTTTACATTATTTTCCTTCTTTTTATCTTTATATTTATACATCTATAGTTATAGCTATAGCTATATATCTTTCTGTATTAGATTTCTTCACTTTTTAGAGGGGATGGAAGATGGAAGATGTTGGAGTGTGGGGAGATGATATTGGGGGGGAGATGGGTAGATAGGTATGAAGCAGGTTGAGGACATTTTATGTGTGTGTGTGAGTCTGAAATTAAAATGTAATATCCTCTTCTTTTTCCTCTTCTCATGTCTACTTTCACGGCATAGGATAAAGGCAAAGAAATAAGAAGGGATATTACTATTATACTTATCTTTGGTAACATGATCAGTTTATATCATATCTACTTTCTCTTAAATTAATTTCTGAAAAATTTGGGGTATCTATTATGGGATGGAAGATTTGATGGATTTGATATCATGTATAATTTTTGGAAACTTTGAAGTGAGGAAGTTGGAGGGAATGAGGTAGTAGCAAAAGCTACATGTTTGTTCATATGAGGGCTACCAGGCTATGGTTTTAGAAGACGAGATATATAGGTGATGTTACATGCATTTTCATCTTCGGAAACGAGTTCTGTCTTCGCTCAAACTACCTACTTCATGATTAATGTAAGATTACTATGCTGTGATTTATATTCTATTTCCGATCTGAAATAAAAATAAAGTAAAATATAGGCATCCATGACTTAATACCTATCTCATTCCTTTCACCTTCCAACCCTCATCTCAATATATTGCTACACAAATTAACCCACCTTCTTCAACAATAATACCGAATAAATGGGAAATATAGTTTAATGGTAGAATATTCGCCTCTTGGTGTGAGGTTGATTCGACGTTAGATGCCGACGGGCTGGAGGCTAAGGGGTCGTTTCAACTCACCGGGTTCGTGGGAGATGAGAGTTCGATTCTCTCTGTTTCTAATCTTTTCTTCTTTGTTTTGGTGGGGAGGGTTGATTGGGGAAGTTTTGGGGAATGGGGGGATGAGGGAATGAGGTGTTATGAAGTGTTGAGGTTATGTATCTAAGGTTACTGTGATTTTTATAGGAACCAACCTTAGATAATAGCTATTGAAAGTGATGTTTGGTGTGACTGGAAGTCATGATGAGTTTGACTTGTTTAGAGGTGCTGGGTAGGATTAGATAGTCGAAAGTGACTTGTGAAATATGGTTTCATCTTTTGAGAATAATTTTTGATTTGCCAACAGCCAATTGTGAATCGGAATAAATATAAATTGAGCGGAAGAATGTTTTAATTGACGTAGGAACCAACAGAATTTACCACCATTTGAGCCTTGAGAAAAACATGTATGTTTGCTGCATGATTTGTGTACTATACAAACTAGTGTTTGATGACCCCGATGTTTCCTTCTAAACAATCAGACAAACAGACTGAGACTAATTGACAAAAGAAGATATTCCCGCACGCCAAAGAATGAATTATATTATACTGATTTAATACTGGCCATAGTATATGAATTTACTAGTAATGGAAGCAAGTAACATGTACTTGCTGCACGTGGCGGTTAGAGGACCTGCGGCAAACAGATGAATCAGACTGAATCGAGAGACAGCTGAGTACGATTGGACTCTCAATGAAGAACATGATATCAGTAGAAATGTAAGATATGTATGACAAATGACTAGAACGGCGAAAAGGGAAATTGGCAGAAAGGCACTACCGAAGAAGAAGAACAAGCGAAGAGAGGGAGTTAAAGTACCTATCTAAAGGAAGTAAAGTGGATCTAGAATTAAGCTTTAGAGACACTAAAATTGCCGGCAGGATTCTGCCAAAAATCTAGCAAACTAGTACGCCAGATATATAACTTGTATAGAAGGAGTTGAGGTAATGAGGAATCTAGACATATAAGCTTACATACAAGATAGCTTGAGTTGACAGTATGATCGCCAATGATAGAACAAGAATATTTACAGATACAAAGGACTTCCAATGTGTCTCTTGTATACTCCCAAGCTTTATTTGAGCATTCCACCACATTTCATCAAGGCAATGCCTTTAGTCTTCTGGTACCACTGACCTGGATAGTGGAATTGACGTTAACAATTCACCCCGGATCGGAGATTTGCTAATTGATGCATTAGCAATTTAACCGAATTATATTGATTATGTAAGTGCAGATGATTTGGGTGGGTCCGCAAGGCTGTAGTGCTGCTGGAAACTAAGGAAGAAGGCTACAGCTACATTTGGATTCACTGTACAGTGTTTGCTTGAATTTATCTTAGATCTCCAGCATCAAGTCCTCTTCTTTTACTTGTACAATATTCCAGAGTGGACTCAGCACACGAGGATTCCATTCAATACCAACATCCTGTACCTTCTTTAATTACGCTGACACAAAACTCTTACTTCTTTTGTAATTTCATATACTTCATTCAAGCGTTTTTGAGCCGTTTCGATAAAGCTCTCTGAACATCTAACCCGTACATAAAGTTAGATCAGGTCATATAATTCGAAACTTCTTCTTAGAAAGACGGTGTCTTTGGTCGATAAAGCTTAAGAATCTGCAAGAAATCTTGATCTTCCCATCATACATTAACAGGTCACCATGAACGACTCTACTAATGGGCATAGCACAACTACCAACGAGGTATCAGCTGCACAAACAAATGGAAACACGGCATTATTATCACAAATCCATGAAGCCCTAGAACTTGTCCATAATCCGTATTCCTCCAATCAGTCTCGTCAACAAGCGTCAAGCTTTCTAGAGAATATCAAAGCCGAAGACGAAGCTCCTTATCATGGTTTTACCTTAGCATCCGATAAATCTCAACAGCCAGTCGTACGCCACTATGCACTTTCTCTCCTAGAGCACGCGATAAAACATAAATGGGCAGCATATTCGGAAGGGCAAGCAAGTGCGTTGCGGCAATGGGTTATTCAACTCTCCGAGAATCTAGTCCAAGAGGACCCCTTATATCTGCGAAATAAGACAGCGCAACTTTGGGTAGAAATTGCAAAAAGAAGCTGGGGATCAGAATGGACTGATATGGATAAACTTCTTGTGAGATTATGGGAGCTTCCGGGCACTGTGGTTCACAAAGAGTTTGTTCTGTTTGTTCTCGAGACCCTCTCCGATGAGGTCTTTAATGGTGAAGATGCTGTCACCGTTTTACGAGAGGGCGCTCTGAGCAGAGCTTGTGTTGAAATCTTTACACCAGCCGTTGTGCTATCGGAAGCATTCCCAAATCGACAGCTAGGTACCGTTTTGAGACATGGAGATGAAGGTTGGCTAGTAAGAATTGGAGAATTGCTTGGCCAGTGCCTTCAACTGGACATTTCGGGTCCTCAGTATCAGAGTTGTGCAGTTAAGATATTAGCTGTTTACAGGTCTGTGGTGCCCTGGACCGTACCCAAAGCCATATCCACTGCTCAATGCGTTCAATATATGTGCAAATGTCTCGCTGCGTCTAGTACGCCAGTGCAACTGGTAAGTTTCAAGAAGTACCCATGAGGCGAGCCTACAGCACTGATACCTCCTAGGCATCTGTTCAAGCTCTATTTGCACTTTATACTCGCGTGCATTTTTCGGATGAAGAATTTATAGAACTCGTATGTCCGATGTATACCAGTGAAGTGGTTGGTTTACTACGAAATCTATTCCAGTGGTCCATAGTAGACGCCAATGATATTGATGATGAAAAATATCTATTTGCCAAAAAGTTTTCCGAGGTTTGATACATTTTTGAAAATCTCGTGTTCTAACTGACTTCATGTAGATGATGTCAAATCTTGGATTATTCGTAGAGTCAAGAATTTTAGCTATACCCGAATCTTCCGATCTCCCCAACCTTTTGAACCTTTTCCTTGCCATTGCTCAAAGTCAAAGTCTTGTCGTTTCGATACCCGTTATACTTACCTGGACAAAATTACTTCGCTCACCAATGATTGGAGCGTCTTCTTTCATAACCCCTTTGATCGCACCTCTTTTAGAACTTTGTACTTCACGCCTCATTCGATATGAGAACATGCCAGATGACTGCGAAGATCCGGAGTACATATTTCTGAAAGAAGACATCGATACGCAGCCAGAGAGACATGCATTCCTTGGGAATTATCGTCGTTATTGCTCTCAAGTCATAGAGCTTGTTGTTAGACAAAAGCAATCCGAGGCTTTATACCATATATTAGGTCAAGTGGATAACTCTTTGCAGCATCTTTATGATGGATGTCCAGCTTTTACTGGTAATTAGCCCCGTAGATTTTACATCACAAATGATTGACTAGATTTAGTGGAAAACTATTCCAAAACTTCAATTCCAATACTACGAGTCGATAAAAATTTCACTGTAGTAGAAGCAGCACTAAAGGGATTTATGAAATGGCGCGCGGGACATGGCGCCGATCCTCAACGAGATGTAAGCAGAAGCAGGATGTATTTAACACATGTAACTGATTATTACTAGGAGCAAGAGCGCACAAGCATAGAGAGTAATTTAGAAACTTGGTGTGAACGATTCTTAAAGCTTAGATTCGAGGTATGTTGTGGTCATGCTATTCTTGGTTTAGTCTGACCTCTTCACTAGGATCCAATAATTCAAAAGAGAATTATACAGCTTGCGGTCGCTCTTTCGACGACCGCTTTAGATAAGAAAGTCGGCTTCATGTTGAAAGTCTTAGAGCATATCTTGATGATACAACCAATCGAATATCCAAACGCCCCTGCTTATAACGAAGCTGTGAAAGAGTTACAGACAGAGTCCGCTTATGAGTTACAACGACTAGCCGGGAAAATGCCTGATCAATTATTGGTAAGTTAGTTCGAAGTTGTCAAGGGGTGCTACTAATTTAAGCTCGCAGGACGTCTATGATCAGCTCGAAGCGAAGGTCAATGAAATCATTTCTACCAGAAACCTTGATAAAAAACGCCAGACGTCTTATCAAACTTTCTTATTCACAATCATGTATGTTTCTGTCTTCCAGTAATCTTTCAGATACAATGCTGATTCTAGCAGCCATCGGAACTCAAAGATTGATCCGGAAATTCGCCTCCAGAAACTGAAAAGGTTTTTGACACCTGTACAAACAAGCTGGCAGGATCCAGAAATGAATAAGGCGATTGAAGGTTTCAATGGGTTCTGTAACTTACTCGGATTGAACCGCGTAAGAGACTTCCTTGTCACAAGGCGAGTTCACGAGATTCAGGATTGGTCGACATATCAGCTAGACTCCGAGGCGCAATCAATACAGAAAGAAATGGAGGAGAGATTAAAGGTATGTCGAATGTTTGATATGTGAAGTTGTTACTGATCTATATCCAGGCGTTACCTTTGAGAACTACAAAATCATACCTAGGTTGCTCAACAGAGAAACTGGATAAAGAAGACCCGGCGTATAAAATCACCTGCAACTTATGGCGAAATGCATTACCTATCATACTACCAAATCTTCTCAAGTACCTAAGGTAGTAGATATTTTCTCTTTATTAAATGCTCTTGCTAACCCTTTAAGTCATGCTCATGCTTTCCATAACCCCGCGAATTGGAACGAACTTCCCCCGGAAATGTCACCTATTGTTAGTCGCATTTTGACAGACCGCTTCTGGCAAGCTGGAATATCTGTTGGGAGTAAAGACGACTTCTACGCTAGGGTCACTGGTACCAAATCTACTATGGAGGGTCTTGCATCATCTATACGAGGCTCAATACGTACCGTGAGAGAGTCTTGTTATTCAATACTTTATTGCATGAGTCGTTTGGATGTCGACTTTTATGGATTCAGCGAGCTCCCTGGACCTCTTGCACATGCTCTATTTGCGGATGCGCATTGCCTGTCTTCGCATCAACTTATTGCGTTGTTGAATGTTGTGCGACTTATGGTGGATGATTGTCCAGTGGAAGTTCGATCTCATTTCGTACCTCCTATATTGGCTTCTTGCTTCACTCAAATGGATGCTAAATGTAGTTCCGAATGGGAAAGACTTTCTCATAAAGAGGTGGTTCCTGCAGATGAAGACACTTTGACTGAAGAGATGAAAGAAGAGAGCATATTGCGACAATTGACATATACATCTGTCATGATGATTGCTGGATTTTTAGATCCAGCACGACCAAGTAAGCTATCACGTACTTTTACTTATACGGCCATAGCTAACACTTTACCAGATATTGGAAGCGCTCCTGCGCCAAGGTCAGCCAAAGAGGCTTCGACCTTTGTTCAAACTCAAGCGAACGCATATCCAAGCATGAGAACGTTTTGCCTCACATCATCGGCCATTCTAGAATCTCTTCTACTCTTCCTTACTCACGCAGTTCGCATGCGAGATACCCGTTGCTGTAGTGTTGTTCTCCGCGTGTTCCGATCAATCATCCCTGATTTTGATTCTGATAACGAATCGCCCCTCGCTTCTTCCATTCGAGAATTTATCAGCACCGAAGTCCTTAAAGCTGTTATCTCATCACTAAATGAACCATATTTCGTAGACTTACAAAAAGATCTTGCTCACGTAATTGCATCGATTCTAGTTTCTTACGGACCAGTTACAGCAACCCCGAAACAAATCCTCCTCAGTTTACCTGGTATTCAAGGGAAAGCAGTAGATAAATGTATCGAAACATTAGGAAGACAAGGAAGTCAACAGAGAACCCAGAGAGCGCTAGTATTGGATTTGTTGAAGGATCTAAAGGGTGTGAGTATTAGTGAACAGGGAAGGATCTCAAAGAGTGCGAGTGTAGTGAGGAAGGAGAGGAGTAAGATGCAAGAGGCTTTTATGAGGGGTCCCGTTGATGCTGATAAGAAGATTAAGAGTGAGATTGATGATTTGGAGGGTGTGGCGGGGCTTTTTGATAATTGATGGGGGTAAGGGGGGTTGTTGGTAATGAGGATAGGGTGAGTGAGTGTGAGGAGAAGATGAAGATGAGGGGTGTGGATGGTTATTGATGGGGAGAAATAGATGGAGGAGTTTCGGTTGGTGGTGAGTTGGAAGGTACCTAGTTAGAGGTAGTAAAAGGAAGGGAAGGGAAGGAAAGTAAACTAAAGTAAAGTGTGTTCACAGTGGTTATTACAGCGCCCTGACTGGGTTGATGGGTGTGTTGTTAGCTATTTTTTATTTATACTATTCAGATAGATAATGAATACTTGTACTTATGTAGATTTTATACTGGGTACCTTATAATAGGTAATATAGGTGATAGATGGGTCAGTGTCAGTATATGTAATCTTATCTTGGATTATTAGAATCCAAAAGTATACCAAAAATCCAAAACTCAGTAATTGATTGGGGGAATAAGTAAACAAGTAAGTGATTTGAAGAGATGAAATGTGTATGTATGTGTATGTGTGTGTGTGTGTGTGTGTGTGTGTGTGTGTGTGTGTATGTGTCTTTGTGTTTGTGTTTGTGTTTGTATATGGATACTTGGGAGAAATTCGAATAACTTACAACTGGGGTTGGATTGAGAGGGTATGGGATGGATTTGAGCGCGGAACCTGGGTTGGATTTAGGGATGTTCTGTATGGACAGATGGATGGATGAATGATGAATGAATGAATGATTAAATCTTAGGATCTGTACGAGGTTTTTTGTGAGTACGATTAGGGTCAGAGTCAGTCTCAGGATTGAGGTTGGTCGGAGGCTGAATTGTGCTGGAATGGGTTTGGGTTTGGGAATGGGAGAGTTGAATGGGTAGGCTGTTGAGATAGGTAGCTGGTAGGAAAGGATATTAATAGTGTTAGTGGTACGTGGTGGTGGTGATTGTGCTGGTACTGGTGATGGGAAGGTATAGTGGTGAAGGAGCTAGGAAGAGATGAAGGTTATGAGGGAGACATGTATGAGGAAGAGATGGATAAGGAAGAGGTGGAGCATATAGAGGAGCTGACGATTTGGTTATGTGGTAAGGTGGTGGCTGGTATACAATGAAGTTCAGATGAAACGTTATGCGTATTCCATATAGGGGGACGGTCTTCAGATGATTTAGCTCTTGTATATGTATGTATATGTATTTAGAAGTAAAAATAAATGTACATGCAGAAGTAAAACTAAAAGGAGAAAGAAATTGACAATAAATCGGGCGAAGAAGATCTGGTGGTGAGTGTAGGGTGACTGATGTATAATTTTGATACTGGTATGAATAATAGATAATGATATCCACGATATAATGATGAAAAGTAGCAAAGTCATAAAAAAGTAAATAAAAGACTCTCAACAAAGAACAGTAAGTAACAAGTAAAGTTATCATGCCGTGTTTGATTCTGAGCTGAGCTGATATCATGAAAAGTGTGGTTGATGTTACCCTGATGCATCAATAGTATGTATGCTATGTAGGTAGGTAGATATGTAATGTAGATATGCTATAGTAGGTAACCGGGTACTGGGTTCTTATTATACCTTGTTTTTCTCGAGATGGGGGAATACGGAGTATGTAGATGTATGGTGAGGATTGGCTTGGCGTTTGGATGAGGAGGATGAGATGGGAGGGTGAGGAGAGAGAGGAAGGGGTGAGGAGGAGGTTGCTTATGGTATGTTTGATTGATTGATTGATCTATTGAGGAATTGATGGAGATATTGACTCTAAGACTCTAAGGTTACTGGTCGGTGTAGATTGGATGAGGTTACTAGGCAGTACATTCAGTTGAATATACCTGCGTGTCGAAGAGAGATGATGGTGGTAAGAAGGAGTTAGCGTGCAACTTGATGTTGTTCCTCTCATACACGCATCTTACGTCAAAGTCCTAGAGAAACGTCTACAATCCCTAAAGAAGAGAAGCATGCCCTACATGTCACTGACAGCAAGCATATCAGTCAATTGAACCATATTAACAAGAAAAATTCCCATATATAAAAGCATCGATACAAATTTCCAAACTCAAGAATCACGAATACATTCCAATTCATCCTCCCTCATGAACTCTATCACATTACCAAATCATCTTACCAACCTCGACTTTGCCGGTAAGTCCTCCGTGACAAAAGTGCCGGAGGCTCGGAGTGTAATCAAGGTCTCAGGGGACTTCCATTCGCGAAATATCATCCAATCATATCATCTCCATCGAATCTAGAAACATTAAGCGATGTCACTGATACCCCAGTCGTTCACTCTAGGATACTTAACCTAGTATTTATCCCTGATTGGAATTTATTACGCTTGAATCGCTTATCATGGGTGATTGGAGTGGATAAGTTTTGTGCTTTTTTTGGGAGGCAACGGGTCGATTGATGAATGTAAGATCTTATTTCTTATTAGGAAACGTGATTTGAAGGAAGATGATGCATTGATGGAAGAAACCTTGCTGGTGAGAGATCTTGGGGATGGAGGAATTCACAGCCGGATGATAGGAAGTGTAGTATAGGGTAGGATAACGGTTCGGTATCTGCAGAGTAGGATCGAAATCTGAGATGGTCTGATGGATTAAGGCTGGAGGGTGTCTTGCATTAAAGGTTACATTGTATTTGTATTGGAGTTGTAAGATCTTGATTGATAGTGTGGTGAGAAGTAAGAAAATAAATGGGAATATTTTATGGTAGAATAGCCAGCCATCTTACTGGAGCATAATTCATAGTTGACCATGGTTCATTAGGGAGTGGATTTGATTTTGACAGATTCATTAGACCGGGTGGAACTTTCTGCACGGGATCAGATTCAGTGCCGACCGATACTTAGAATGAGTGACCTGCGGTAGATTCCATCATAACGGGACCGACCTAAAAACGCTTCAGGGCGAAAAAGTAAAGAGCTAAGTAACTCCATAAATTATTCCCATTACCGTTAAATATCAAACGTCAATTGACTCAGATTGATTTTAATTTTATGGGGGGAGATTTTACTGTTTTTATTCACTTGATAATTGATAAAGTGTTGTTAAGGATACTTTTATATACATCAGTAGACGAGTAGATACTAGGTACTTGAGAATGAATTGAATGCGTGCATGTCAATAGATATACTCCGTATAGCTGTATGATCTAACTTTCAATCAATCCAAGCCATGCAACAAACTTACGACATATTCGTACCCTTTCCGAGATCTACCAAGAAGTAAAAGGTAGATCTTTCGCGGCAATATTACCTGATCTATGATCTACCCCATTTGCGGACATATCCATGTGCGCGTATGTAAGAAGGCCTCCAATAGTTTTGACCCATACCTGGCATATTGGCACATATAATAATCACACTGTGCATTTTCACTTGCATCAATTGTCCGAGCGAGCACAGCACCGAGCACTGCAGTCTGCATGAGAACCACAACAGTCGTTGACACTTATTTATTTTGTCATTTAGTTTAAGAACTATCGGTTCATGAACGAGATTAGGTTCTCGAGCGTAGATTTTGAAAGCTAACGGGAATGTCTTGGATTATAACTAATTTCACCAACGGTCGCACGATAAGATGGAATTGGTTGGTATCTTTGCTTGATGATGAATTTGATTGACCATATACATGTACTCACAGTCTCACACACACATCCCACACATCCCACACATCCCACACCATTAGCTTTGATAAATTTTCCATTTTAGAACTCTAGCTTCGACTCTATCAAATGCCCCACTCCCCCCTATGCCAACATCTCAAATAGGATATCGTGTTTTACACAATTCTCCTTACAATTTCCTTATTTCCCGTACGGCCATTCTATTTAGAACTTCTCTTCTCGACTCAGATCACCAGATTCTATTCAAGGATAATGAGGTCCTTTTGACATCTTTTTAAATATTTTAGATCCATTTTTGAAGTCCATCTTCCATCCAGTGACAGTTTGAATGTAAATTGTTTGGTCTGTGCTTCCCCTCTCCCCCTGGTCTCAAAACCCATCAAAACCCATCAAAATAGTTCCAAGAGGGGTTTGAAATGATCGCCCAGAGGTCTAGCTTTCAGGGGTTTCCTTGACTAAAAGGATACATTTTGCATCAAACTATTCCTTCTATCGTCCGACCAGCTGCACGATTGATTCAACCTGTTGCTTCCTTCCCTTTTCACCCCCTTCCCCCAGCTTTATTTGATCTTCTTTGATCTTCGAAACCATCTATTCCGTACCTAGTAGTTTTGCGAAAATACTACCTTACTAAAGTCACTTCTCTCGGGAGTTACATTACAAACAATACTAGGTACTACTTGCTGTCGGTGCTTTCAAACAGCTTCAAACAGTTAAACTCATGACTATCAGTATCCTGACTAACTCATGTCATTTCATCTCGTCTCTTCTTTCATCTAAACCATATACCCTGAATAGTTTCCTCTACCTATTGCTATCAAGTCATTTATTATAAATCCCGTTTTACATACTTGTTCCACATACTTATTTCTAGCGATTTATCCTTCATTAACTTCCTAGTCCTGATTCTGGCCGAGGCAACCGGAAGAATAAAGCTTGTTCTAGCTTGTATCAACGGGCTCTTACCGAGCTGTAACTTCATATGTTAGTTTCAGATTTAAGCACAGCCATTTGTTAATATCGCATGGGCTTTAGACCCTCGTCCAATATACAGTTACTACACAATCGCAGTAACTTATTCCTTTCCTCGAATTCCTTATTGGAAACCTGATTAAGAAATTGGATCAATCGATTGTGGGCATAAAGGAAAAGAAGTATTGAAACAAACTTGTTGTTATATTAAGGGTTCGTCTTGTCAAAGTATAGACAAGGAAGTGAAGCTATATCAAGATGGTATACTGTGGCAAGCCTTCACGGGGCTGCCAGATGTGCAGAACTCGAAGGATAAAGGTGTGGTATCTTCATTGTATTTCTTAAAGAACCTTTAAAATGCTAATATCATACTAATAGTGTGATGAAACCAAACCGACTTGCCTCCAGTGCCAAAAATCAAGACGACAATGCCCAGGATATAAGGATGACTTTGATCTCGTCTTTCGTAATGAGACGAAAGCTACAGAAAGAAGAGCACGACGATCACTAAAGAATAAGAAGGGTAACAATAATAATACCCAAACTGGATCCGGGAATCGCAGTGATGGGGATCGCAAATTCTCAATTGTGTCTAGCGCAGGTGCCGATGCTGAAATAATGTATTCAACGACTGGAATGGACCCCGCCAAGTTTGAATCTGGCGGCAATGATCCTACCTCATCAGATGCATTGGGATTACAGATGGGCTTCACTAGTTCCATCGAACAACAAGCACCATGTTATTTCATGTCAAATTTCGTTATAATACCACAAAGCGGACAGATACGAGGCTCTTTTGACTGGGTGTTACCATTAATCAAGACGGAACCTTCTGACTCGGCTTTATCACTTTCATTTCAAGCTGTAGCGATGGCTTCTCTGGCGAATAGACCAAGCGCAAGAGGAAGCAAATTGATGTATTTGGCTATTGACCAATATGCAAAGGCCTTGAAGGTGGTTAATTTGGCGTTACAAAATCCAGTACAACAAAAGACCGATCAGACATTAGCATCGATTCTTTTACTAGGATTCTTCGAAACCGTCACACAAGAGAAAACGAGTATCACGGCTTGGGGTTCACATATCGATGGAGCTGTACAGATAGTGAAGATGAGAGGCAAGAAACAGTTAAGGACGAAAGTTGGCGTTGCTTTATTTCAAAGTGTCCGAGGACAAATGGTAAGCTCATTGCCTCTCCATTAGGGATGTTAATACTGATATGAGCATAGCTTGTCAATTGTCTTTCTTCATCTAAAACTCCCACGTTAGGAACCGAATGGTGGTGTGCCGATGCTCAAAAAGATGAAGGGGCCGCTTTCGTCAATAGACTAAATCTTGAAGTCGCTGAACTTCGTGGCGATATAAATAGGATACTAATGTCACATTCACGATCACCAGAGACTAACGAATTAGTCGGTGAGATCATGCATCGTGCTCTGGAACTAGAGCTGGAGTATGAGAAATGGGAAGAAACGCAGACGAAGCAAACAGTAGCTTGGGTGGACAATGTCCCCGGAGGTGATATCACAAAAGCTGATGTATGTCCCGGAAGAGTCGATCTCTATTCCGATGTCTTTTCCTGCTCTTCATGGAATTTCTCACGCGTATCGAGGATTTTCATCGCCGGCATTGTTATCCGCTGCGCAGCGTGGATTTGCTATCCTGTAGACTATCGTACTACACCTGAATATGCGCAAATGTCGAGGATGGGTCAGGAAATGATTTGTGATATTATCGCCTCTGTTCCATTTATGTTTGGATGGCACTTGGATAGTGAGGGACGATTGAAACCGGGCGATATCATGGGTGGTGGGGAGGATGTTATGGGTGTTAAGGCTTTGGGGGGTGTGTATACGATTTGGCCGTTGTTGACGGTTAGCTGTAGTGATTTTACGACGGATTCGCAACGTTTGTGGATTAAAGGACGGTTTAAATTTATTTCCGAGGTTATTGGTTTGAATCAGGCGAAGGTGGTTGGTTGTGTATGTTCTCGTCTTATCCTCCTTCTTACTTTCCTACTCATCTATCCATCTACCCGCTTTACATGTAACGTTTTCTCAACAAACCACTAACACTATTTAAAAAAAGCTACAACTCCGACTCCCCTCAATGATCGTCCGTCGCGATAACATGGGCTACGCATCTCTCACAGGTCCAAATTCTATTCGTCCCCCTGGCAAACCAGCTATTATGCCCACATTACCTTCTTCAATATCCTCGCTTACCTTTCAACAACGTGAAGCGATGAAGAAGGAAATGTGGGAACGGGAACGTAAAGCTGCGATGGAGAAGGAGAAGGAGAAGGCTAGGGAGGGGGATATTGGGAGGCCGGTGTTGGCTGTTGGTGGGAATGCTGGGAATGTGAGTGGGATCAGTAGTGTTGGTGCAATGAGTGGAAATGGGAATGGAAATGGAAATGGGTTGGGTAGTACCGTCATGTTGCAATATCAGCAGGGTAAATATGGATTAGGGAGTAACGGAGGAGGTGGAGGTGGAAGTGGATCTGGAGTTGTAGGGGTTGGAAATGGGAATGCAAATATAAGTGGAAATATACAACAAAAAACAGGAGAACTAAGTTGGAAAATTAGTAACGAGCAAGGGAAAAAATACGCTTGGTTAGAAGGATTAGGGTGGTGGGAAACTACTGTTTGAGGTTTTATTTGGGGAGAGGAGAGAGGAGATGGGATGGGATGAGATTAGATGGGATGAGATTAGATGGGATGAGAGGGGATGGAAAGCGCGGGGTAGGGTTGGGGGTGGAGCGCGGGGTTAAGTTAATTGTTAAAGAAGAAGGAATATATAAGAAAGAGTTTGTTTATTTATTGGTTCAAGGAAGGGAAGGGAATTGGGATTGGAATATTAGGTACTTATTGGGCTGGGGAATGGAGTTGTTGAGAAAGGAGTTATTGGCATTGAAATGGAATGGGATGGAGTGATAAACTTGGATGGGTATGGAGTTGGATATGAAGAGGAAAGAATATGTCACCGGACCCTATACATGATAAAGGAAGGGGGCCTAGCCCTTTCCGGCGATTGACTGAAAGATGAAAGACCTTTGTTTAAAACCTTCAATATAAAAATAATTGAGGGAGTATTATATTATAGGATATTGTTACGTAGTAACAGTCAACCTGTCCATATGAGCTCAGACCCCGTGGAAAAGCAAACCGATTCACATACAAAATTGTATGGTAATCGGTTCGTAGAGTCTCCCCACCTTCAGCAAGCACAGACATATGTTCTGATTGGAATCACGTGATGAATATCAGGGATCTAGAGGATCTAGGGGATCTAGGGGATCTAGATCATTAAACTCTAGATCCAGTAGATCCTAGGGATCCCAAAGAATACAGGAGAGCAAGAAGCTCCATACAAAGGAAATCCATCTTGATTATATAGACCTTCGTGCCGTATGTCCCACCGTTCCCCTCGATTTAAATCGGTGGGACGAGTGTGACCACGTGACCACTTGTTTAGTCATGTGATACGGGTTTTAGTCGTAACTGAATACCGTTCGTAACACTAGAGCACTTCCACGTGATCTAGACGGCAAACCTCGTAACATTAACAAGGTTGAGGTTGAGCGGGAGCTAGCTCCTATAAATATTATAAGGTCTATCATATTTTCGTATTTATATTTTCCAAAGAGTCGCACATAAGATATTTGTATAATTCGTAGCATAATCAGTTTAGCATTGTCATATATCCGTAAGTCTACATGAGAATTCATTCATGAAACTTCATAAGCTAGAATAGAAAATAAGGAGCCTAGTCCTCACAGAAGACTTATGAGGCTTTATACCCAATATCATGGGCTGATGAAAGTAATTGGAGATGATAAAATATACCAACAGGTGGGTATATGAATGAAATGAAAATGAAAATTCTTTGATCAATAAACGCCTCATCCATCTGCGTAATCCCACTCCCCTAGATCCAATGTCCTGCGCAGATAAAAGTATCGTTTCCTGTATTCGTAATTCAGGTGGTTATCCCTTTAAGTCTGGAAACCATAACTCAAAGGTACCGTAATACAAAATATCGATGAACGCCCATCAATCCATTCCCCAGATCCCATTTTCTGCGCAGCTAAGCGATTTTGGCTGTAACTTCAGATGATACTCCCTGGTTTAGTTCAGGAGAAGATCTGTAATGAAGATTTGAAAACGAGTATGGTAATACAAATGTGAAGAAATAGATCGGGACATCAGCGAAATTTGCGCGCAGTTGAATTAAATTTATCTGCTGGAAGAGGAGCGCGAATATCTGAATCGGAAAAGCGGATGTTAGTGTGCTTGGCGCATTTTCTTGAATGGTAAGATTGGGATTGGGGGTGAGATTGAGAATGAGAGGAGATTTGCCATAATCACACCAAAATCCATTCAATCCATCGCGGCGCGTCAAAGGAAAAAGATGAAACTCACGGTTTTCTAGCTTCAACTTTTGGACTGTTCCCATTCCCATTATCCTTAGGACTATTCCAGCCCAACCTTGATTGATATGCCGGCCATGTACTTAAATTCCAAGCCTTAACCAAGAGTCCTTGAGTTCTATCCACGTAACTTTCATTTTTCATCTCTTTAACTCCGACTGTGACACCATCTTTTGAGAAAGAAACATTCTTGGAAGCCATTCTGTCAGAAGCAGATTTAGAGACTTGTTGAGTGACGAGGTAGATGTGGTAGCCAATAAAGGCAAATGCGCCCAGGACAATGAGGAAGATTAGGAGAGGGAGGACTTTGCTGTTGTCCGAGAACATGATTAGTTTTTGGTTTTTGAGGTACTACATAGTTGTTTTTGAGATGAGAGAGAGGGAGAGGGAGAGGAGACATAAGGATAAGATAGATAGACTGATTGGTTGAGAAGTGATAATATGTAACAAAGTTGAAGACAAAGAAATACACAACTTTACGTACCTTAGAGAAGAGCGGGGTGGAGGGGGCTTTGATGGAGATCCCCAAGCCATTGTTCGTTGTTTGAATTTGAAATGGAGAAAATGGATTTATTATGAGTATAAAACAGACAAACCTTTGTCTTTCACTCACACACACCAAAATTTTACTGGAGTAGATCAGAATTAGAAGAAATCTTGAGGATGTTGAACAAGTAAATAAGTTTCAAGGGAAGAGAGTTATAAATATTAATCTAGGATGTTTATCCTGGTATACGGAGTCGGAGTTAGGGCCATTTGCGTTTGCGCAGCACATTGGGCCTTCCAAAATTAGGGAGTCATAGCTTAACATAGCCTGGATGAGCACTGTAATATACAAGCAATGCCACGCCCGTACCCATCTCTAACACGTGATTGCTGCGGGACAAAAATGTTTTGGTGAGGGCAGTTTGGTGGGCGGTCGGCGGTGGGCATGTGGATGATGAAAGCCGAAAGGCCAGGATTCATTTTCGAGTGACCAGACCAAACTTTGGAATTTCAACCCAATTCATTACATACCATACAAAAATCAATTCAATGTCATGAGTGGCTTGATTATAATTTTCCATTTCTCTTTCATCGTCTAGATTACCCCTTAGTTTTCTCAATCGGTTCAGATCTCATCTGCCTAGGAAACACTTTCTTAGCAACGTGTTCCTTGAAACTACGTAGATCTCTCCAAGATCCCTAAGCTAAGGAATTGACTTGACAGTTTTCATACTCGAGTTATCTCCCCAAAAATACTTAATCAAGCTTTCAAGCGCGGCTACGAATCTTTTGCGCCTTGCACTACATCCACGACTCTCGGAAAGACGGTAGAGAATTTAAGCAATAGCAAATATGGCGGCACCACAAGATGGATATCCGGGCCAAGCTTACCCTCCTCAAGATCCATATGCACAACAAAGTCCGGCGCAACCAGGTTTTGAACAATCGGCGACATCTCCTCCACCACATGGTGGAAATCCAGGAGTAGATGGCGGAAAGAAGAAGAAGAGGGGCTATGCGACACAAGCTTATGATTTCGGACAAGGTGCAAATTCGGCTTTAGGAGGACAAACACATGGCACTGCTCAATTTCAACCCGCACAAGCACCTGCTGCATACGGCGGTTATCAAGCTCAACCAGATCCAGCAGCTGCATATGGAATTCCGCAGGGTGGAATGGTCGGGGCACCTCAAGGGGGTTTTGCTCAACCGCAGTATGGCAGCGGCGTCGGGGGCTATCAACCTCCTGATGCTGGATACCCGGGTCCAGGTGCACCTGTTTCCCCTGGTGTAGCGGGCATTACACAGGGAATGGGACAAATGGGCATGGGCGGACCACAACAACCTATTGCGGCTCAAGCTCGTCCTGGTGCTCCAGCTCAGGTTGCTTTGAATCAGCTTTATGCTACAGATCTCGTCAATCAACCTTTCAATGTTGCAGAATTGGATTTACCTCCTCCCCCGATCATTTTACCTGCAAATGTGAGTTTTCACAGTCTAGTTGCGATAGATTATACTAATATTTACATAGTCAAGTGTTACCCCTTCCCCAAACGCAAATTGCCCACCAAAATATGTTAGATCGACTTTGAATGCCGTTCCTACAACCAATTCCCTCCTCAAGAAATCGAAACTTCCTTTCGCATTAGTTATACAACCATATACTTCATTGCACGATGTCGACGATCCAGTACCAGTTGTTCAAGATCAAGTCATTTCACGTTGTAGAAGATGTCGTTCTTACATCAATCCATATGTTTCATTCCTCGATCATGGTCACAGATGGAGATGTAATATGTGTAATCTCACAAACGATGTTCCACAAGCTTTCGACTGGGATGCAGCCGCACAGCAAAGTGTTGATCGATGGCAACGACCGGAGCTTAATCATGCAGTTGTGGAATTTGTCGCACCACAGGAATACATGGTCAGACCTCCACAACCGCTTGTCTATCTCTTCCTGTTTGATGTCAGCTTTGCTTCTGTATCTTGTGGCTTGTTGGCTACTAGTGCTAGAACTATTCTCGATAGTCTTAACAGGATACCAAATGCGGATCGAAGAACACGGGTTGGATTTATGGCTGTGGACTCAAGCTTGCACTACTTCCAAGTCCCAAAAGACACAGAAGAAAATGGAGAAACTAATATGCTTGTTGTCAGTGATTTGGATGAACCATTCCTTCCTGTTCCTCAAGAGCTATTGGTTCCATTGTCTGAGTGCAGGATGAATGTTGAGAAATTCCTCATGACTCTTCCTCAAATGTTTCAATCCAACACAAACAACGGATCATGTATGGGATCAGCTCTTCGTGCTGGTCACAAGCTTATTTCACCTCTTGGTGGAAAGATTGTTGTAATCACTGCTTCTTTACCTAATGTTGGATATGGCAAATTAGAGATGCGCGAAGATAAGAAGTTATTAGGTACCTCGAAAGAGAGTAGTCTATTACAAACAGCCAACAGCTTCTACAAGAGTTTTGCGGTGGAATGTTCAAAGAACCAAGTTTCTATTGATATGTTCTTATTTTCATCGCAATACCAGGATGTTGCTTCTCTTAGCAACCTTCCAAGGTACACTGGTGGACAAACCTATTTCTACCCAGGATGGAACGCTGGAAGAAGTGAGGATGCCATCAAATTTGCTACAGAGTTTAGTGATTACCTATCTGCTGAGATTGGTCTTGAGGCAGTATTACGTGTTCGTGCTACCACCGGTCTTCGAATGAGCACTTTCTATGGTAACTTCTTCAACCGAAGTTCAGATCTCTGTGCCTTCCCAGCTTTCCCCCGCGATCAAAGTTATGTTGTTGAAGTCGCAATTGACGAATCTCTTACGAAGAATTTTGTGTGCATGCAAACTGCTGTCTTGCATACCACAAGTAATGGAGAGCGTCGTATTAGAGTCATGACTTTGTCATTACCTACAACAACTACCCTTCAAGATGTTTACGCATCTGCTGATCAATGCGCAATTACTACTTTCTTCAGTCACAAGGCTGTTGAACGTGCATTGAGTGGTGGACTTGAACCTGCACGTGAAGCTCTTCAATCTAAATTGATTGAACTTCTTCAAACTTTCAAGAAAGAGCTTGCCGGTGGAAATATGGGAGGTGGCGGGCTTCAATTCCCCGCCAACCTACGTGGATTACCAGTTCTATTCCTTGGTCTTATCAAGAATGTTGGACTTCGAAAATCAGCTCAAATCCCATCGGATCTAAGATCTGCGGCTCTTTGCCAATTGTCTACACTTCCTCTTCCACTTTTGATGCAGTACATCTATCCACGTCTTTACTCATTACATGATATGCCAGACAATGCCGGTATTCCCGACCCAGAAACAAATCAAATTGTCCTTCCGCCTCCTATGAACCTCTCTTCGGAACGTCTCGTACCATTCGGTCTCTACCTCATCGACGATGGCCAAACACAATTCCTCTGGGTAGGCCGCGATGCTGTCCCACAACTTCTCGCTGATGTATTTGATGTTTCTGATCGAACGAAACTCAAGGTTGGAAAATCTACTCTACCGGAATTGGATAATGATTTTAGTGAGAGAGTCAGGAATGTCTTCCAGAAAGCGAGAGATTATAGGAGTAGAGGTGTTGGTAGTATCGTGGTACCACATTTGTATGTGGTCCGTGAAGATGGTGAACCAAGTCTGAAGTTATGGGCACAGACGCTTTTGGTGGAGGATAGAGCGGATCAGGGAATGAGCTTCCAGCAATGGATGGGGATGATGAGGGAAAAGGTTAGTTCTTAATCATAGTTTGGGACAAGGGGGAAAGTAGGTGGGAGGGCGATTGAATGTATGGATAAATGAATGGATGATGGAGGGAGAGTATGGATGAAAAGTATGATGGAAGTGGGAAGGGGCAATGAAAGGAGTCTGACTATGCATATGGATGGAGAGGACGCATTAATTCATGCGCAAAGGCTTCTTCTGATTACGTTGGCAGATACAATTAGTGGAGTCGGTTCCTCGTTCAAATGTTTCAATAAAAAATGAGTTATCTATTTATTGTTTTATATGATTGCAAGTATGGTTTTGTGAGTACAGCAGTGAAGATTCAATCAATTTACAAAGATCAACGGGAGTAAGGTAAGACTTACATCTCCTGGTGAGCTTTAGTGTACTTCTACTTCGGAAAGACGTCACGAGGTTGGCTGATTGATTTGGTAGCCTACATCCGATGGTCCGAGCTCAGAAAGGCTGAGGCTACGAGGCTGATTGTAAACAACTTAAAAATACAAACAAGGCTGCCTTTGCGTCACTCTGTCAAATCAATACAATATCCAAATAAATTTCACTTAATCACCGCGACATCACTGCTGCTAATCTCCCACGACATGTCTCGCATAATTAATTCAACAATCTTTCATCCATCCTCAAAAATTCCGCACTAATTCATCTCTAATCCAACTAATCTAATCTCACAATCCCTACTCCAACCAAACCATCCAAGCCATACAAACCACACCATGACAACCACACCTCCCCTCCCCATCCCCATCCCCCCGCTCCTCCTCAGCACCCTGAAAATCCAACACCTCCCCACCCCCAGCTTCCACTTCCTCCACCCAATCATTTCTCCCCCCTCCCAACGTCCCCCTCCCCTCCCCGCCCTCATCGCGACAACCAAACACCGACTCCTTTCCTCCTCTCTCACTGTCCCAAATCTCCTCGATCCCTCTACTCATTCTTTTCCTACCGATATCAATAATCCTCTTATACGCGAACGTATCCTTCATATACAGATTCCAGTGCAGGTGTTGGATATTATCGATATAGGTATTTCGAGGGGGGAATTACTAGGGAATTTGGTGGGGGAACGAATGGGTGAGAGGAGGAGGGGGAGGGAGGTTATTAGGGTTGTGGATGAGGATGATTCTGAAGTAGGGTTGGATGCGCGAGATGTAGGGAGTTTATCCTCCACGGCGCAAGTTCGAAATCGACCTGTTACAGCTACAGCAGAAACAGAAACAAAAGGACCCTTCAAACTCCTCCTTCAAGACCACAAAGGAGTACATGTATATGCATTTACGACATCGGAAACATGTAATGCGCATCCGGGTTCGGTGCAGAAAATTGCTCTGCCCCCGTGTATGCAGATGGGCTGTAAGATGATGTTATTGCCTGGAACGAGGGTTTGTAGGGGTATGGTGTGTATAGAGGGGGAGACGTGTGTGGTGTTGGGGGGGAGGATAGAGGGTTTGGATAGGGAGTGGAGGGAGGGGTGGGAGGAGAGGGTTAGGGGGGAGGTGGAGAGGATGAGAGGATGAAGGGGGGTGCTTGAGGGAGGATTGAATGGGGTGGGGGTGGTTGATAGGTTTTTTTAATGTATGGGCTTTGTTCACGGATGTTCTCGCTTCCAATCCGGAAACTATTATACCCTCGCGTCCTTGTATCCTCGTATCATCGCATAAACACCAAGTATCGATCTCAATCCCGCCGACGAAACTTAATTTAGAAAAGTACGGTCTCGAAAGCTCGTAGATCACATCTGATGAGTTTGGATGTAATCAAAGTATTCAATAATCTTCAGCTGTCACTGGACGATATTTGAGAAGAGGGAATATGCCATATACTTAGGGAAGGAGGGGAAACACAATACACTTATGAGAAACAAGCATGAACTCTTACCGTCTACCTAGCCTCTTCAAAAAAGCAAGGAAGTAGAGAGAAGCGCAAAAATACCTACTCATTCACATGGAGAAACAATACTACGCAAACACATCATGTATAAACCTTAGCTTAGTAAAATAAAAACTTAATAATTGAAATAAAAAGAAAAGCTGTACGTAACATGATCTCATGCTATCATAATTTCCATCCCATCTCAGCCTGCAAATCATCTCGAATGAGATCGCTCCGACTATTTCCATCCCATCTGAATCCTGCAAGTAAATTATGAAAAATGCTTCCCGACTATCTCCTTTCTCTTATCATTTATATATTATCCAACTCATATGCAAGTTCTGTACCCATCTCATCTCACACCATCCTCGTGAGACGCTGGTTATTTCAATGCTTTCTTTCAAGGCTACGAAATCAAGTGAAAATTGCTTCGCCAACCGAGGCGAGATAATGCCGGTCCAGAATAGCAAATTTCCACATACACCTCAAATCTTTGAAAATCCATGTATGCTACAAACACTTTCTAGGACCAGAATAATCAATATTTTGAACATTTAAGTTTTCCAAATAATGCGATAAAGGATATTCGAAGCGAATTAAAAAGTGAAAAGCAAAGTCTATCGCATGATCTCCTCGTAGATCAATTGTTTGAGTTGTTCCTTGGTGAGGTTGTCCTTGTTTTTATCGAAATCAAAGAATTCTTCCGGGATAGGGTTGGCGGTAGGTTCATCCTCTGGGTCATGGTATGGTTCAAGATATGGATGTTTCAGTGCTTCCTCGACAGTAATTCTCTTGACAGGATTAAATGCGAGAAGTTTCTCGAGGAGATCCAGAGCGAGATCTGAGGTTTTTGGGAACATGGTCTTGAATGGGACCTTCTTCTTGAATGGCAACGATCGGATATATTCTCTTGCACGACGAGATTTGATGCCGTAGTAATCTTCCATGGTAGGAGTACCAAGAACATCAAGAATGAGTGTGAGTTGGTGGTGATCTATAGATTATTAGCAAGGCACATTACTCCTACACAGATCTCACTTACAATCCTTTCCAGGGAATAGGGGCTTTCCGCTTAACATCTCGGCCAAGATACACCCAACAGACCATACATCAATGGCCTTGGTATACTCTTTGAACGTCAACATAATTTCTGGGGCACGGTACCATCTGGTCGCAACATATTCGGTCATGAAACCAGAGTTATCTTCTTGGGACGCAGCGGATCTAGCAAGACCAAAATCGCAGACCTTCAAATCGCAGTTGGCATTAAGTAACAGATTGGATGGTTTCAAATCTCTGTGTAAAACGTTTGCTGAATGCATAGCTTTCAAGGCTCGGAGAGTTTGATAGATGAAGTACTGGCAATGATCATCGGATAGATCTTGAGTACGAATTACACGATGCATATCGGTTTCCATGAGTTCCTGTTTTATCTTAGCTCGTTGTTTTTCTGCTAGCCAATATCACCCATTTACATACTTGAATGAGATAAACTTCGGTGAAGGACTCGTAATTTCTAGGCTTTTGAATATCGAGAATGGAGATGATGTTCTCATGATTGAAGTACCGAAGTAACTTCATCTCACGTAGTGTTCGCAGACAGAACATCGAATGATCAAATGGAGTGATCTTCTTGATAGCGACCTTTTGCCCTGAAGGCTTGTGCAAAGCTGAACTATGAACAGAAATCGAGTTAGCATCCCTTCATGTTCTGCAAGTTCCCTTGCTCTACCTCGAATCGGACAATGTGAAGATTGTACGAGTAACAAGGTGGGGTAGCATACCAAACAACACCATAAGCTCCCTCTCCTACAACATCCTGAATATCATATTGTTCGCTGACATTAAAGGAGATCTTTCGTGATCCCGAAGAGGGATTAGGCGCACGACTTGCCATGGTATGTTAATGGGTAGGTATCTGAAGTAAAAAGATCGTATACTGCGAGATGAAGAACTGGAGACTTGTCTACCAGTTATAAACAGCTAATGAACAGCTTTGCTGAATGATTACAATAATAAAAAGTAAGAGCTTAAGTCGAAGGGATACTATTTTATTGTAAATAAAAGTGCAGAAGCTCGGAAACTTTTCTTTGTTGTCGTTAGTTGCGGATGTTCCAAGCGATGTCAAAGCAAAGTATTGATTGACTGATTCGCACTCTTTTCAACCTTGTCTTCAAATATTCTTTCAGCCGCAAGAATTTCTTTTCCCTCGTATGAATTTCTCTTAAAGGCTAAATGTGTACAAAACCCACAAAGTCGTTGATTTGATAGAGTGATTAATAGTTCGTGAATGTGAGTTGTGAATGTTGTTCTCCGAAACACTGCACACACTGCACCTTTTTGCGCTCGGTCCTGTTGTATAGATAAAGAGTATCTTGAGCTTGTCGCAGCTTCGATATCAGTCCAACAGAGTCGTAATTACCGAAATATAACCAGCTGAGATATCTAGTAGTGACGAAAGTCGTCAAGTGTGGTTAGGTCGAGGTTTATCTGTATTGTCGAGGAACATGATCAGCATTTCTTGTTCTTCTATTGCTTGTGTCCCTCTCTCACAAATCCTTCTCCTTTAGAGACCAACCTCAAAGTTTGAAAAGCTTCCAGGATGATATGAGATTTCTTCCAACAGATGCGCAAATGGAATATGAAGATCAAAAACAACTCATCCGATGTATTTAATTGCTGAAAAGGAAATATGTTGTACCTGTAATCTTTCGAATATGTGTTCCAGACCAAGACGTTCGTTCGTTCAAATTGCCCCGCTACAAGGATGAGGTTTCTTTTCCAATATTTACTTTTGATCAGAACTCTGAATTTGCGAGAAAGTTATATGGCGGAGAGTAAATGTTCAGATGAGAAGTTGGAAAGTAAGAGAGGACAAGAAACTGGGAATTATCTGTCTCTTTCCAAATGTTATTAGTCTTGATGGATTTTGGGAGAAGTAATGAATGGATGGTGCCCGAGTGGTTGTTGTTGAAAGGTAAAGCACGGGTAAAGTGTGTGGGTGGTTTTGAGTGAGGGGGATCGTGATGCTGATTGGAACTTGGAAGCTTACTTTAAGTGGAGTGGTTAAGGTTATGTGGATGGGATGGATAACCCCTACTTTATTTCCCACTGACTGCACTTTCTAGTAAGTAGATCAAGGTCAAAGTCAAGGTCAAATGGAGAGTTAAAATTTCAGGGACATTGGAGAAAATCTAAAACGGAGGTAGAAGCATTCAGATGCTGGACGGGAAACAGTGGAATATGAGCAGTATCTACTAGGTATTATAAGATAGAAATAGAAAATACTGGTTAGATACAGAGTAGATATGCACCCATTTCTCTAACAGCTGGTGGTTATGTATTCCTACCAGTATCAAGATGAAAGGAATAATATCTCATGTACCAAACTACCAAAGTATACATTTCCTTTCCTTCCTACCTATTCAACCATTGAAAACGAAGCAACAGGTTCTCATAGAAAAGGACCCCACCAATTTTATATTCTTTCGAGTGTAATATCCCCTCTAAGCGCCCTACCTTGATATCCAATCCCCGTCACACCAAAATTTGAGACCAAATCGATCTCTCGAAGCAATATCGTGCAGACCACTGGATAACAAATAAATTAATAAATTAATACTACCAAGGTACCTAACAATTGTACCATAAGTTGAAAATTTCATTCGCTTATGCGCCTGTTTCACACGGCACAGGACAGGGAAACGGCAAGATCTTACATTCAAACCACTCTGCATGAACCAATCAACCACTTTTAATGGGGATGCTATCTTAAATCTTTACTTTATGCCTACCTACTCAAAACACTCATCCGATATACTCTGTACGTTCAGCAGAAGTACTATGACATGCGTTCTATCATAGCCAATTTCTTATACTCCATCGCATGCATTATGTACGTTCTACCCACCTTGACTTGGCATTCGTGCGAGCTTTAAGACCTTTCTTGATAATGGGCTTATTATTATTATAGAAAGGACTCAGGTACACATACTAGGTATCTATTGTTTCATTCTACCCCCTCAGTTCCTTTTGAAAGTGTTCTCTACCAGCTAAAACTCAAAACACAGCCATCTCATATAAATTAATAGTACCCATCAATTGGGATCCAGCCCTAAAACAACCACGAGGATGGATCCCGATCCTTCTATCCATGTGGTCCGTGACCGGATCGACAACTTGACTTCATCCTACTACTACCGCATTTCTACTTCCTTCACATACCTAACATCTCATCTCCATGCCCGACCACATAACATACCAGCACAACCGCCATTACCACCAAAGAAATACAAGAATCCTCTGAACACAATACCGCAAATCATCAGATCAAAGAACCTCACCAAAGCCCTCCATCAACATAAACTTCCACGGACACCCAATCCCCAACTCAACGTTTTGACCTCCTCCTCTAACCATCCTATCCATCACAATACTCACCTCTAAAATCCCATACCACCAAATCAAGAAACTCAAATAACACCCACTAACCTACACTTGGTCCTACCCAACCAATAAACATTCCTCCCGCAAAGCCACCCCGTTTGATATTTGAACAGACGAAACACGGAACATCTTCCTCCCAGCATCCGACCCCAATCCTCCACTGTCAAGTTTCACATCTATTTTCTTGTCTCTCTTTTTCTTTTTCATTCCTATACTATACCCAAAAGAATCGATTTTGTACGTATTAGGTAATGAGCTCCGAAGTTAAGTTACACTAACTAGTAAGATTTACTACTTTCTAGCTTCAGGAAGAGAAATCTTGAAAATGAATGCTTGACTAGATACTCGTCCACACACAAACTGTTAATATTGAGTCACTTCTACATATTTTCATAATGCACACTCACTCACAACATAAATAAAGTTCGAAAATCCAAGGTTAGTAAATTCTCATCTTGCAGTCGTGACTCTTACATACATCGTCATATTCTTAATAGTGTCATAATAATATCAATATATCCATCCATCCATCCACCTACCTACCTATCCATCTAACCTCCATCAAAACATATCAAAACACATCAAAACAAAAACCTAGTAATCCAACACCAATTAATCTTCCACAAAGATATCATAATAAGTGAGTGCACCACGTAAGATTAGATACCAGAGTAGACCGTGACGAAATCATCGAATATTCTGTCGTACTTGCATTTTTTTCCTATTCTATAATTACCTACCTACCTACCTAATAATATTATACTTTCCCACTCCCTTTAATACCTCCTCAAACTTGATATCGAAATTGAATTTAAAAATCTCATTAAATATCATTATCACATACTAGGTACCTAGTAGTTCCTCTCGAATAAACATCTTCTCTCTCACCCGCAGCCAGTATCCTAGATGTGGATGTGGATGTGGGTGTGAAGCTTCTATTCTCCTTCTTTTCTATCGATTACATCTTCGAGTTAAAATCTCTCACCTATTATGTGTTACTTCCAGGATTGTTAATACTAATTTTAATATCATCTAGCTTCTCTCATCTATATCCATATCCATCTGCAATTATATTATATTATTTTAAGTCTTAACCTTACATATTTCAAAAAGGAAAAAGTCTCATCAGATAGATGGATTTTCTCTGCACGTCAAGGGACTATTATGGATGTGTTTGGATTTGAGGATACTTTTGTTTCTTTCTTCTTCTTCTTTGCTGAAGAGTATAGATTATTATAATACTCTTTATATAATATTTAAATAAGATTACAATCAATTTCACTCTTTATATTTGGCCTGGTAGATATATAACCACCCGTGATCTTCTAGACCACTATAGATATTCGTTATATAATTCTGTAAGACTTTTATTTATAATTATCAAAACTATTTCTTTCTATATACGAGTACTACTTTACACAACAAAAGCCTTAAACTCTAAAATGAATTGAAGATCAATCAAGTCTCTATCATGTTTGTGTGAATTCATGTATAATCTTAATACCAATGTTATAGGACTAATAATATATACGGGTCTTCAATCCTTAATACAATTCATTGCTCATCCAACCTATCAATTCCTCACCTTTCGTCCTTTCCACCCCAGACGCCCAACAATGCTCAAAAAGCCCACATGTAATCTTCGTCTATACCAATAATTTATCACATCAACTGACAACTCTTTGTCTGCTGACACTGTTCATAATAACCTTCTTCTTCTGGTTTCCCCAGCTTCACATTCTGTCGTCTCATGACCCCGGTGATTTTAATAGATTGTTCACCCTCCCCATGCCACCATCTAAGTCTCTGAATCATCCCACCATCCTCGTCATCCGTACTAATTGTCCATTTCCCCGCACTAACTTCCACCTCACATTTATCCTTCGGGAAATGGAATTCGGGGAGAGAGATTTCCGTTGGTGCCTCTTCGGATGCTGCTTCGCCGGCGTGGAGTCGGAATGTGAAGATACAGCTTCGAAGATCGAATCCGTAATTGAGAATCTTGCCAACGGTTGCAATGGGGGATGGACGAACGTAGGCTTCGGCGGCTCGGTAACCAGGGGAATTGGTGAGTTCAGGAGGGCTATCAGTTTGCTTCGATGAAATTGAGGGGGTTCTTAATGCGGCTTTTAAATTACCTGGATTTACTGTGGACTCGTCTGAGTTTTGTTTTTTAGTATTGGGTCCAGCTTCGTGGTCCACCAGAGATGAGCTTGATTCGCTGGGCGTTGGAGGGTTGGCTTCGAGTGGTAGTGGTAAATCATCAAGGGAAAAAATGGAAAGATCCTCGCCATTCCATTGATCGCCGAGGGAATGTTTGTTCTAAAAATCATTAGGAGAAATCAAGTTGAGAGAACCTTAGTCACTTGCCTCGCACATATAGAGCCAAAGAGTATATCCTGCCATGGCACTTCCTTCTACGGCAAAGTGATTTGCATCCATGGCCCCTGATTGACTAGAATAATCACCAGTTTTGTAAGCATATTTATCATCCATGTCATAAGGAATACCAAATTCTGTCAAAACACATGGATGATTCCCCATATAGTCTTCACCCTCTTTCTTTATAGCTGCAAGTTGATCTCGGAAACAATTCCTGATTGCTGTCTCTCCTAGCTTTATAGCAAATGCAGGACTGAGATATCGGCCTCGCAAGATGCCAAAGACATCAACATTCCAGAAACGATTCCACTTTTTGGTCATAAGAGTGACTCCATCATAGTAATGAGGCGCATAGACCATGAGAGGATCGTCATCTTTAGTACCCTTGATTGATGGAGGTATTTCCAACACCGGTGGCTGACAAAATAAAATTGAGTCCTTGTGATGAGCTCTGATAGCGTCTCGGTGTTTTCTGTAGTAATCCATATAATATGAGTTTGTGAACTCTTCATAGCTGATGTCTTTCTTTGTTCTGGGATTCTTCTTAAAATAATCCTTCTTCAATAGACTATCTATTGATGGATCCCATACGCCATGCTGAGCCCAGATACACTCTCCGAGCTTCCAACCAGGGTCTCGCTTGTAACTATATCTCGACTCATCGTAGTCTGATGGTAACCATGCTGTCTCTCCTTGGGGATCAACAAGAACCTGACCAGACTTATATGGTCCCATCCCTCCGAAATCCCAAGTACTTATTTCGCATGCTCTTCCAGATCCAGTCAACATGGCTTGAAATGCAGTTGGGGATGTTCCTTTCTGTAATTTCTGCTCGCTTGGTATGGTAGAAATATCTGCCCAGCCCACAAGCCCCCGGTTAGGCTCATTCATACTTTCCCAGCCAATTACCACTTCATTCTCGAGATCTCCTGCTTCATGTATTCGTCTTGCAAGATGTGCGCAAGCATTTACGAAGTGATCTTGAAGGTAGTCCTGGATGTTCTTACCATCAATGATACATTTCGGCGCAAAGTCCCGACCCGCGAAGAAGAATGTAAATATTGTCTGACAAGCCAAGCGAGTATAATTTGTAGACCAAATCATTTTAGGGAAGTTCTCAGGATCCGGATATGTATTGTGCACGACTGCCGCTTCTGTTACCGCGAACTTTTCAGGATCAAGCCCGCAAGCATAGAGAGTCCACATTGGAGCGCCTGATCCGCCAGAAAACCTTGACCACTACTTTATTAGTCTTATAAGATTTCCTTGGAAGGATTCAAACTTACGACGTCCTGATGAGGGTCCATGAAAATATAGAAGCCATAACCTTTTGCTAACCGCAGAATCTCAATGGTATGCTGAATCCATTCTTCGTCATATATGCCGGGTCCTGCTGATTCTATTGCCTCCCATGTGAAAACATATCGTATTGTATTGTAACCCCAACGCTTTAAGCGCGAGAAATGAAGATGTGCGTCTTCCTGGGGAAATGGGCGCGAATGGAAGTCGACATGATCTCCATTATAAAAGTCCTCGAGGATATGCGAAGGCTGACTAGGCTTGCTGGGATACTTGGCGTCACCAGCCAGATTTATTCCACGAAGAGTAATTTCACGGCCATGAGAATCCCGGAAACGGCCATTTTCGATTGTGAGTCGTAGTGGGGACATCGTACAACGGGTACTTTGAGGAGTATTTGAAAGTAGATTTCGAGAATATTTACTGTCCCAGGAGAGGAAGTATAATCTGGCAGACAACGCTTGAAGACTTCCGAGGTTGGTTGATTTTAGTCAACCTTGGCTAGGTAAGTTCTGTTTAGCACTCAGCCTCAATTTGCAATGATTTTATATTCGTTGTTCCATCTGCAATATAAGATATAATTTATAGGAATGATTACGAGTAATTTGATAGGAATAAAAAGTAACTAGTGAAACTTCATGTATTCATGTATAAGATTTTTATCTAAATACCTACCATTGTATCAGTAGGTATTGTTATCGGGGCATCAATGACGATGTAGTCAGATGTCTGATTATGACAGGGGTAAAACACATCCAATGAGCAGACCCTGCTAATCTTTTCCCGATTAAAAGCAAGATGATCCGAGCCGGATGGGCTACACACTCCGTACCTATTTCAACCCCACACTAAAATGGACAAGGCTGTACCAAAATTGTATGATGTACTCATACCTAGTATTTCTGCAGGTGTGCTCCAGAACTCATTGCTTGATCTTTCAACACTCTTTAACATAAATCAAGTCTATTTCGTTGGGTCAATTATGCTGAATGAATTACTTGATATTGCAAAATGTCAGGAACCAAAGCTGCGCTGAAAGCTATAAATGCTGCAGTTCAATCTCAAAAGTATGATGAAGCTGTTCAACAAGCTCGGAATCTTCTCAATTCGGACCCAAATAGTTACCAGGCGTAAGTTAACCACCGCACCATTATCAAGTATTTGTATTATTCTCAGTGCGACATCTGACCTTCTGCAGAAATATCTTCTTAGGGTATGCCTACAGTAAATCGTCGAAATTCACAGAAGCTGAAGAAGCTTACGAAGCTGCAACCAAAATCAGAGAAGGGGAGCCGCAAGCATGGCAAGGTCTTATCCAGTTATACGAGAAGCAAGGCGGTTCCAAAGTTGGACAATATCAAGTCGCAGCTTTGCATTTAGCTCAAATCTATCAAGCTCACGACGACAAATACAAATGTCAAGATGTCATTGACAAGTTTCTCGCCTTTGCCAAAAATCAAGGAACCCGCTTGCAACATAGAAAATCCATGGAGATCATTCTACCTGACAGCCCAATATATGCATATCTGGAGGGTCGTGTTCCTCATCCTTCACATACCTATCAAATTATAGCTCAGATTACAGAATTTGAAGAGAAAGAGCGCATAAACAAGGAAATCGGAGAAAGACGAACGAGGTTGGGTGCCAAAATTAGTCAAGTGACTGTCGAAGTCAAACGGGAAGTTTTAAGAGATAGTGATTTGGAGGAAATCTACAACAAGATCATAGACTGGACGACTGATGATGAGATTCGTCGGCAATACGAAGAAAAACTCGTCCAGAGATGTCTAGAGGCCCTGGTTATTCTTCCGCCGGGAGATGCAAAAACGGAGAAACGCGCAAAGGTATTCAAGCTGGCAACGGATATGGTAATAATTAAACATCCGTACAAGTTGGCCTGGGATATTGCTATTGAGTGGCAGGACCCCGAAAATGTCCAAAGCTTGGATGTTAATATTCTGCGAGAATACATAGATTTCTTCCCTACAAGTGGACTTGCTCAAGTTCTACGAGGATTCATCTCCAGTGAGATTTCGCCATTCCCGCCTCCACCACGCACTCCAGCTCTTGTACCAAATAAAGAAGATCGTGATGAAAGTAGTTCCGATGAAGACGATGGGGGAGGAGTGACATTGGATGACTTCTCGATGCTTGCAGCAGATCGCCTGTTGATCATGTCAGAGGGCATGTCGGACTCACTTACATCAATATTGGCACACCGTCTCATGGGAGAGTACTATCAATTTCTAGATGAACATGAAAGTGTTGTGGAACTTACACGAAACGCAAAGCGGCTTGCAGTGGAAGAATCAAACAAAATTGGTTTAAAATTTAAAAACGCATCCCAATCTTTTGATGTCTTGTTAGGTACTGCTCTCGTATTTTATCAGTCACCCAAGAATCACCCAGAAGCAAAAGCTTTATTTGATGGACTGCTAAAGGAAAATCCGTTCTCAACTCCTGCTCTCATTGGAATTGGTTTGATTTATGAGGAGGAAGACGACTTCCCTGCTGCTATTGACTTCCTTGGACGTGCATTACAACGAGACCCTGCGAATGTTCGAGTGAAGGCCGAAGCCGCGTGGGTGAAGGCTATTAATGGCGATTATATCCGTGGACGTGAAGAGCTGGAAGAGTGCTTACCGCAAATCGAAGCTAAAGATTTAAAATCTCGAGACTTACTGGCCCAAACGCAATACCGTGTGGGTGTCTGCCTTTGGAATATAGATACATCGAAATCTGCACGCAAGGATAGGAAAGGTGCTTACTCATATTTTCTCGCATCGTTGAAAAGCAACCTCAATTTTGCTCCTGCATATACCAGTCTCGGTATATTTTATGCAGACTATTTGAATGATAAGAAGAGATCTCGAAAGTGTTTCCAAAAAGCCTTTGAGCTCTCACCCTCGGAAGTGGAAGCCGCCGAACGCCTGGCTAGGATATTCGCCGGCCAGGGCGAGTGGGAGTTGGTCGAGTCAGTCGCTCAACGAGTTATCAATTCAGGCAAGGTCAGACCAGCACCTGGCTCGAAGAAAAAGGGTATCAGTTGGCCATTTGCCGCTCTAGGAACTGCGGAGTTGAATAGACAGGACTACTCGAAGAGCATTGTTTCTTTTCAATCCGCACTTCGCATCACACCTTCTGATTATCATTCATGGGTCGGTCTTGGCGAAAGTTATCACAATTCTGGGCGCTATGTTGCTGCAACAAAAGCTTTTCATCATGCCGAACAATTCGAAAGTGAAATCGAACAAACACAGAATGGTGAGACTTGGTTTGCGAAGCATATGCTCGCAAATGTAAAACGTGAGCTAGGAGACTTTGATGATGCCATTGAGGGCTATAAAGCTGTACTTCAAGGCCGTCAAGCGGAATTTGGGGTTTCCATTGCGTTGATTCAGACTTTAGTTGATAGTGCTTGGGATAGTATAGAAAAGGGGCTTTTTGGACAAGCTACCCAACGTGCAGCTGAAGCTATTGAGATTGCTAGTGAAATTCTAGAGAGTAAAACCGATGCTTTCAATCTCTGGAGAGCTGTAGGCGACGCTTGCGCTGTCTACTCTTGGGTTTGGAGCCGTGTCAACGAGTTCCCTGATGCAAATGTTAGGAAACTACTCGAACAATGGACCGCTACTTATGATATTTTTGGAGACGTCGATGGAGTTTCCGTGGATGTCGTTTTTGCTAAGGGCCTATATCCTGCCGATGAAGAAGACGGATTGTACCGAACTCGATGTCTTCATGCAGCAATCCTAGCCCACAAGCGAGCTATTCATGTTTCATCTCACGATACGCACGCTCAAGCAGTCGCTTATTACAACCTTGGTTGGATTGAGCATCGTGCTCATGTCTGCCTGTCTCCTAGTTTAAAGAAGAAATCTACCAGATACCAGAAAGCAGCAGTGAGATGTTTCAAAAGAGCTATTGAACTAGAAGCAGGCAACTCAGAATTTTGGAACGCGTTGGGCATTGTCACCAGCAACTTGAACCCGAAGGTTGCACAACATTCTTTTGTTCGAAGTCTTTACTTGAACGAGAGAAGTGCTCAGGCATGGACCAACTTAGGAACACTATATCTCCTACAGAATGATTATCAGCTTGCTAACGATGCTTTCGCAAGAGCTCAATCGACCGATCCAGACTACTCACATGCTTGGATTGGACAGGGCCTTCTCGCGCTAATGATGGGCGATGAGAAAGAGTCCAATCTTCTTTTTACCCATGCTATGGAAATCTCTGGCTCATCTTCTTTGATCACGCATCGACAGTACTCACAATCCACTTTTGATCAGATCTTAGCTTCCAAGAATGCTTCTAATGCATCGGATTTGGTGAAACCACTGTTTGCGTTGATTCAAGTACAATCGATGGCACCAACTGATCTTGTCTCGAAGCACCTTTCATCACTTTTCTCCGAGCGTGCAAATGATATTTGTTCTGCTGTAACAACCTTGAGCTCAATTTGTGGAGCAGCTGAAGCTGATTACGAAGTCACGGAATCACCAGAATCACTATCTCGATTCGCTTTGGCGAAAGCAGATCTCGCCCGATCTCAGTTGGCAAATCATGAGTATGAAGAAGCCGTCGAAAGTGGAGACCTCGCCTTACAGCTCTGCAATGAAGATAGCGGCAATGAGCTTTCTGTAGAAGCTCGTCAAAAATGCAGACTATCAGCTCATCTTACCGTTGGCTTAGCACAATACTACTTAAATAACTTAGATACAGCTCTTGAATACTTTGAGCCTGCTCTCAAAGAATCCAAAGGAAATCCTGATGCAGTATGCGTCCTTGCTCAGGTTTTATGGGCTCATGGCACCGAATCGTCTCGTTCTAAAGCACAGGATCTTCTCTTTGAGTGCGTGGAATCTCATCCTGACCACGTACAATCTGTAATTCTTCTTGGAATTATAGCTCTATTTAATTCTGATACTGAAGGTATCGAAGCAGTAACTGCAGAATTACAAACTCTTCGCACCAATAGAAATATCACGGATGCAGAACAAGCTCGTGTTGGGGAAGTTCTTCGTTCCATCGCTGCATTTGCCGAGAAGGATTCGGAGCTCAAGGTCATAGCTGAGATACAGAAAGATGTAGTTCTTCATCCAGAATCAATGCATGGTTGGTCGAGATTGGCCAACCATTTTAGTGATCAAGAGGCCGCCGAGATGGCAGTATTGACGGCTAAAAAATCTGTACCTCCGCGTGGAACGCTAGCTGCTACAGATTTGACTACCGCGTATGCGGGAACAGGAAAGGTTGGCGATGCTCAAAGGGGTATCATGGTTGCACCTTGGAAGAAAGATGCCTGGGAGGCTTTTAGTAATGGCATCTCTGCGTAGTACGACTAGGTCAGATGTAAGAAAATAGCATGATTAACGACCAAGTTAACGTCATTGACGGTAGCGAGGAAAGAGGTTTTGGTTTTTAGAGTACTAAATGTGTTAGATATGATATTCTTCAAATGCATCAAGGATAGAAATCAAAATATTACTACGTATAACCTCACAGTTAATTCTTTCCCGCTGCTTGAATGCACTATGGTTATAACTTCCTTGCAATCATCCATACTTTTTCCTTAATGATATATTGTCCTTTTTTCCTTGATTCAAATAACCCCTGCTCTTCTCAATACCACGTAAAAAAACGCATTCCTTCGCTTTTCGAAACAGTTATCATATCAATTCATGAATTTTCCCCCTGCTCGCCGTCTCTCCTCGTCGATTGGTCAAAGTTGTTTCATAATAGAGCTCTTCTAAAGAGCTAGTTCTAATTACAATCTAAACATGCTTCTTGAAGTACAAGAAGCATAATCCTACAATCTAATCTTACAATGTGAGTATACGAGTAATTAATGATGGACGATTTGTGGGAGTGGACTTGACTGATTTGAAGTAAGTGCTTTTTCTGGGTGATTGATGTAGCGGGTTGGGAGTCTGGATCTAGGGTTTTTTTTAAGTATTTATGGTTTTGGAGGTTTGGGGCTAGATGTTTTTGAGAGAATGAGGAAGGTTGTACTTGATCCTTCTGATATTATTAGTGCCTGAGATTGGAAAGGCGGAGCGTGATGAATGATATTCGCTATGAGGTTTGAGGATTAGGATAAGACTAGCTGAGTTTGATTGAATCCACGGCTGCGAATGGTGTTTAGGGATATCTGGATTAGACAGATAAACCTACTCTGATATATATAATCTTTAGCCAAGTGACACTTTTGCTATACACTCCCATCTTTGCATTCATGATTGAACGGATCAGGTGTCTCAAGATATAACAAACAAAAACCTCTAATTACTTCATGATTTTACTTCCATCTCATGCAGTTCTTTTCTTTAAATATCTTTTCGGGATAAATCATTTCAAAATAGAAATTAAATCGCTATAACTTTGTAAATGCTTTGGTATTAATAAATAATTGTTTATATATTAATTTTCAAAGTATTTTTGTCGGTACATCATGTGATTACCGTACAGAAAGGAGGCCGTACAACAAGCGTGCTTTAGCCCCTACCTCTTCAATATAAATAGTCCCTTCTCTACATAGTTCTTAATGATAATCAAGAATCAACACATACTATAATAGTAGTATGCAAGTAGTATCATGTTACGAAGTAACAGCTGATCTGTCCATACGAGCTTGGACCACGTGGAAAAGCAAGTAGATTCACATACAAAACTATATGGCAATTGACTTATATGGCTCCCCACCCTAAGCAAGCATAGACATCGAATCTGATCGAAAGCACGTGATCAAGGATTCCCACCGAGCCTAGGAATCCCACTATGGTGGGAAATATTCCCACCTTGATGGGACAATAAAGGGCAATGGGATGCATAGTACGAAGGTCTATATAACTGGAAAGAGTTTCCTTATTGTAGAGCTTCGTGCTCAAAATCAATCATTTAGTATACTCTACTATTAGTTACGAATTGCATTATTGTCATTACTTTAAGTCCCTGCTTGACGCCTAGTTATAAACCACCTCGAGAGCCTAGAGCACTTCCACGTGATCTAGACGGCAAACCTCGTAACACAGTATGGCTCAGTACTGAGCTTGCTGATCCTCACTGAGTCAGTCACATGATATTGGTAGCATGTGAGCGTCTTCTTGTTACCCGGCGTAACAATCTAGTAGGTTAATCTCTCTTCTAAGTTCTACGGAAGTGCGAAGCTCTCTGTAAGAGAGCTTCTCAATCTAGTCCTAACAGGACTAGTGCCCTGTGCACGTGCTACGCAGGAACCATTCACTTTAACAGAAACTTGTAATAAAAGATTTTGTTGAAAGAATTATAGAAAATAATTTTGGATGTTTATAAAAATGAAATACGAGATTATTAATGAAAGTTTAAATATAATAGATATTAAAAGATTGGGTGGAAGAGGCCTCTATATTGACTATATTACTACGTCTGTAGGCATATTAAGATCTCCTCTTGGTATCCTCGGAGGGGACCAATATGCCTGCTTATGGTTCGTCTAATCTAGCCTGTTTAGGTAACCGTATTACTAATCACGACACGTGATTAGTACCGGTAACTTCTATTCCTTTTAACAATAGAATTAATTTTGCTTTTTTAATCTAATTTATCAAGGGTAGATATTCAATTTTTAGTTTTTTAAATTAAAATAAATAGGTTTATAACTAATTTTTATTTATAGTGTTACGTGACGGTTGTTATCCCACTAGTGGCTCACGTGCACTAGCCCTGTATATAAAGACCTTCTTACTTAGAATCTTCTTAATTCTTTAGTTTTAGATTCTAAGTAATTGAATTGACTCCGTTTACGACTTTTCCGTCACATATAGTTCGTAAAAGATCATCGTACAAATATATTTTTATTTTGAATTGTAGAGATGAAATAATTAGATAATCTTACAAAGCTTTATTATTATTCAAAATTATATTTGAAAATATAACTAGGATGATTTATTGATAATTTTATATTTAGGTCAGTAGTGTTACGACGGGCTACACAACTACCAAGGCACGTGATCACAAATGATCAGTAGTGATCATTAAGGATCACGGTATAGGTGATCACTGGTGATCATGAAGGATCACCAGTAATCATAGAAGCATGAAGGACTATATAATCAAGATGGATTTCCTTTGTATAGAGCTTCGTGCTCAAGATCAATCATTTAGTATACTCTACTATTAGTTATGAATTGCATTATTGTCATTACTTTAAGTCCCTGCTTGACGCCTAGTTATAAACCATCTCGAGAGCCTAGAGCACTTCCACGTGATCTAGATGGCAAACCTCGTAACAAGTAGATATTATTGATTAATCTTTATTAATAAATCCTTTTGTGTTAGGTAAATTTGTTGAATTCTTGGTTAGTCGGACTCTTTAAATTTCATTTAGAGATTTCGTTAGTTGCTGGTTGTTCTAGATAGGGTTTTGTACAAATGCTGATATTAGTAATTAGTTGAATGTTACTAAGGCTACTAGATTCAGGGGCAGAGAATAAATAGATCTGAACTTCTAAACTGATTATGAAACTCTGCTGGCTATCATTATTAAAATAGAGATAAGGAATTGTATAGAATCTAGAATAATTAAACAGATATAATAATTTCCTCCAAGTCGGCCGGAGAAGTATGCTTGCATCCTCAATATTGATATAAAAATTTGATATATTTCAACTAAGATGGATATATAAAACAAAAATGAAGTTTTGAAAGTGACATGGAGTATTGGGAATTCTATCTAAAATTGAAAAAATCGTTGGTTTTCAGACGGAATAAAATGCAAATCTTGCTACTTTTCACTCTAAATTATACATCGAGATTGTGTATCTAGAACTTCAACACTGTCACGGAAATTCTAGTCTCTAATTTGAATTTCATGAGACGAACCAAAAGAAATTTATTCAGCAAATCTCATCTTACTATTTCCAATTTTAATTCTAGATCTACAGAAAATCCGGGATGCTGTTCGAGAGTGTAGAGGCGAGTGAGTGGGTGACCGAACCCGGCAAGCTTGGAAGTTGGAAGGGATGATCCCCAGTTGTAGACGTTGACTATGGTCCTGGGAATTATGGCAGTGGTAAAAATACGAGCTTGGGTGTAAGACCAGAGTCGATGTGAGAGGTTGCTGCGAGGAACGGAGATGATGTGGGTGGTGTCGTATCTCCGAGGATTAGAGAGGAGTACTTGCAAATTACTTGGGAGTCAGAGATAGAAATAATGGGAATGTCGAGATAGTGCTTGAAGTTGGTGTTGTTTGTAGGTCTGTAGGTTATTAGTACGTATACGTGACATTGATTATAATTGCTGAGTAGATAAAGTTCCCTGCAGAGGGTAGGGCAGGAGCCAAAGAGAAAGAGTGAGAGAGAGAGAGAGAAAGGAAACATGTTATAGATATACCTAAAACACCAATCACTTCTAATTGTATCAGCTTGTATAATAATTTGATCCCACTGAACTGGGCCAAAATCCCAGATACTCCCTTTTCGTGTTTCAATTGCAAAAAGTGCCTAGAGATGGTTAGTCTACCTCGAAAGGCCACAGAAATGTAATTCATTCAACCAGCTACTTACTTTATTGAAAGAGCCTTGACCAGCAGGAGTCGCTATTGATTATTCTTATTAAAATACTGCATCTCTGAAACACAGCTTTATATGGCACAACTATGAGAGTGCGCGAAGTCACTTACGATGTTCCTGGGGATTGAACATAGATCCTGCAGAAAAATTCATTTCGCGAGCTTGTATACCAGCTTGGCCTCGTTCAACATTCCATGTAACATTATATACCCCGTTATCTGTATTCGTCAATTCGTATTGGGTGGTAATGCGATCTCCAGGATATACTATATTTCTGTCAGCTATCTAAATGCGTATAAATACTAACACAAAACTTAAACGTACCTTGCTGAGCCTTATTAGCCTGCCAATCTTCAGGTCTTTAGTTTGATAAAAATCAGCTTTAACACTTTGAATATTTTCCATATATTTTAGTCCATCCCCTATGTTTCTTCACATTGAATTATGGGTAGAAAAAGATATCGAGTACATACGTGCAGCAAAACTCCAATCCAATGAAATACCACCCCCCAATATCTCCCTGGTTTGCAACCACTGTTTGTATAATTCCTTGATTGTTCTGGAGAGCAGGCCATATGGCTTGAGCATTCCCTAGTATAACTAGTGCCTTTGAGGCGGGAGGAACTACTTGAACACTTTAGAACTATGATGGATGCATTAGCTTGCTCTAAAATGGGTAGATCCATAGCACCGCGTGGCCAGCATACCTTAGTGATGGTCGCATTTGGATCAAGAGTAAGGTAAAAGCAATTCGCATTAATATCATTCGAAGTTGCGGAAGCTGCAAGTTCACTCAAGAGACCCCAGATAAATAAGAATATTAACGTAATCATAGTATGTATGCAACGGAGCCAACAACTTTGAAAGTATGGTAAAAATATCAAGCGTGTTAAACAAGAAGCTTTGAAGAGAACTTCTGCCTTTCTCGAGGTGTCTTGAAGAAGAAAGTGAGTGAACCGATTTTAACCTGCTGAGAAGCCAGAAAGAAACGAGAAAATGATCGCAGAGTGGTACTGAAAATCTTGACACAAGTAAATATATGTATCAAGAGAGTTTAATAAAGTTGCGAGCCCTTTTTTCATGACTAAAAATTCCTCTCAAAATAGATATCCATACCGGGGAAAGATATTTCCGAAAGGGGATATCAGATGAAGAAGTTATTCACCATTCGAACCGTATGATAAATTACTTTGTCTATAAGGTATTTTGAGGATATATCACAGATATTCAGCAATAAACCAGAATAATCAAACAAAAAAACCCTCATTAAAACTCACTATCACAAATAAATATATTTTACTCAAAATAAAAAATTCTATCCTTGAGATTTCCTATCATAATTATCAAAAAATATAAATTCTTTTTAATTAATAGATAAAAGGAAATTAATATCCTCTAGTTCAGAATCTTAATAAGTAAACTCATGGATATATTGAATCATTACAATCGATAAGGACAATAAGGATTTGATTTGTGATAAATTATCCATCAAACAGGACTATAAATTAGTGGAATACCATTGGTTTCAATGTAAGGATTGGAGAAGAATACAGAGAGAGCTGCTTTACTTAAAGCTCAAAACTATAATTAATACTAATAAGCTGGATATTCTATATCTTGCAACAAAAGCTTCAGATTCCATTGTACAGGATGAGAAACAAGATATATCTTGGTACTGAAATGCAAGCAACAGAAAATCTCCTCTTCAAGAAATCATATCATTGTGGTTGAAGGCAGCTTTCAAAGAATCCTACATTGAATACTGAATGGGAAAAAGAAGATATAGATAGATACTGATCATGGTAGTCCAAATTGAATTATGTTGGAAAAAAAATAAGTTTTTAAAGTACTGAAATAATAAACAGATAAAACTAAAAAAAAATAACATATTGTTACTGACCGGACCAGGATATCAAACAAGTACCTAGTACCCCCAAACGCCTGATTAAATATCTTTACACTTCCTTCCTCCCTTCCGTTTCCATCCCATCCTATCCAATCCAATCCATTACAACCGAATTCCGTTCCATTTCCTTCCATCCTATCCATCCCATCACACTAATCCATTTCAATTAAATTCATATTATCGTTCCTCTTCCCCTTTCACTTCTAATTTCATTTTCCTCCTCCTCACGGCCTCTGTCCTACTCCCAATCTATCCAATTCCGTATCACTAATCACACTTGGTGCAAAACTGCTTTGAGTTCTCGTACTCATATTTCTATGTACATCGCCCATAGAAAAAGCAGCAGCTAAATGTGGATGCTGTGCGGCAATCCATGCACCGGATTGCATGGGAACAGGAGACATACTTTGTGGAGCTCCATATGATTGAATTGGTGGTAAATCACTGTCTTCATTCTCAAATTCTGGGTTATCGTAATTTGAGGAAAGTGAATTGAGATGTTGGGGTATGGGTCGGCTTTGAGGTAGATCCTGATTTTGCAAAGCGCCTCGTTCGAGATTTTCATGAGAGATGGTAGGGCGGATGGGGGAGGGAGACATGATGGTAGGTTCGAAAACTGAGGCGCGAGGGCTGTGCATTATTCTAGAGAGGCGGTGTTCTTCACCATCTGGTCCGATATATGAGGTATCGTCGTCGTCGAGAGGAAATCCCATGGTATCATGTCGGACGAGTTTCCCTGGCCTGGGAGGGGAAGCGGTATTCCCTGATATTTGAGAAAGACGATTTTGATCTGTAAACGGATCTCCTGATATAGATGGTGTGGAGAGATGATCAGATGATAAATGAGCTCGGGCGGCCATTCTATGTTGAGATTCTTCGTCATTTGGTAGGAATCGATCGGTTTCCATATCACTAGATAAATCAGGGTAGCTTGATTGTCCTCCTCTCATGTATGCTCCTTGGTATGATGTATCGGCAACCATTGGTGGTGGAGATATTTCATTATCACTAGCTTGACTATTCCTCTTGAGAAAGGGTACACCAGCAAATGAGGAGTTTAATCTATTGTAGGATACTTGCTGAGTAACTCGCTTTTGAGTAGCGGCATTTTTAGTCTTCCTTTTTTGCAATAGATAAAGAGCAATGAGAGATATGATCAATAATGCTCCGACTCCTCCAAGTACACCTCCTATTATTGCTGCTCGGTCATGTGATGATGATTTGTCCGACGTAGAGGAAGTAGAGCTTGGGATTGCCGAGTTCGTTTGTGTAGTTGCAGATGTAGGTGTGGATTGATAAGCAGTTGTTGTTTGAACATTGTAGTCTCTTTTCGCGTGGCTTCCACTTGATCCATAGCTATTTTGATCTGAGTTTCCGTAGCCTCCAGAACTTCCAGAACTTCCTTGGTCTCCACCTTGGTTACCGCTGCTACCGCTCGATCCCACACCAGAATTATCCATATCTCTCAACGTGAAAGGTTTCGATTGATGACTATTTTCCACAATCTGTTCTTGGCGTAGGTCTCTTGCTTAAGAAGGTAGGTGAAAGCAAATAAGAGAATAAATACAACATCTAAGGTACGAAACGAGGGTATACTTGAAACGAAGGGGAAAAAAAGCTGAGGAAGAAAAAGAATGGGCGGTGCAGGGGCAGGACAATATTAAATGAATTTCAACGTCATGAAGATAATGACAACACAAGATGAAAATCCCAGTCGCGACTTACGATTTATGTGGATTTTTATTTATGACAAGGCGCAGTCCCAGCAAGCAGAATTATTAAGTTTTGGGAAATCATGTTCGGTACGGGAGGTAGAAATGCTGAGGTTCGTATATTTGTGACGACGCGTATTTTTAGGGTGGAGCAGTAAAAAAAATGGAGACAAATTATGATACGTGTAGCATTAAAAATTATGCTGTTGTTAAATGATGGACAAATTACAAGTATGAAAATAAAGTAGAAAGTGATCTTTTCGAACTGGTTATAGATAAAGATGCAGATTCAACAGAGGTAAAGAAAATAGCATGAATTTGTAGATCAAGGTTTGATACACCCATGAGGCCATGAGGCCATGAGGGAGAGGGTAGAGAGTAATTGAGTTTGAATGAATACTGGGTTCCGGTACCGATGGCAGGGTTCAAAATTGAGCCCACACACACACACGTGTTGAAGGACGTTTGACAGGTGAAGCTAAGGAGATTCTAGTAAAAGAAGATGGGTGGGAGGGTGGTTTTGAAATAAATTGAAAGAATTGAGTATTGGTAATGGTAGTGGTAAAATGGTAATTGTGAGAATGATGGGGATGGTAACTGTTATGATGGACTAGAATATCTATCTCACAGTAAATACCTACCTAGTATATACTATATAGTCATTACACCGTGGATTCTAATGTCTACTATGTGGAGAGTGTAAGCAATCCCACCGGTACTTGAAGACCTTGAAGACTGGAGTGAAGGAGGGTTATGGATGGGCTTTGTAAGAAAAACGGAAAAATTCGACTAAAATGTCTAGGACTGTAGGACATAGCCGGTACTCACTTCAAACAAGCAAGCCCCCACGAACCTTAAATATAGAGTTTGATCTTGTCGTGACAAATAAGGAGCAGGAAATATGAAATCGAGATCCACATAGGAGATGAATATGGCTGAGTCTCTCTTGGCTGGATGGAAATATTATTATACTAGAGTGCCGGCCTGAGGTAGGGAGATGTAAGCAGCCAGAAGAAGTAGTTGTAACCAGCATGTAACATTGTAACCTTACCCACAACACACACTGCTACTCTACTAAGGTAGGTAGAAGTACGGCGTAAGGTAAGATTTTAGAGAATCGCTGATCAGCAATCGGAGAGCATGTGAAATTCTTACATTTGGCTAGGTAGTATATACATTATCTGCTGCCAAAGAAGATCGTCCCTCCAAGTAATTACAAAAGATAATAATGGAATGACTCAATAACCCTTCATCTAAGATTTCTTATTTCTCTTGATTTACTCTTGGTATTCCATGATCAAAAGTATCAAGTTCGTATTCATTTCTACCTGCTCGTATCACAAGTCACACCCTGGCCGGATTTAAGGTTTGAATGCTTATTATTAATTGTGTAAAAAGTCCCGAGTCCAGTGGATTTGATGGATCTGCTTGTGCCCGTCAGAACTTAGAAATCTTTTAGCTAAGCCCAACTAGCCAGCTAAGCCCAACTTATTCAGCATTGCATTTGCCTGGCCCCACCCCGCAATCCAGCCGCAAATACTCGTAACCTGAAAGAATCCAGAATCCACCCACCCACACTCATCCCATCCACACACATCCACGCACATCCATAATCATCCTTCAATTATTCAGAAAACTTTACTCATCGCACGCGCCGTCCGAATATCATCCGTAATACGTACGGACCGGCTCATCCATCGCATTCTTTACCACTGTGCGCATTTTTTATGATACTCACACATTATTACTCCGCATAACAAGATGAGCTCATCAAATCCCCCGCCTTCTCACCAAGCAAGACCGCAACCTCAAGTTCAAGCATGTCGATACAAGACGGGAAAGACGCTGGGCGCGGGTTCATACTCAGTCGTCAAGGAATGCGTGCATATTGATACTGGCAGATATTATGCCGCCAAGGTCATTAATAAAAGATTGATGGCAGGCAGAGAACATATGGTAATTCCTTCCCGACCCCTCAGTCGGCACTGTAACAATATACTGACATGGCTCGTGTAGGTTCGCAATGAAATCGCGGTACTCAAACGTGTTTCCATGGGACATCAGAACATCCTTACCTTGGTTGATTACTTCGAAACCCTCAACAATTTATATCTTGTTACCGACTTGGCCCTAGGCGGAGAATTATTCGATCGCATTTGTCGAAAGGGTTCTTACTTTGAATCGGATGCTGCTGATCTTATCCGGGCAACGCTTTCCGCGGTAGCTTATCTCCACGACCATGGCATCGTCCATAGAGATCTCAAGCCCGAAAACTTATTGTTTCGAACCCCGGAAGATAATGCGGATTTATTGATTGCAGATTTTGGTTTGAGCAGAATAATGGACGAGGAACAATTCCACGTTCTGACCACCACTTGCGGTACCCCAGGTTACATGGCACCTGAAATCTTTAAAAAGACCGGTCACGGAAAACCAGTAGATATATGGGCAATTGGTGTCATTACGTACTTCTTATTATGTGGATACACGCCCTTCGATAGAGATTCCAATTTGGAAGAAATGCAAGCTATTCTCATAGCCGATTACAGTTTTACACCTATTGAATATTGGCGAGGTGTAAGTCGAGGAGCTCGAGAGTTCATCAAGAAATGCCTTACCATAGATCCTACACAAAGAATGACGGCCCACGAAGCATTGTCGCATCCTTTCGTCACCGGAGAATCAGTGTCAAAGGATGGTAAAGGTAGCGATTTACTACCGGTGGTCAAGAAGAATTTCAATGCCAGAAGAACTCTGCACGCTGCTATCGATACGGTGCGCGCTATTAATAAACTTCGCGAAGGTCAGGCTGGCATGATGGATGGTGCGAAATCTATGGATCCGGAACGTGGCGCTAAGCCTTTGAGTACGGTTAGTAAAGATTCCGGGTTAGGTGGGATGGGAACAGGGGATGGAGATAGCGCCACGGACATTGATTCGGGGTATGGTACCGTCGGTGCAAATAATGACGAGCGTGAAAACTTTATGAGGGGTATGGAGAGAACTTCTGGTCATGGCCAAACGGAAGCACAGATCGAAGCGCAGACCAGGAAAATTGCAGAAACGACAAAGGGTTTATGGTGTGCAGGAACGGCACAACTCTCAGGAAGATGATGATGATGATGAAAAGCACTTGATATTCAAACTTCGATTCTTCTTCCTTCCCTTGGCTCTGCGAGTACCCTTTACCATTTCTTTTTTTTATCTTCTACTCAAGTTACACTGGACGATACAGAGTTTTACGAGCATGATTTATTTCTCCCATGGCGTTTTAAGCCCACTCATTTTTCCAATGAGGATTTGAAGTATTTTTTGAGCAGCTTTGGGTTGGGAATCTTCGGATCGCGCGTAATGCGGATGACACATGAGACAGATGGGCTAGAAGCTCTCGGAAATCTAGGGATGTGTCGAGAAAGCTGTAGATTTCTTAATGACAGGATACATTTCAAATATGACATGATACTCTTGGGATGTTACATCGTGAAGCAGAGAGTTCAGGTTAGTCGTTATTACTCCTCTTTCCTTATCACACTATAGAAACAAATGGGGCGTGTTGCATCAAGTCTAGCCATTCATGAAGTCTTGACCGTTTTAAAGTTCTTGGAGCCTCAAGCAATGCTCAGGTAGCCCTTGTTATTTCATCTTACTCGATATCCACAGTTTATCTATATCCCTCACCCTCCCCCCAGCAAATCCCCTCCTTTAGTCCTAACGGGCGCTCCCGTCTTAATCATGCCAAGAGATCTCTAAATTAATGGATTTATCCAAACAGATAAGATATTCGTAGACGGATTAATTCTCTTGATTTTGCTTAGATGTTTTGTGCAGATGCTTGGATAACTTCTTGGAGATAGCCAAGATGTTTTGTTATCGCACGACTCAAGACTCTTCAAGTATTTTTTGGCGTCGGACGAGTGGATTTTAACGTTTCATTAGCCTTGGGTCTTGGCATTTTTGTTGGCCGAAGCGGATGAGTGGATGTAGTGGATTGAAGGTGTGACTTGAGGTTGACGCTGGCGGTGGAACGGGGTTGCATCGCATATGGTGGATAGCTGATGAATTTTAGCTTAAATATCTGATGAATTTCCTCCTCCTGTCATATTTTTTCCGTCACAGTTATCGGTCTCATCACTTTCATCACTTCTCATCTCTTCACTTCACTTCACTTCATTCATATATATATTAACTCAACTACCTACCCCAAGGAGAGATAACTTTGATTGATTGATTCATCATCTATCTTCACTACATTCATCTACATCTGCATCTTCAAAGATCTGATATCCTTCACGTGAATATAACATTACATCACATCACGCCGCATTTCCTCTTCTGGAACGGAGTCACTATTTCTACTTTGAGTTCCGGAGTCACAGAACATCATATAAAAATTTACAGAGCTTTGTTCTTTTTGAACTTTAGATCAAAGTGATTTCATCCTACATATCTGCCTGCCCCTCATCATTAGTCGGACCCGAGTTTAAACTTTAAATTCACCTCATCAATACTATCTATCCGAATCCGATTCCAAATCCACGAATCATCCACCAAACAAATTCACATTACAACAAGATCTCTTAACTAAGCCTTCTCATCACATTACTTACATCCATTAAATTTCACACAACAAATAACTTTACCTCAACACTAAACACAATGGCAGCTCCAGAAGCCCTTCCCTCTATCGCCCGCCACCTCCTCCGCTTCAACCACCAATCCAAAATCCCTTTCCAAACCAGCTCCAAATCACTCTACCACCATAAATCTCACGTTAAGTCTCACGTGGCTCCTATCGTAAATGGTCTTCATGTATCTATCTCTGCGCGGATCGCCGCTAGTAAGGGTGACAGAGAGAGGATTTTGAAGAGTATTGAGCGTGCGAGAGAGGCGAGAGAGAAGAGGGATAGGGGGTTGAGAGAGGGTATGGGTGGTGTGGCTGTGGGTATGGGTGTGGAAAGAAAAATTTGGGAGGAACAGGTTTATCCTCCTGTTGGTGGGTTGTTTGTTTGAGGGGGAGATGTGCGGTGTAGGTGTAATAGGATAGGGGTATGGTTTTAGGGGGTTTGGTGTCATGTTATCATGTCATTTCATATGATGTGATACTGGGACTAGGACTAGGACTATAATGTCTTGTCTGAGGATAGACAGTACTCACTCGATGAATCGAATCGATGTCTCTACTCGAAGGCATCGCCATTCATGTACTTTTTGTATATGATGATGATATGTGTCACGATACATACACATACATATACATATACATCATGCACATACATCATCATATGTATATATACATGTATAAAGTCGACCGTCTACAGAGACAAAATACAGAAGGAAGAACACGAGAAGGAAAGAAAGAAAAGAAAAGAAGCCGGAAGATTGGAAATTGGCATAGTTGGCCTTTTATTCATTCGTTCGTTTATTCGTTCTGTTCACTCACTTCATCCCATTTGTCTTCAAGTGGTTGTTGGTGTTGTTCTTGTGGTAGTAGTGGTCGATTTATTCCTGTTCTTGGATTTTTTTTTCAGATTGATCTTGTTCATCTCAAAGAGATGGGATAGGAAGAAGTCAGTAACTTTTATGTTTTATCTTCTGCTACCTACAGTATATAGGATATATACTACTAGTATCTATTTGTTTATATTTAGGGATTTTGGATTTTTAAAAGATTGGTTGGGTTTTATTCTAGATATATGGATACTTGGATAGTTATATAGTTATATAGATAGTAGACAGATTGTTGGGATGAGTTTATGAATTAATGAATTATGAATTTTTATATATTTTTATTTATATTTATTTATACTTGCTCGCTCTTGGGTGATTGTCATTTTGATTTTTCTTTTTGTAAGTGATTCTTTAATTTGGTTTACTTTCATGACTGGGATTGAGATAGAGATGGAGATAAAGATGAGATTGATAAACTGAAGATTTTAGTGTTCTCATTTTAGTTATTTATATAATTATAAATTTAATTATAATACAAAATAAAAATTTAATCAGAAATTAAAAATTAGATATTCAAAAATTTTCAAGATGTATATAAAAAAGCTATTTTTTGTTACGAGGTTTGCCGTCTAGATGTTACGACGGGCTACACAACTACCAAGACACGTGATCACAAATGATCAGTAGTGATCATAGAAGCATGAAGGACTATATAATCAAGATGGATTTCCTTTGTATAGAGCTTCGTGCTCAAGATCAATCATTTAGTATACTCTACTATTAGTTACGAATTGCATTATTGTCATTACTTTAAGTCCCTGCTTGACGCCTAGTTATAAACCACCTCGAGAGCCTAGAGCACTTCCACGTGACCTAGACGGCAAACCTCGTAACATTAGTTGTCAATGGGTACTTGAGTATAAGTTTAGAATATCCATACCTCTATAAAATGAGCGGGTTGAGTGTTCGTTGGCGTTATATACCTATCTAAGTCATTTATTTCGTAATCTATATATACGCTTTTATAAATATCTCACTTTTTTCCCCCTTTGATAATTTAGATTGAGAAGTCCTCAGGGTTGGAGGCGGGGGACTGAAGAAAGAGTTTCAAAGCGAGGCCTTTTTTTAACGTATAGATTTAATATTCATGAAGAGAGCTAGCTGTCTTATTGAGACCCTAACCCTAGCCCCGATACTTTCGCTTGCAGGCGATGATTCTAATACATCTGGAATACCAAATCAATATCAATATCAATACTTTGTAGCTTGGTCATTCATTTAATCACACAACCGGAGTAATCTTTCTATAAGAACCCAGGAAACATGCTGGTAGAAATAACTTTATATATGTTGGGTTTCTTAAGACCAGAAAGAGTATCAGATTGAATTGATTTATTCTCTAGCTAAGCAGTTAAGCTGCGAGCATATATTCAAAAAAATGAAGGAATAGGTTGGGTATTCGGCCTTCGGAATTAAAGTGCTTTGAAATCAAAATATTGAAAGCAAACAAACAGTATACCAAAAAGGAAAGAATGAATTAAAAGTTGAGTTTTGTTTGCTCCTTATATGCATATGTACTATATATGCATATGCTGCCAAGATCCCAGGAGGTCAACAATATACGACTCGAGAAATGGTGTGACATACTGCTCGGTAAGTAACCTATAAACACAAATCTTCAAAGACATCTAATCCAGTGCTGAGAACTATTCACTCATAGCCTCACAACCTAATCACCCTGGCAGACCTAAATCCAACCTCAAATCACAGCACTAAACTTGTCCGATCAGATATACAATAAAAGTGTTTCAAAGTTCTTTTATTTACTGATATATCATCAAAAAAGATTTCAGGTTTTTCTTGATCAGACTGTTATATCAATGAGATGTGCAATGAAGTACTTTGTGAGTATTTTACTGGTTGGTAGGTATTGGTGGTGCATGTTGGTGGACATCATGCCATTCGACTGAGATATGTAAAAAAAAAAAAAAAACAACTGGAATGATCTTTGTTCACTGCTAGACCTTAATGTGAAAAAGGCTAGACTATTAAATCCGTTATTTGGGAAGGGCTACCTCAACTTTGAGAAAGCTCAATGTAGATAGGTACGTAAATTCAGGGAAAGGGTTGATATCGTTGAAGAACTGCCCGCCCTTGTATACACATGAACATAGAGGCTTGAGAACATATAAGGTAAATTGGTTGATTCTTGGTACTGAATACTTTTCCTTTCCGAAGTCCAATATCTCATATAGAGCAACCTTCCTCCCATACTCCTGCCCAAAACCAACGCCATCAATGAACTTTACCCCTCCTATAAATTATGAGGATGTGGCTTCAGAATTCTCACTCGCATGCACCTTCGGATCCTCCCGATTTTATGTTGCGCTCAGTTTCTTCTATTCCGTGAATATGAAGCACTTATTATAGCTTTCGAAGTGTATGTTGCAATACTGTTTGAATACCCGAATCTAGCTCTGGTAATGCTAAAATTGCTTCAATCCATGCCTTTGTCTTCATTGATAATTGAGTCTTGTCATTGATATTCTCTATAGATTCCTTGAGGCGATTGAGTGCTGATCCAATGGCTACTGCAAATTCGGGAGATGTATGATCGATACCAATTAATGGTTGACGAATATAACAATTGCATGTTGCGGGATCCTTTGGATATGATTCCAACATACTATCCAAAACATGTTGAAGAATCTTAGAAAGACATTTGACTTGAGTAAATGCTGCAAACATATCGAAGAAACCTTCCGCGGCGACAGATGAAAAGAATGGTTGCTTTTTAGCAACATCGAATATGGCAAGTGGGATGGCACCGTTGAGAGCTGGTGTGGTCATGGGGTCTTTTGCAGCTTCGGAATCCACTCCTACTCTTGCCATCAAGCTTGGTTGCATTGTATTATCCTTGAAATCTGGAATTGCAATCATATCCTGTGAAGTTGTGAAACCGGACTCCTCGGCTGTTTCTTCGATATCCTTTGGCGCTTCGATAGTCCTGTCGATATCCAGACCAAGAATCCCCCTACGAATAGCAATCTTTGCCAAATAAATCATCTCCAATTTCGCATATTCGATCCATAAATCCTTACTCCTGATGCAAAATCGAGTTCCTCTCTGCATATAACTCCTCGCCTCATTCATATCCGCATCCAATTCCAAAGCCCATTTTGCTGCATAAAGCCACAATTCCGGCTTCGTAGGATGTAATCGAATTGCCGCCGTCAAAACCGTTTTGAATTTCTTTGTCGCTTTTGCTTGTCTTGCATATTCCAAATATGACATCCATAATGCGACGTCGCCGGGATGTTTCTTCACACCTCTATCGAAAATACCGAATACACGCGCTTGGCCAGCATGCGATGAGCTTCCTTTTATGCGCATTCGTTTACATCTTTTTTGACGCAGATGCTCAAGACTCATTTCCCATGCGGCATATCTAGCAAAATCGATGGCTTGGGAGCCTCTTACCAATACTCTATGTTCGAAGTCGGATCGCTTTTTGACCAATGTCTTAATTTCATCCTGAATACATTTTTTTGGTAAGTAACCAATCGCAAAGTAAAAACGCATATAAAACCCAGGCAAATGTAAACGAACCTTTGTAAATATTTTCTTTTGCTCAAATTCTTGTAGTTGAGGAACACCTTGTTCAAGATAAAATCTTGCTTTATCATTCGCACCCGACATTGTTGAATTATTTGGATATTGACTTGTATGATGATGACCTCTCTCGACTTTCCTCGCCTTGGAAATCTTCAGAAATTCTTTGGGCGGTGAACTATCTTGGGGAATTTCTGCCAGACTAAGTTGTCGGACACCGGATTATATGATTTACCGAATTGCCGTTGAGCAGGGCAGGGATCACAGCAGCGTCATTTTTACATTTGTTTACTTTAACCTTACACATTGAACTCTACGCGCCACGAGTTGGGAATTGAAAGCTCCACTCTAATAACTTTACTAGCTACAACTAGCTACAACTAGGTATCTAACCAACCGAACGTCACGGAGCCTTCGGAGGGCTGAGAAATTTTGTTTCTGCATGGTGCGGTGCTTGGTGCTTGGTCGAATTCCTATAATTACTTCTTGACTCACCTTACCCTGAGAGTCTTTGGAGGGGGATTCAATGATCAATCCATTCGTTTGTTTCAATTACAGCTTGAACGGCTTTACAGCTCTACGGTTATACGGCATTCACGACATTCACGGATTGATTATCCAACAATTCAAATAAGCGCGCGGCCGCCCACCTACCTGTACCTTACATTAACTCCGATTTGATTACATCTCATTTTTCTTCCCTCTTTCATCTCTCCGAATGCGAAGGATTACACTCATTTGGATGTGAATGTTCCATATACAAAGTGATTAAAATCACAGATGGCACCTAAATTCAAGGACGGGGATACCGTGATCGCTTTCTCAGCTAAATGGGTGTCATGGACTCATACTGCAGTCGCATATGGTAAGAACAATCTCACTATTTGTCTTTATTGTTTATACTGAGATTTACTTACAATTATCAATAGCTGCCTTTATAAGCGCACTCATTGTCGGAGTGTCCCTTCATTATCATAAAATCGTTCAAAATGAATACTATGGTTATCCAGATGAATGGTTCCCCTCGGTTTCCGCGACAATTGGGGATCGATATCCGGAACGTTCATTTTTTATGGTCTTCATAGCTATCACTTCTGGTATGTGGCAGAAATCAATCCATTAGGGTCATTTGAAGCTTGTTAATATATCTTCTAGGCCCTAGATTTGCACTCGTTGGACTATGGTACCTCTTAACTGCGCGACCGAATGCGAAGTTGCCTAAATTCGTTGCTTTTACCGGTGTTTTCCGTACTCTTACATGTGGTGGCTGGACTTATATTACCTCCACGGACGATCACGATTGGCATGATATTTTTATGATTTCATATCTGGTGGCTACTCTGCCATGGACTTTAGGATGTTTAGCTTTGAGCCCGGATAATGCGCGAGCCGTCAAATATCGAAAATACCTTGCAGGATGTTTCTTTGGAACTTTGGTGCCATTGGTTTATTTTTTTATACAACATAAAGTCCACAGGGTTGCCGGAGGTAAGGATTTTCTGTCCAATCAGACGTCAAATTTTGACTAATGTGATATCTAGCATACACAACATACGCTTTCTTTGAATGGGCTTTGATTTTGTTTGATGTGGCTTTCGATGCTGTTACAGCTCTCGATTTTGAAACTTTCGAATTGGTTGTGAAGGATGTTAAGGGCCAGTCTAAGGGGTACGTCCAATGGCTCCCAAAATAGTGTATAACATTTTTGGTGGTGATGTAACATCATTATGATCATGTCTAAATCAGTGTCATTATTTAGAAAAGATAAGATGGTAGTTGATAAAGTACTTGAAAAAGAGTTTGTGAAATCTGATTCCCCACTGATATATTTTAGCTAATCGGTAAGTAGAAAAGAAAAGCAAGTCGATCAGCTATTCGCTCAATCTTTTTCATGGTCTGAAGCTTTTGATGCAGCAGCTGATGTCTATCATGGCGTAAGTATTGCTTATTGTATAATTAGAGTTTTACTGAGATTTGTCTAGTTCGTATTCTGGTCAATGTTGACTTCTTTGGGCATAGTCGTCTGGTGTAAGTATTTGAAAGGAGATTTGATGAAATTCGCTAATCATATCAGACTTCCCTTTATGGCATATGGGTATATCAGGTTATGAAGCTATGGTTATGTGCACTGTTTCTCCGTTACTCTTGGGAATTAGATCCATCCGAGCATTAGTTGTAAAAAACCTTCGGATATGTCATCTCATATCCTTGATTGGATTATTCGCATATCAGATCACGAGCCCAGCACCTAGACTTTTCATTGTTGGGGTCGGCCTCTGGATGTCATGTTTATCCTGGGCAGCTACTTGGTACGCATCAGCAGGACAGCCAGGTCGCCTTGAATCAAAGATCTCAGCTTGGGCTATTGGTCTCGTCGCATCAAGTGTTGTTAAGTTTGCATTCCATACCAATAATCCTATATGGCCTACTTCACATGCTGAAAATGGTGGCTTAAACGGTTATGGTCTTATAATCGCCATTCTAGCTGTTTTGCGATCAACACGGCAAAGTCCGGCTACTGGAGATCAACTTTCAGTTCAAGGTCGTAAGGAGGGACCATCACTACTTGCTGGTCTTGGTATTGGAGGTCTTTTCTTTGCTCTGCATTCCTTGCTATCCGATTCTAGCACGATGATCCTTTGGGTCTGGGAAGGATACCCTATTCGTGGTCCAATCTCAGCACCCCATGGTGCCTGGACAATTGCCGCAATGGGAGTTGGTCTCATTCTAGGATTATCCAATGAATCTCTGGCTCGTAGCTGGACATCATACGGCATTGGTTGTGTAGGTGCTGCCATGCTTACCCTATATAGTCATTGGAAAGGCTATTATGGTGCTCTGATTTTGACGGTTTATCTCATGGCTGTATCTGTTCCACTGTTGGGATCAGCTGCAAGAAAGAGCCCAGCTAAAACGTTTGGAATTGGTTTCCTCGTATACAATATCATGGTATTGTTCCATGTTTGGGTCGTGGCTTATGCTTTTGTTCCAGGTGGTCCTCTTGTTAGAGAACATACAGACTGGGTCATGACTGTCACGATGCTACTCATTGGCTGTGGCGTTTTCGCCACTTTCTCGTCTACTCCCGCATCACAACGGAAAAGACTCAATGCTTTGTTAAATCAACGAAAGCAACGTTTATACTACCTCTATGTTATCGCAGCCCTTCAACTCACATCTATTTCGACAGCATACATGCGATTTCCCACGTATGATTATGTTCCTTACCATAAGGATGAAAAAATACTCACCGCAGGTATTTGGACAATTCATTTCAGTCTAGACAATGATATGTGGTCATCCGAATATCGTATGCGAGATTTAATCAAAGAATTGGAAATCGACGTTATTGGACTTCTCGAATCAGATCTCCAACGTATTATCATGGGTAACCGTGATACAACTCAATTTCTCGCAGAGGATCTCGGCATGTACGTTGATTACGGGCCAGGTCCCAATAAACATACTTGGGGTTGTGCACTTCTCTCAAAGTTCCCAATCCTCAATTCCACCCATCATCTACTTCCCTCACCAGTAGGAGAATTAGCTCCGGCGATCGCAGCTACCCTAGACGTATACGGAAGTCCAGTTGACGTCTTCGTTTTCCACTCAGGCCAAGAAGAAGATCCGGAAGATCGAAGACTCCAATCCGAATATTTAGCCGATCTAATGGGGGCCTCCACAAACCCTTCGATCCTCCTCTCTTACCTCGTCACCAAACCCCTCGAAGGAAATTATAATACCTATGTATCCGAAAGATCCGGTATGCATGATATTGATCCAAGTGATTGGGATAGATGGTGTGAATATATCCTTTATAAAGGACTTAGAAGATCTGCATATGCCAGAGTTTCTAGAAGTACAATCACGGATACGGAATTACAAGTTGGTAAATTCATAGTTGGGGAGCCAGAGGGAGAAAGTGAGGAAGTGAGGGATAGGAGGATTGATGAGAAGGAGGTGGTGGTGGGGAAAAGATTTCCCGAGTTGTTTAAGGGGGATGGAGTTAGGGGCCATAGGTACCATGTATTTGATGAGCCGAGATATTACGGATAGGAATAGGTTTTTCATGTGGCATTATACTTAACTTACGGGATGAGATTGGGAGGCTAGAATAAGAGACGAAACGGCGGCATTAATGGTGGGTGGAATAGAATGAAAGTGTGTATAGGTACTAGCTATATATTGTTCTATACTCTTTTTTTCCTCAAGGGGTCTTTTCTCTACTCTTTTCTTTTTCTTATCTTATATCCACGATATAAGAGGGGGCAGTGATGGGAGGAATAAGGCAATACCCAAAATTAATATACTATGGAAATATTTAATGATTATCTATCTGGTGTTTAAGAATGAAACTAAGAGAGTGATAATAAAAGATGAGATTATTATCTATCTTTCTCTAATATTGAATGAGAATTAAAAGTTATATCTTTTATGAATTTGAACTTGAATGTGGATCGTAATCAAAGTTTGAATCTGGGAAGATTTTAGTATTTCGTACAAGTCTAGTACTCTCTTTCAGACTATTTTTAATTTAGATTATTTATTTACATCAAGAATGATGATTTTTTATCTATTAATGATTTTATAACAAATAAATACCATTTCATAAAATTAAAATCATATATTTATTATATGTAATAATAATAAATTATGAAAATTTCAAATTTTTTATAATTGATTTTATTGAGATTTCTAAGGAACAATTGAACCCTGGTTTTCCAGCAGTTTATTGCGCCACAATATACATCTAATCCGGCTAAGAGTCAATCTTACAACAACTGTTGCAACCGTGCCGTGATTTATATTAGATAAATGGTTGGTTCATCGGTGCGATATTGGCCCTTGATCCAATCGCACATTGTAATTAAAATCACGCAGAGTTGGAACCCACGTTTTGTACCCCTCTTTCAAGTGAATGAGTTTAGTAACTGACATCGATTCTACTATGGGAGAAAGGGTTTTGCTCTATACAGCCAACTGGGTTTTAGCGGCTGCATAATCCAAAGAGCGAGAATCGGAATGAAGAGCTAAATCGGTAACAAGTCTAGGCAAGTTGATCTTGCTTAGGGAATAAAAGGAAGGCGCTTAAGCCCAGTTCCTGAACGTTTGTAAGATTATCATACAACAGCCATCCTACACAAATCTCCAAATTTTCCAAAGTAACTCAGTTCCTCCAAAGAAATATTCCATCAAAATACCTTATCAAACCACCCACAATGCCACGCAAAGACGTCGAGTTTAAAACACACGACGATGTGACTCTTCGCGGTTGGTTGTACACACCTGCGAGCGTTTCGGAAGACCAAAAGCTGCCGGTCATAATCATGTCTGCCGGCTGGGCGAGTCTCAAAGAAATGAGTCTAGATCAGTCTGCTGAGGCATTTGTTGCCAAGCTTCCTATCGCTGCTCTTGCTTACGACCATCGGAGCTGGGGTTCAAGCGATACGGCCCCAGGACAACCAAAGCATGAGATTATTCCATCTATTCAGATGTCCAACATGCAAGATTCAATCACCTATGCACAAGGACTCCCAAATATTGACGCAACCAAGGTTGCCCTTTGGGGAAGCTCCTATAGTGGAGGTCATGTTCTGCAAGTCACGGCCATTGACAAGCGTGTGAAAGCTGTCATCAGCCAGGTAAGCTTTCTTCGATGCTGAAAAAAGATTCCTAAAGTATAACTAATCTTTCTTTTAAGGCGCCCATGGTCAGCGGCTGGGAAACCCTCCTTCGCCTCATTCGTCCCGATCTTATTCCTGGCATCAACGCCATGTTTGCAGGCGACCGCCTCGCCAGAGCGGCAGGACAAATTGCAGCAACCGTTCCTGTATCCGATGCAAACCCTCTAATTCCTTCTTCCCTACCAAGCACCGAAGCATTCGCATTTTACACTGAGTGGGAGTTAAAGCTTGAAGGGAAGTGGAAGAATGAAGTAACAGTTCGGAGTCTTGAAGCTAGCCGTTCATATGATCCTGCCCTATTCATTGAACGCATAGCACCTGTACCATTGCTTATGGTTGTTGCAAAAGAGGATGTCACCACGCCTGTTGATATCTCTCTAGCTGCTTATCAGAAGGCTCGTGAGCCTAAGCAGCTTGTGTTACTTCCGGGTGGCCACTTTGAGGTGTATTTAGGTTCAAATATGCTCTTAGTTCTAGGCAGGTTGAGTTCTTGCGGGAGAACTTTTTGTAATTGATTTTTGGCGCAGTCGAGATGTTCGGTGACGAGAGGAGATTAGGTTATGAAGGTTGTTTAAGTCGCTTTATTCACAGATACATTTCGTGTCTCTATAGCTTGGGATATTGTGAGTGACCTTAGCTTGTCAATTGAAATTTTTCATGAACTCAAAGTAATATCTTACAAAGAGCCATTGAATGAAGTCAAAAGCTGCCACTGAACATTCTTGTGGAGAAACCCGCCCAATCCAGTGAGTTTTCCTCGAATTTGCTGTAAACTCCGACGAAAGTTTTGTCAAACACAGTCCAGGACTTCCATACTAGCAGAAGAGCCTACACCGTAAGTGAAATCTACAAACTCCACAGAGACTATCTATACCAGCATTTCCAAGAGCTTTCAGCACGTACAAATTTCGGGGTTTCAAACCCATTCTTAGAATCAGAAATGACAAAAGAGATATGAATTATACAGGATTTCATGATGGATTTCCGTTTGGATCCTTTAATAGTAAGTGATGATTTTCTTCACTAAAAAAGAATAAGTTAAAGTATAGTATATTATTTTTCACTCCGAGCTACTCAATTGGTCTTTACTTCTTATATCTGACCTCTTTATAATTACCCTCTTAAGAGCTGGAGACATTAATTTAAATTCAGGTTTTGCTGTCGTCATATATATTCCGTACGGACTTAGATGAATCGACTGATGTCCTTATTGATAGAGGAACTGGCATTCTGGGAGATTGATTTGGATAGTTGTACACTATACTTACGCTTATACGGTGCGGATAAGCGAGCCAATCATCTGAGAAAGGAAGATTAGCTAAGGAAGAAAGGTCATTGATCAATATATATATATAAACTTATTATAAAAGGAACGATTCCTTTGAAGGAATTCGTTTTCCCATGGGTATATTTCAGAAGCTACCTGTATCATGGTCCAACTTGGATCTCACTTTATGTATACTTGCTCGACTCTCAGATACCCGCACTTTTTCTCCAGCGTCACAGAGCAGACACGCAATCTTTCAATTATGCACTGTAACTCACACGTATGTCGATGAAGCTCCATCAAGGAGCAATGAAAGATCAATGGCACTGAAATTCACACGTTGTCATAAGTGGTTGGTAGTTGGAAGTTCGAAATTTTCACTTGAGCAAATTCTATCTTATATTGAGAGCAGTTCCTCCGATTTCTCTGAACACTACTCCTAACTCTTTTTTTTAAGAAATCTCCGTCTGTAGACTGTGTAAAGAGTGTTACTCTGCATTCTTTCAATATAGGAACCACTTATGACTTTGCTATCTTTGGCTAAAGGGTTTCAGGCCTTGTCTTGGCAAGCAACCTCCCAGAGGATGCCGCTATCAAGGTTCTAGTTTTTGAAGCTGGCGAAAGATACCTCGACCACATCGCCAAATTGCCCGCCGCTTAGCCTATACTTCTGAAACAGTAGCAATTTGGACCTCAAAACTAATGCTCAGATTATTAAACACATAGAAATCTACCATATCTTTTTACTAATGTATCCAAACTTAGGCAGTTCTCAATTACCAGATTATAACTCTTCCTTAGAGGCGTGCACTGGGAGGTTCCAGGGTCATCGACTCCTAGATCTTTACAATACCCTTTCAAGCAAGTATGGATGCTTGTGCAACTTTGGGCAATCCTGGATGGGCCCGGAATACACTCGCCTCGTATTTGCGCATGTTCCATACTTTCACAAAACCACCAAAGTTGATGTCGTGGAGCTTGAGCTCCACAACAAGGGTTCTACTGATGAAATGAAGCTCGACCGTGTCCATTTTTTGTCCATTAGTGGAGTAGATTTTCCTTTCCAATGCATCTGGAATACATTTGGAACAAAACTTCCGAGAAACTCGGATTCAGCTTTAGAAGCAACATCGACAAAGGTAACATTATTTGAATCATACTCTAATCCTGCTGATATTGCCCCATAGCCAAGCAACGCATTATGCTCCTGTGGCATAATATGATTAGGTTCTAGACCCGGCCAACTTGACGGTTCAGATTGAGGCTGTGGCTACTAAGACCTTGTCTGAAGAGGAATCCCCGAACCTGATCGCAATTGGCCAAGAATTTACCCACGAAGGGGAGGTGAAGATTGCGAAAGTTTTCAAGAAAGTTATTTTTGCAGCTGGCACAATCCATAGCACTTTGCTCCTTAAACTCTCAAGGATAGGATCCCCAAAGATTCTCGAAGTACATGGAATAGATTCCCGTCTCTGACCTCAATTTGGAAGAAGAACTTACAGGATTCTATCGTCAGCACAGTAGTTTATGAAATAGTTGATGGAGTTGAGGCCATCGATAATTCCGTACGTTACGACCAACTGCAAGAAGCTTTGGGCAAAGCCATGGCAGAATACATGTCAATACGATCCCGGCTGTTCTTCCCGGCTGCTCTCACTTTCACTTTTCTCGTCCCTGTCGTCGAAGGCCAAGAGGATATTATACAAGTTGCTAAGCACTTACCGGGCAATTTCTACCGAATCTGCTTACCACACATTCGTTCGTTCGATTTCTGTCCCCGGGAATTCAGAACAAGGCAGTGGCATGGTTTTCATGTACAGAGCACCAGCAGATTTTGGAGCAAACCCAGCAAACTTTGCTGAGCAAATGAACTTACCCTGGCCGAGCTCCTTAAAACTCTGTCACAATTAGCGCTGTTACTATTATAAACTCCTTAGTAACCGGGAATGTCAATATATCCGTAAAACTCAATCGCCAATCCTTTATTAGATCCAAATACTTCGCCCAGCGTATTAATGCCGAAGTCATGGCTCGCAGTATTTCGGTCCCCGGAAAATTAATAACCACATCCCCCTCTTCTTCTTTGCTGAAGCCCAATAGGAAACGAAACAAATACGAGGCAGAAAATCTGAATGAAGTCAAGAAGTATATTTAAAGACGGGCCTTCCTTATAAGTGGGATCCGACCGAAACATGACTGTCGATGCTACCGAAGGGGAAAGGGGTGTTGTCGTTACGGGCTCGAGCTCGAAAGTATATGGGGTCAAAAACTTGCGTGCACGTGTTGTAAATGTTAGCATCTTCCCAATCCTACCACACTCTAACAAGCTGCAGAGCCCAATGTTTTTCGGTACTGAATGCATAACGACTTAGTTTTAGGAATTGCCCAGCTAATGCTAATGTGAAACTGTATTGGTCCTATATCTCAACAACCCGGAACGTTCTGTGGCTCGAAAACAACATATCCCGAATATTCTCATCCTTTTCACTGCCTATCCAAATATTATCGTAGGTAGGCTAGTTCACCCTTATTATCATATCATAAGTACCTACCGAACTATAGCTATAGATGTTTACGAAACCATCCAATCAGAGTAAAAGAAATTCAGTAAAATAAACAATACTACTTGGACGATTTTCCGCCCAACCAACCACCTCCAAATTCCCACATCTACTCAATCATCGATCATCTAATCAAAAGCAGAAACAAAACTCCCGAAAAAAGAAAATCTTCTCAATCCACACGACCAATCCATAAATCCACAAATCCACAAATCCGAAAGTACAAAAGTAAGATATAAAAGTAATCTATAGCTACCTACCAAAAGTACGAGTACCAAAATACAAAACCAAGAACCAAAAAACCCTAAAAGTGGATTTCCGAATCCGCCGATCCAAATTCAAAGATCTAAAATCAAAGATCTAATTAAGTTCTTCAACCTACAGAAGTGCATTACCCACCAGCTTCCGGATCTATAGGGACATAGAAATCATTTTACCCACCAGCGGCCGGATTTATAGGGATGTAGAAATCATATTACCCACCAGGGGCTGGCCTTATAGGGATATTTGAATCATATTACTCAGGTAGGGGATTTCTATTCTATGCCATGTGGCAAAAACATGTCCTCCATAGTATGTATACCCACAGGGAAACGAGAAATAGGAGATTGTAAGATGAGGTACGGTATTTGTTATATTATTGAGATCGGATGATATTTGAGGATTCTGCGGAGAGTGTATAGGTAGGTATATATTCAATGTACTTTATAAGTCTAGTACCCTACTTTTGGGCCACCCCTAATATGGGCTACTCTTTTATATCAAAAATAACGATTTTTATTTATTTATTAATTATTCAATGGTTAATGAATAGAATCAATTGAAATTTTAATGACAAGATTATTATATAATTATAAATAAATTCTGAAAATTTCAGATTTTTCGTGATTTTATTAATTGAGATATTAATGATTGAAATTTCGATTTTCAATTTGTATAGGATTTATTGTAACGATACTATACTGGAGGTAGCGGCTGCCTAAGGTTTCATCTGGTTGGTAGTGGTGAGTTAAGGCTTTATCACTGGTATTCACTTGGAAGTGAATTCGTTACTAGATCAAGTAGAATGTAGGTAAACTAATTGATAACTAAGTTGAGCACGAAGCTCCTAAACTATGAAACTACTCTGACTATACAATGATCGATAAAGGGAGCCCCTAGGAGCTTTGAGGGCTCCTGGGGCTCCTTATCACGTGATTACTTTTCATCCCAAGACACTAATCCTAATGGTGAATCGTGACACCAATATTCTTATTTCCCTCTACAGAACACGGCGACGGCGACAAGTTAAATTCAGTCTCGAAAAACTACCATCCGTATCTACTCCAAACACCAATAACCTCTCAACGCCATATGAGCGTACCCTTCTCATGTATCTCATGCATCTCATACATCTCGTACATCTCGTACATCTCACACAAAGCAAGAAATAAAAATATTAATCAACCTTAACCTTAACCTTCCTTCCTTACCCACATCATTCTCGAATCCTAAATCCTGAACCCCGACGAACCATACACCCACCATACAAAAAACTCCCAACGGAGTACGGACTAAACACACCCTTTACATTTCCGAGTCTAACCTAGCTAGCGATCTTACCTATTAGGTAACCTATTAGGTAGCCTATTAGGTAGGTGAAATAAATACTAGGTATTATTATGTATGATAAAGCACAGCAAAGTACTAGATTCTCAGTGGAGAAATCCAAAAAATTCAAGCCTTCCTCAGCCTAGAAAAGAATTGGGTCAGTGTTTTACTAAGCAAGCATGGCAATTCAAGCATGGTACAGTAATTGCAAGCATGACAAGCAAGGCAAGGCAAGGCAGTTCTCTCGCCCCGTTTCCCGTGCCGCTGGCTGGGAAATTACTGAGGGAGCTTTACTTACTTACTTGCTTACTTACTTGATGTACGGAGACGGGGGAGGGAGTTTTTTGCGTAGGGATTTAGATGAGTGGGCACTGGGCACTCACTGGGTGGGTGCGGATTGTTTGGATTGTTTACATGAAGAGATTTTTTTGGATGGGATGGATGGGATGGGTGAGATGGGGCCGGATGTTTATTACCGGTTTGTGTATGTATATGTATATATCGGATTTTTGGTTTTTGGGTTTGGAGAGATGGGATGAAATGAGATAGACTGGAAGGGGTGAGAGGGTTATTATACATACCTAGGTATACATAACATATACGAAGTATTAAGGTTAAAAGTAGAGATTTTAATTACTAAAATGGTAGTATATAAAATTATTAAATACTTATTTAAAAAAGATCTTATTGAGTACCTACCTAGATAAATAACCTAACTAAAGGAGAAAGGAGCCTGAGAGCGAACTCAGGTACGGAGATCGGAGCACAAATGATTGGACGATAAGTACCCTCAAAGCCTTAAAGTTACACCTACCTACCACCGTACTTCCTTCCATACATATACCTCGCAGCCAAAAAACGTGGTGAACTTTTAGTACCTACCTACAGTCTGCAGAACACTATAGTACCTAGATATCCGGCCGATAGGTGGATCAGCGCTTAATTCGACAAGTTAGTCGGTGGAACACGGTGGAGTTATCTCATTTATCTCATTTATCTACGTATATTCTACAAGTAGGTACGAGTAGGTAGTAGGTTAAAATATATACTAGATACTAGGTACCTAAGAGATAAAAGGACTAAAAAAGCCAAAAAAAAAAAAAAAAGAGATACCAGCCTAGATGAAAGATGAGAAATCACACCCCCACCCACTCATTCACACGTCATGTTGAACCAGAAATTTGATCGGTCTGACGATATGGAAATGTTTTAGCGAGTCATAAAGTCATAAAGTCTTGTGGCCTGCAGGTGATGATTTTTTTGGGCGATAGTAAAGGGGGTTTGTTAGGGATTGATTATTGTTTATTGATTATTGATTATTGATGCCTTATTTTTGTTTTATGCTTTTAGGATCTAGATGTAAGTAAGATAGATAGATAGATGATCATGGTCGCGTGAGGTTGTACACGAGGTATGTATCGCGACGGGAATTTTATGATTGAGATAAGATTTGATAGATAGGTAAGTCTTACCTAGATACCTAGCAGATAAGGATTTATCTCGGATTCTCTGTCTTGAGTGGTAGGTAGTAAATGTACAGAAGGGGATGAATTTGTCATCGCAAAGTTTGGATGATGGTGGTGTGATTGGAATCATTGGATTAATGAATTTCACCATCTACCGAAGTTTCCGGAGCTTACAGTCATTGTACAGTTTACCACGAGATGCTGACGATAAGCGTACCAATATCTTGTGTTCCGTACCAAGAAATGTTGTTCTTGTGTCAGTTTCATAGCTCCTGCTTGATTGCGCCGGCTGATGAGAGTGGAACTTTTATAAACATCGTGATCATTGTTGGTGTACTTGTCAAGATGTCTTATCGAATCAAATTATCCCCGGTTCGTGACTGGTGTAATACCTAGATAGTGAGGCGTATGGTACGTATTGAGCTTTGATATCGATAACGAGCAATTAAAGAATTGTGAAACATGACGATTGTTCATGGGATGATCCTCATCATGTAAATCAATGTACGAGCTTTTCCATCATGGCTGGGAATTGCTTGGTCTCAGAAACCCATGGGATTGTGCCTTGACCAAGGCATTTCTCAATTGAAAACACTGGCTACACAGGCGCAGCAGCACAGCATTGAAAATATACTCATTCTGGACCCCTCAATTGATGGGAAAGGTTGGAAGCACCTTTAAATGCTCATGGAATGCCCCTAATATAAGAAGTTCGCAGTGGCTTAGATCTTGGTACGCGAAACCTTGTGGGCGTGGAAGTATCTTTCATGAAATAGGGCAAGGGTGATTGTTGGGATGGATTTCAATGTGTTCCATCCGAATTGTTGCATTTGAGAGGTACATCGTAGAAATCTGGGGATCCTCAATACTCGCATGGTGAATGAGTTTGGATGCCCCTTCGTTGCCATAATCAAGGGTTCTCTGTCTGCCAAAAGGAGTTGCTTGCTGTGGGTTACATGCTCCCGTCTGGTCTAATAGGGGCACCATTGCACCAAAACAGAAACCATCGTTTGGACATACGTAGCCTGTATATTGATTCCTAAGAAATGATATCCTCTATTGTGGAATCCTCCACGATTCTGCGCGTCAGTAAGCTCGATATTATATTTGAATGAATCCTTGATACCGTCGTACTCCCTCCATCCTTCACTATTGTTATTTCCTTTCTTTCGAGGAAGCCTTATGTAAAAGGACCATGAAGTCCAGTATAACCAATAAAAGGACGAAGACGGTATATTCGGAAAGTCGGTCTTGGTTACTCAAGGACAAGGGGTTAAATTTTGATGTGCAGAACTTGATGAACAAAACATGGGATTTGTCCAATCATCAACAATATCCCTTTCGGATCATTCGATCACACAGCATAAATGTTATGCAGGTAATTATAATGATGGACGGCTGGGCTGTTGGTGATGAAACTTCAGCTCTATTGTTATTTGAAGCATTGAGACTTTTCAAACAATGCCGTTATCAGATATGCTATACTGTACGTATATGAATGGCTGTAGGAGAATGGGTACATGTACAGTAAACCTTATAAAAACTAAAGATAGATTTACGAGCCTCGAATGACCCTGTGTAGGCTGTGTTCCTTCATATATAGATAGTAGAAAGTCAATAACCCTTCCTCTTTCCTTTGTTCAGAGCTTCAAGGGTAATCTCGCAGCTCAAGCACTTTGCAATCCACCCAAAGGGAGAAATACCCTGTTGACATAATTTTACATCTCCTGCCGTCGCATTCGTAAGTTCTATGGCAACCTTGACAAAAAGCCATATGCAGGTGATAATTGGTTGCAGTCGGATTCGGATAGCTCGCATAGGGTGCCTAGTACGTAGGGTAGGTAGGTGAAAGTACCGATGTGCGATCTTAACATTAATTCTCACCTGTTTCTGATGCTCCATCCATTTGTTGGGGCTGTCTAAGCGCGTACCAAAGGTCGGACTTTTGGCCGTACAAGCTTTCAGGACTCACTTTGAACAAGGTCTTTTTCCCTTTGCTGCCGTTTTCGTTTCTTGCTCCGAACTTGAACTTCAAAGATGATTTTTGACATTCAATATGTTATATTTTATATCCATAGAATAGGTAGATATAGGTAATCAAATAGAATATCAATAATATAAATCAAAACAATACACCTAATACTCAATAAACCTTTGATCACTTACAATAAAAAGTTAATTTGTCTGTATTTCTATTCTAATAGTCTTCTATGATGGGTATATTTGCCAAGACTCAACTAATAATTCAATATGGATTTTCGACTTCTTTTTGCCAAGAACCCAGTCTCTTTTTTTCTTTCTTTCTTTTTTCTTAGCTGACATAACCTGCATTGAAATTAAGACCTTCAAACCTAAACGGGGCGCTGACCCATTCTAAGGGAAAAAAGGACCTGGGTGAAAAAAAAAAGACCTTTCTTAACTTCATTAGTACGGCGTTGTATCCTCCCAGATCCGACCGAATCTTTTCGCTGCTTCCATCATATATCCGATTCTTCCCTCATCAGTAATCTATCTACCTATCTATCTACCTACAATCTCCTCTTACCCTCTTCCTCTCTCACCCTCTCATAACTTTTTTTTCCTTTACTAAACTAAAATTCTATGATTCGATAAATCAAAATCACAAATAACATCTTCTCATTAAAAAAACCATTATCGATCATTCATGAGATAATTCATAGATTCCGACAGTTATAAATCAGCATCCTTCCATAAACTCCGCCATCTTCCTTTTTGCGCGTATCCGACAATTCCGTAGAAACGCCTCACCGTGTGAACAAAAAGTCGAACCGTCCAACATCAACATCAACGTCGACCTCTTTCTCAACTTTATTATACTTTTCAATACCTTCTTCATAGTCGCCATGCCGGAAACAAATTATTATTCTTCGACAACCTCTCCAACATTTACAAAAGCCAAAATGCCATTCTCATGGCCGTCAATACCTAATCCTATTCCTCGCAGAGTGAGACGGAGACTGAGGTCCAAGTTCCGTTCGAATACATCTCCGGCTTCGTCGATTGCTTCAATTGAGACGTCTTTCAACCCAAAAGATACATTACGAGCTTTGAGGTCACATAGATGGTCGGTTTATGATGGACAATATTTAATCTTGATCATTATTGCAATATTCTCGCTCTCAATCAGTCAGGCTCCTGGGCCTCTCATGAAGACTGGAGCTGCAACTCTTTTGATGCTGGCACTTCTTATGCCAGTTACGAGACAGTTCTTCCTACCAGTTCTCCCAATCTTCACCTGGTTGGTTTTCTTTTTCAATGCTCGGTATGTGCCTTTCTCTCTTATTTCCCGTTGCGATTCTACTTAAGCGCTTTGTTTGTGCTCCCATATACTCCTCTTTCGACATTACACACTTTCTAGATCGCTTTGTCTCTAACAGATTTCATAGATTTATTCCTGCCGAATATCGACCACACATCTGGGTTAAAGTTCTACCTGCCCTCGAAAACATATTCTATGGAGCAAATATTAGCAACATTCTCTCAGCACACCAACACGTAGTTCTCGATGTTCTCGCATGGTTACCCTACGGTATTTTACACTTTGGAGGTCCCTTTGTCTGGGCTGCCTTGATGTTCCTCTTTGGTCCTCCTGGTACCGTCCCAGTTTTTGCACGAACATTCGGATATCTCAACATTATCGGTGTTGCGATTCAATTAATCTTCCCATGTTCGCCTCCATGGTATGAGAATTTGTATGGTCTTGCGCCTGCAAACTATTCTATGGAAGGATCACCTGCAGGACTTGCACGAATTGATTTGCTATTTGGCTTCGATATGTACACAACAAACTTTACCGCATCACCGCTAGTGTTTGGCGCTTTCCCATCATTGCATTCTGGTAATGCAGTTTTAGAGGCACTTTTCATGAGCCATTGCTTCCCAAAACTACGACCATTTGTTATTGGATACGCTATGTGGATGTGGTGGGCAACAATGTATCTATCTCACCATTACGCCGTCGATCTCGTCGCTGGTGGTTTCCTTGCTGCCATTGCCTTTTACATCTCCAAGACGAACTTCTTACCAAGAATTCAATCAGACAAGATGTTCCGTTGGGACTACGATTATGTTGAGAGAGGCGATGCGCCAACCGGCATTTATGAATATGGACTTGCAGTGCTAGAACAAGATTTCCGTCATGACAGCAGCGATGAATGGACCATGGGATCATCTTCTTCATTCTCTTCCGGATCGAGAAGCCCTACTGACGAGAATGGATCAGCATGGGAGGGTGATACTTTGGCATCGCAAGCTTCAGATAGCGAGCTCAGCGAGGTCATCGTTAGATGATCTTTTTACCTCTGCAATAGTATTGCACTCGACAGGAGAAATTTCTTCCAACTTTCAAGTTGGCGGGTATTCTCATCATGATTTCACGGCATTATCATGTTACGGCGTTAGCATATGAGCGACTTCTACCTTGATTCGACGCCCAACTCCGACTTTACCTGGATTACTGGACGATTCGAATATTTGTAAATATACCTCTTTTAACTACATTCGGGACCATTCAATTCGAAGATTTGGATACACGAGTTCCTTACAGTATATACTAATGATAATCTGCCGGAATCGATAAACCATGGCGATCTGCTGCGTCATTTCGACATTGGCAAGCGATTCTTGGCTACCATTTCGATTTCAACTTCACTTCTTCTTGTCCATACTATATGGATACGGGCATTTCTTTTTTATTCGCCCACTTTGTGTGAATAAAAGGTCCAACTATCGCTAGAGTTACCGCCGCTTTTACCTCTTCTCTTGGGGATTTTATAGAGAAAAGTTTGTGCTGGGCTCGCTATGTATATTCTCTATTTTTTATGAGAATTCTTTATAAAGTCTCTCGCTGAATATAGATTCTTCGATTACTCTTCTTTATTTTTCGTGGATTGTGGTGATGAGGTGGATGAGGAGGGGATTTTAATGTCATGGATGGATGTAATGAGTATAGGAGTCAGTAAATAGATGGGATTCCGGAATGGTATACCAAACTTGTTTTGGTTCGGGATATAACTGTCACTATAGACTTGATTCGGATTAATTCGGATAGAACCGGATTGAATTGGGGATGGAATGGATGAGATGAGATTATCACACACTTTTTGGATTTTTAATGACCTTGGGATGTGATTCATTGAGAGGAAATGGAAAAGATGGGGTGGGGATTGGTTTCTCGTTTCCTTGGAAGGAAGAGAGGATTTGTTGGTGGTTGGGTGTGTAATTGAAAGTAATGAAATAAAAAGAAGAAGAGAAAGAATAACAAGAAGAAGAAGATGGATGATACGATAATTGAATGAATTAAACGAAATGAAATGAAACGAGCACATCTCAAATTGGACTTGTTTTTGTGTGTTTTGGAAATTCTATACTGGTGATGAGATGAATTATAAGAGTTTCAGTCTTCAACTCGTCATGCATACACCTACCTACCTGTCTGATTGTTTCGTGATAAGATCCTATAAAAGTGTCACACTCAAGAATACTGGGTAAAGTATCTTGTATTAGGAAATACTAAGCTAAGGAGAAAAGAAGAAGGAAAACAAGAGTAGAGAGTTTTCCTGTGATTAAATACAAACGGGGCATGCCACGTGACCCGGAGGTGTGAGGCGTCACAAAAAGATTAAATGCTTTCTTATATTATAACAGGATTATAAATTCAAAAATTACAATTATTAATATTTTATTATAAGGAATATAAAAAGTTGAAGATTTTTGTATTAATATATTTATATAAAGAAATATTTTTTTAAAAAATAATTTATTTGATTTGATTTTATTGATTTATGTGTTACGAGGTTTGCCGTCTAGATCACGTGGAAGTGCTCTAGGCTCTCGAAGTGGTTTATAATTAGGCGTCAAGCAGGGATTTAAGTAACGACAATGATGCAATTCGTAACTAATAGTAGATTATACTAAATGATTGATCTTGAGCACGAAGCTCTACAAATAAATAAATTCATACTGAATATATAGATCTTCATGCTCCCTTGGATCCTTTTGGATCCTAAGCTCCAAAAGCTCCAAGTTATATGTTTTCTGATGGTGCATATACATACGATCCTAAAGTGACCCAGATCATATATTAATTCGATGAAATCTGATCGCTTTTGTATAAGGCCTAAGCTCTCCTAATTCATCAATTGTTACTATCGTAACAAAGAAAAAGAGAATATATGTATTAAAAGTATTAGAATAAAGAGAAGTGATTAAAAGTATTAAAATAAAGGGAAGTGATTTAAGTGAAGTGAAGGATTAGGTAAAGGATGGAATGAATTTTTTTTTAGAATATCAATCATGAATAATTATTGATTTGAGAGCTTACTGTCACGATTCACCATTAGGATTAGTGTCCTGGAATAAAAGGGAATCACATAATAAAAAGCTTTAGGAACCCTTAAAGCTCTTGAAGGCTCTCTTTATTGTTTATTATATAGTCAGAATAATTTCATAGTTTAGGAGCTTTGTGCTCAACTTAGTTATCAATTAGTTTACCTACATTCTACTTGATCTAGTAGCGACTTCACTTCCAAATGAATACCAGTGATAAAGCCTTAACCCATAACCACCAACCAGACGAAACCTCAGGCAGCCGCTGCCTCCAGTACAGTATCGTTACAGTAGCATACCTGATGTAGTGTAGCATACCTGATTCTTTCCTATGTATGGAAACATGCAAATTTTCAAAAAGAAGCACTTCCGAACCCTAATATACAAAATTTGCTTCGAAGCAGTTGAAATATGATACATATATACTTCTTTGTCCGATGAGCCAATTCCTATTGTACTCGGTAAACCCTTCAAAGATGGCTGAACATTGATAACCATTCAACAAATCTGTTTCAATAGTCTCCACCACCTTTTCCGCCACTTCTTGACTTCTTCTTATCTCCATGTTGCTTTTTCATTCTCAATCTCGCTAGATTGGCTGATGTTTGTCTATGATGACATATGTTAGCACATTCCAAAGAAGTCAAAAAGATGGCAGCACCTCAAATACATCCAATTGCGCCGCTATTGTATAGAGCCCACATCTAGATCCTAAAGTTCACTTGCCATCACCTGTCCTAGCTAGATGACAGGCCTCTCTAACTTCCGTTAAATTCGCTATTTCTCTTCCTTGTCATTCCTCACTTTCTGAATGGACGTCTTGATCTCCTTATCACTCATATGCTTTGCTTGGGACAACTTCTCAAACCCCTCTTGGAGCAATCTCGTTCTAGACGGGAAGGATGAACCTCATGAATGGATTTTGCCTAAAAGTGCACTAAATGAAAGAAATATATGACTTACAAGTTCTTAACTCTCTGTTGTTGCTCAATGGAAGCTTTCCCTGGAACTGTTGTATTGTATATGCTCTTGATTTCTTCATGTAACCTTCGATGTGTCTCCTCCTGATTATCAGTACGATTACGACTACTATCACACTGAATCTGAATTGCATCTGTGTTCTTTACATAGTGTGTGCCGCGGCGTAATCCTTTTGATATTATTGATGGTAGAATGGCATCGAGATCCTTCATTGACCAAACTGTATTCGCTTTTGAAGCCGTTCTAGATGTCATCAGTATTTGGGAGCTTTTAAATGTGGAATCCAAGAAGCTCGACGTACTTGTTTGTTTTTTGACCACCAGGACCTCCGGCCGCTGTGTAGTGCGTTTTGGCTATCTTTCTCGGAATAGTAGAATTATTGAACTCAGAATACCATTTTCTGGCAATCTCGGATTCTGCTTCATCTGTAGATTGAACAGAATAGAATTTGTAACTCCGAAGATCCAAATTTAATAGTAGAAATCGTGCTCGAAAAGGTGATGTATAAATTGGCTTGGCAACATGACCAGATGATTGAAGCAGCTTACTTGTGAGCTTCAAAAAAGTACTTGAATAACGCATATTGGAAGTTTTGGAGTGTAAGAGTGTAACAGATATATACCGGGCAGCTGCAACCAATATATATATAAATATGTTGCACCCCACAGCCTCCTCAGGACCAAGGTTCAATGTCTCACCTACCTAGAGGTTCACATGAATTGGCAAAGAAACTTAATTCTGCAAGATTGAAATAATTACATGCAAAAGGAAACTTTCCCTTTCTAGTCTCCATCCAAATGTTGTGTCACCTCGTTTGGATAAATGATAAATGTTGCGGCGACGGGGTCTAAACAAATTACTGTTGCTTAGGTAATGATATTACATAAGCACAGAGCACAAGTCAAGTAGTAGGTACATACTAATGTACTGCTAGCGCAAAAATGTCTTTCAAGATTTCTTCGCATAACCAAATTAATTCCAATTCTTCTTCCCAAGTCATGAATAAAAGCATCAAAAAGTATTGCGACAACCTCTTGGACTCGACACAACGATACCAAAAATTTTCATCAAATTAATGCCAATAAACACCAAACTATCTTCCGCATCAATAAAACGACACTTTTACTTTCCTACTTTGAGATAGATAACAATTCTTTGATTGCAGTTGCCTCCCAGAGTTTCCAATTGAGCAAGCGGACAAATCAATCTTGACTACATCTGCCAGCTTTTTTTCATTGAAAACTTTTCACATCGCTTTTGCCTATCAAACTATCTACAAACTCTTCTAGCTTCTATATCTGTCACTTGCAATCAGTTTGTATCTCCTAAACTAGGACATTGTCGAAACATCGGACTCTTTCAACCTGAATACTTTCTTGTGTGCATTCCACACTCATAACAAAGATATTTATGACTTCGGAACCGCCTGAGTTCCATACCAAAATTCAGTCTCCGCTCTCTCCATTTCCGGTTCACCTCCCTAATCCATCCGAAATTCCTGTTCTTCGAAACCAGATTGATCCGACTTTCAACATGACCACGACCCACGAGCCATCCAAGGTTCCCTTGGTGGTTCCCAATATCATTGATTCCATGATAGCTGTTGACAATATTGAATCCCCGCAATCCGATACTCGATTTTCAGATGCATATGATGAGAAGGATGAGGATACAACAGTAGCAAAAGCTGAGGAGGAAGATACAAGCGATGATTATGCCATGACATTTGACTCTGATGGGGAAGAACATTCAGATAGTCACGATATATCACAGGCAGTTGACCAAGAGTTGAGCAATCTTTCTAACGCAGTGCCAACCAGCGAATTGCCTACTTCTATTTCCAACGATCGATCTGCCACATTTGATTCCCAAAATGGCCCAGAAACCCAACCCGCCCTTCTTATCCCTTCTCTTACTGTCCCTCCGATTCCTCAATCTACAGCTGCCCAAAGCTCTGATCATTCTCAAAATCCCATTACCAATACCGAACCCACAAGCTCTGAGGATTCCAACGGAGAAATAGACATCCAACAACTTTTGGACAATATTACTGCCAATGCCGAGATAAATGCACAAGCTGCCCGCCCAAATTCTTCCTCTTCTAGCAATGTCCCTCCAAAAGGTAGCTCAAGTCTGCCTACCCATGCAAGCCTTCCCCCTCGTCCACAAATTACACAAATTCCCAAACGTTCCAATTATACTTCTTTCGATGAGCCCCTTAAGTACAATGCTGGAGGTTCAGGTTATTCACACCAACCCAATTCCTATAACCATTCTGGTGTAACATCATCATTAGTTGCAGTCGGTGCTCCTGGTACCGCTACTGATTCCCGATATGGACTTCCCCCACCCCCATCTGTTTCTTTCAATCATTCCCCTCAAGATACGAACAGCCCACAACCCTATTTACAATCCCACCGCATGCCATCCGTCGTTTCCTCCGATGGTCATGATAATGATGACAGACCATGGGGTCCGATAGTCCAGAAAAAATATGATGAATTCCTTGATAGAGAACGCACATATGTCACTGAAGGGCTTTGGGAACGATTCCCCAAAGGCTCACGATTGTTTATAGGTAAGACAGTCTTATGCAATGACACTAATCATCAAATCTAATGTTCCTTCAGGTAATCTCCCATCGGAAAAACTCACCAAACGAGATCTGTTCCATGTTTTTCACAAGTATGGTGAACTTGCCCAAATATCGATCAAACAAGCATTTGGCTTTGTTCAGTTTCATGATGCATCAGCTTGTCATAAAGCTCTCGAGATGGAACAGGGCAAAGAAGTCAGAGGCCGCAAAATGCGTAAGTCTTTCAATACCGCTCTCCGGGTTAGGCTAACTTTTTTTCCGTTCAGATCTCGAAGTCTCCAAGGCACAGAAGAACACACGAAAGGATCATACTAGCGGTCAATCCTGGAGAAGATCCCAATCTCCTGAACATACAAGAGGAAACGCATCAGGTCGTAATCGGAATGCCCAATTCGAAACTCGTGGTTCTGGCTACAACCATAATGATCGCCATAGATCGCAACAACAACATGGGAATCAGCGTACACATGATGGATATCGACCGGGTAGATCGCCATCGCCAATTCGAGGCTATAGAGGTAGAGATGAATACAGGTCTACCCGTAACAATGACTCGTACGATAGTAGAGATAGACGGCGTTCACGATCTCCATTTTCAGGCGGACAACGTGGCAGCTATCGAGACCGGAGCCCGAGTCCGAGAAGTCGTGAAGCCAGTGAAGATGGTGCACTTCAAATTCCGCGACGTGAACCATCAATGGTTCCTGATGTTCAAATCATTCTCACGGCGGAGCTAGACCGAGGATTTGTCTCCTGGGTCGAAGGAGAACTTCGTGGACGAGGTGTGAAAACCGAAGTAATGTTCCTCAGCCCTCGGCTCCCTCTTCAAGCTGTCGTACGAAGACAGATTCTCGAAGGTGTCATCGCCGTTTCTGAACTTGATATGAGATCTCAGAATGCCAGCAAAATACCCCTTCAAGTATTTGATCGCTCGGGAGGCATAAATGCTGCAGTTCGATTCGACGAATATCAGGACCTGGAACCCAAAATTGCTGCGGAGCTTGTTGTCCGCGCGAAAGCCACGGCTCAAAGACCTCAGTACCCACCAAACCCAGCTCCAGTGTACCAAGCACCAACAGCACAACCAAGCCCAAACCTTGCAAATATTATGGGACAGTTGGATAATCCTACTTTGCAGAAATTGCTAGGTACATTAAACAATATGCCTCCACAGCAGAATGCACCCGCTGTGGCAACAAACTCGACAGTTGACCTTGTGAGTCTGTTAGGTGGTCTAGCTCCACAACAGCAACAAGTCTATCAGCAATCAATCCCACAAGCAGCAGCCGGACCTTATGGTGGCTATAATAATAACGTTGTATATGGACAACCAGCTGCACAACAAAATGGACAAGATGCACAGCAGGTTCAGGCTATTATGGCTCAATTGGCCAGATACAGACAGTAAATAGTGGATTCATGGGCGTTTTTTTTCTTCTTCTTTATCTGGGTGGCTACCATTAAATTTGCATACTGAGATGGAGTTTTAAATGTGTATCAAGCTATGAATTATGTTATGGTCGGTATTTATTGCATGTGCATTCATTCAGGGGCGTTGTGGCGCGGCATGGCACAGGAGTTATCATGATGTACGAGTTTGTGCTTTTACTACTTGTATGATGTGTGGATGCATGCAATTTCATCCAGGGGAGATATCGGAGACAAAAGAGAGGAGAAATCGCGTGTTGCGTAGATTGATATCTCTGCTCTGCTGTTTTATAAATAAATAATATCAAATGAAGAGATGTTTCTATTTCTATATCTATATCTGTCTATATATACTGAGTGAGGTCGTTTATCGAGTGAGAAGAATGATTACTTTCCTCGTATCCTACAATTGTTGCACATGTGGAGATGTTTTGTGAAATGAATAAGAAATAGAAAGTGAAGTGTATCTAGACATGAAGTTCGTGTGCTGTTGTACAAGTCGTGGTATTGATCGTTAAGTATTCAGAGCATCTTAGGCATCGAGGGCCAAGCTGCCGGTCTTGTAGATTGGTTAGTTGAGCCATCTTTGAGTTTTAGAATCATCTGTAAACTTACCTAGTCAAAAGTAAAGTTTCCACTCCAGCCTTTTCCCTCGATCTTAACCAGGCATTCAAGTGCATCCGTAACATATGCACATCTCTTCCCATGACATCAATGCCCCTTTCCACGCACGCCATCCTCAATTCCTCCTCATACATCTGTTTCACGCCTCCCCCACTCTTAATCAACATATCATCCAACTCCAAATATTTGACTCTCTTCGCCACCTTCCTTCTTAGAATCGCACTCGGTAGTCCGGGTAACCTCCCTCCTATATAATCCCACATACTACTACTCAAACCCAAACTCCAACTAATATGCAACAACTGCATGCGTTGTAGATTCTGCGCCACCGTCCCCGCAGGCGGAGTCTTCATAGTTAAATTCCTAAAACTAATCGCCCTCCTCTCTTCCAATTTCCTCCTATCCGCATCTATCTGTTTGGGAATCCGACATGTCCACGGCACTACATTGCTAATAGCAATAACCACCAACGGGGTAAACTCCCCACAAAGCAGAAACACCAGCGCGAAAATAGGAACCCGTTTCACATCATGCCGATTTCGCATCAACAGCTGAAAATCGGATCGCGAGAGCAATGCACCTTTTACCGCAGACGAGAGCGAGGATTTGTATTTTTCATCGATAGCCGTTTGGATGGTTCGTGAGGCGAGGAAATTGTAGTAGATGTTCTTCACGCCAGTTTTGTAGAATTTGGCATACGCTTTTCCGAGTGTGAAGGCGTATTTGAAGAAGAAGGGTTGGTTGGGTTCGCGGATGGGGAGATCTAGGGGTGCGGGGAGGGTAGAGGCAGGTCCGTTGATGGGGTTTGTGGGGAGGGTGGGTGAGGCGTAGGTTGGGCTGGTGTGGGAATTGGATTGGGAACTTGAGAAGCGTTTGGAGGAGGGGTGAGGAAGAGATATTGAGAGGCTTTTTGTGGGTTGAAATTGCGATTTGAGGGTTGATTGGAAGATGGTGGTTGAAGTGCGCATACGGCGCATGGTGGTTGTATTCATTGCATTGGTTGTATGTGTAGACGTATGTGTATACGTAAATTTATATGTATATGTATACCTTCAATCCGCTTTTTGAATGTGAAAATAATGATTGAATATGTGAAACGAACGGAAATGATGGAGATTTATTATTAGTGGAGTGGCATTTTTAATTTTCCGCATGGAAGTATCCATTTTTGCATTGACGTCTTTTTGGGGTCGTTTAGCTACGCAGGGATGATGATTAAGTTCATCAGTGCATTGACACTAGGCTTTATTGGTCTAGAGTATTACTGTAGTTCTTCGACTATTGGTTGAATTGTAAACTTGAACGATTCAGATCTGGACCGGTGACAGCAACACCATACATAGTACCACGATAATTTCATGACCCATTTGTGATGGATATATAAACACGTATCATTCTGAATGAAAATTGAAACAACATTTCTTTCAAAAAATATCTTGTAGACGCAGGTAGAGCGTGCCTAAGTTCCTTCAATCCTGGATATCAACATCATTAACCATCTCCCAAAATGACCTGGCCCTACCGCATCTACTTCAACCACACCACTGCCGAAAAAGACCAAAGACGTATACTCCTCGACCGTTATGGACTCTACGCCCAACTTTCCATCCTGATCCCCATCATTTTGTATAATCTCTACCGTTTAGCAATATGGGTATACTTTGAACGACAGCGATCAAAAGTTGATTACTCGGCTCTCCCCAGTTCTCCTGCTTTGAAGAAGAGGAGGAGTTCGAAGAGGGCGACGTGGGCAAGGAAGGGTAGAAGTTTAGCTTGGTGGTTAGCAGGGGATGCGAAGAGCGGGTGGGGGAAGAGGGGTCATTGGATTGTTGCGGGGTTGTGGGGGGCTTGGTTGGCGTTTTTGTGTGTGCATAGGACGGGTGATGGTATGTGGATTTTATGTTTGTTTTATCGGTGGGACTTTGGTTGTGGGTACTGAGGAGACTGGTCTGAGTAAAGTTACTGGGCCATTTGTGTTCTGGATGGACTACAATACTTCAATCCGAGTGGATTTGACACTCCAAGCGAGTCACATTTCCGGATGAAATCAACGTATCAAACAAAATGGATGTATTAAAATCTTTCAATGTACAATTCTTCCATTAGTTGACTGCTACCCCGAGCCATTCGGGTGCTATCCAAAATGTTTTTATAATGTATCATTGAACACAATAGCTAATGATATATCCAGATTATTTCCATATAACCAAACGATTTGGTATAGTTGCGGCATCACAACTTCCTGCTCATTATGCACTATCCATGAAGTCTTTATATTCACCACTTTCCGTATTATTCGGATCATCCCATGAGCAGCTCAACACATGGCACCGAATATCCGGTCGAGTCATTTGGGCTCTTTTACTTTGCCACGCAAGCTGGTATTTGAATGCTTTTATCCAAATTGGAAATTTATCCGAGAAACTCACAACACCTATAATCATCTTCGGGGTAGTTTCTTTCCAACTTATCAACCTCCTCATTATCACAAGTTCAAAAGCTGTTCGTCGCTGGTCTTATCGGGTATTTTTTATCATTCACGTTTTTGTCGCCATCACCATAATTCCTCTTCTATTCTTCCATGCTGCTCCTATTCGCATTTACATAATCGAAGCAATCGCTCTTTTCCTAATCGATATTGGCATTCGCAAATTTACTACTTTTACAGCTTTCGCTACCGTTCGATCAGTGCCAAAAACTTCTCTGCTTGAAATCACTATTCCAGTTACTGATTCCAAAATTTCTCAATTCCAATACGCACCAGGTCAACATGTCTATCTGTCTATTCCTCCATCTTCCGTTCCTACATCCGCCAAGTATAACCGCCATCTTCATGAATTTCTCTATAATCCATTTACTATCGCTTCCGTTACAGATACACCATCACCACAAATCACCCTGACTCTGCGCACCCTCAATGGCCCCACAACATCTGCACTCTCCTCCTTGTCCCACCTCAGCAAAGCCCGCCCACCACTCAACATCGAAGGACCGTACGGAACCTCCCGCAAATTCCCCAACCTAGCCGAAAAATTCGACAGAATCTTACTCGTAGCCGGCGGCGTCGGCGCCACCTTTATCCTCCCCATCTACCGCGCCGCAAAAGAAGCAATGGAAAACGAAGGCCGACAAAATTCCACCGTAAGAATGATCTGGGTCATGCGAGACGCTGCAGAATCCTCCTGGGCACTATCCCCACCAACCCAAACCTCCTCCGAAGATGTTGACGAAGAACTTAAATTCGAAAATTCAAATGATGCAGATATAGAACTATACATTACCTCCCCGCAAACCTCTCACTCAACCGCTACTTCCCCTTCTTCTTCCAGTCCCCCTCATACATCAACATCAACATCAACATCCACATCTACCCACGAACCAAACAATATAGAAATGCACACCCTCTCAACCCCCTCACTCCCCACACCGAAAAAATACTCACGACCCGATTTACGCGCGATAGTCGACGAGACATTTACACAGGGTCTTGAAGAACGCGTCGCGGTCTTGGTTTGTGGTCCCCCTGGTATGGCGGAGGAGTTGAGGTCGTATGTGGGGATGTGGGTAATGAGGGGGAGGAATGTGTGGTGGCATGATGAAGGGTTTGGTTGGTAGGTTTGGGCTTGGGTTTGGATGGTAGGGTTAGATTTGGATTTGGAGTTGGAGTTGGATGCAAGGTGGATGGTAATTAGTTTGAGGATTGTGATAGAGAGTTGATGTGTTCATTTCAAATTAATGAAATATATACCATAAAATGCAATACAATTCCATCAATCGATTAGATTCATCAACTACTTAATAAATCATATAATAAACGGGGAATCATCAAATCGGATTAAGTCATAGTAGATACCTAGATATCATCAAACACACAAAATACACGGAAAACTCCTCCACAATCTTCTCAGCATATGCATGCATTATTTGGTATCTTTTTAATATTCATCCTTATCCTATTTACATACCAAAAGCATAGAGCTTAATTAATGCTTTGTAACCAATTCTGATTCCAATTATGCATGCACGATAAGCTCTAATGAATCCATGTCCATGTCCTTTTCAGTGATTGGCATGTCTCACTTCTTAAAAGTAGCACTCCTACCACCCCTCTCCCCAGTCTGCACTCTTCCCATCCCCTTCGCCGCATTCATACTCTTCTGGTACGGATCGAATGGTTTATCCTTCTTTGCCTTTCCACCCTTTCCACCTTTCTCTATCTTTTGTTTCTTAGAATTGAGTACCGAATCCGCCTTACTGTAATCAAAATCTTCTTCCTCTACATGTTCTTCTGGTTCTTCCTCTGCATCTTTGGCTACCTTTTCAGATTCGATTTTCATCGCTTCTTCCTTTTTCTGCTGTTTTCTCAACTTTTTATCCGCTTTAAGTTCCGCTTTATACGCCGCTCTACGTTCTGCGCTTTCAGCTAAAACTTCGGCTTTGCCTTGTTGTCTTTCTTTCTCCGCGACTGGGCTGTAGTCGAGGGTTATGTCATATTTGTCGGTGACCTCCTGATCTTCATCCGGGTCAGTAATGGTCTCGCTCTTTCTTTTAGAGCCACGTTTAAGAACGAAAGCTTCGTCTTTTGTTTTGCTAGGGATCGGTGTTGGGGCTTCGGGTATGGCGAGACGGGATCGATCGGCAAGGGGTGTGGTTGACGAGGCGAAAACTTCTTCTGAGAGCTGAGGTAGGGGGATTGCAAGTCTCATGCTATCTTGATCGGGGGTTGTGGTTGAAGGTTCCCAGATACTGCTTCCAAATGCACCTCCCCAAAAGGAAGATGTCTCGGTTGTAAGTTCGGTTTTGTCAACGGGCGTTACGTCGAGTTTAGATGTCTTTTCCGATGTAATTTTTGCTCCGGTGTTAGATCCTGGGCTACCGGCCGCACCTGGTGATCGTCTGAGGACATCTATCATCTTTGGACCATCTTTTCCATTTTCCTTTGCCGCCTTGATGATTTCTAGCAGTTCTTGAGTGCGTGATTTTACACTGTATGATATAGGTCGAATGATGCTCAGTAAGGCTATCATGTCCATGGGCATGAACTTGGCTAGGTTAATAACAACAGAATTCGACATGACAAAATTTATGCTGTCATCATCCTTTCTTGCTATCTGATCTCTCCAGGCGTGTACAGCTTTGAAAACTGCGAATTGCTCGCTACTTAAGAGAGCAGGCGTTTTGTATATTAGTGAAAACCATCCTCCCGGTCCTTTTCCAGATTCTGCATTGTATACCTGTCGCTCATATCGGAGTAACGAAGTCTCTTTGGACTTTTCCAGGACTGTCTCCATTGGATTTGTTTCAGGTGTTTCAGTGTTAGACGCGTCAATTAACTCATTCCGTAAATTGTCAAAAATATAGAGAAGGAAATGTGTGTCGGCTCTAGCATAAAAGAACATTTCTTCCGGAAGTGGCCTAAAATGTTAGTGAAGGGAGGTGAATTACATGATATAAACTTACCTGATTCGCCAGTCTGCTAACTGGTATTTTTTGTCGGCATCAAAATCAATATACTTCTTCAATAAGAAAGCTAAGCTTCCTCCAGCTAATCCTAACCTTCTACATGCGTAATGTGTATCGAACAACCCAACGACATAGAGCCCAAGATCTCGTTGGAGCCATACGATATCCATGTAAGCACCATGGAAAACCTAAGTTATTAGCAAATATTGAAGAATTCTGAATAGTATACAACATACCTTGATTATACATGGATCAGCGAAAACTTCATTAAGTACTTGAAGCTGTTGCCTCCATGGCTTGAGGGTATCCACGATCCAATCTTTTTCGCGGGTACTGATTTGCATCAAAGATACGAGACCAACATATGAACGAGTATCATGATGCTCCAAGTCGACCGCGATTTCCTTAGCACCTTTCAGCTCCTCTAGCATCTCCAGGACACCCTCGTAGGTATCAACAAATGTCGCAGATGTACTCTCAACCGGTAGATAATTTATTGGTTCTGCCTTCTCAAACATAGCACTTGGATATTGTAATTGTAAAATTTCCGTTTCGTAAGGATGTCTGTACCTAAATTGCTTGTTAGTAAACCGTATAGTGGCACCCATTTGTTGAAGTTTCTTTGTTTTGTCCCGTTTTACTTTAGAGCGACTGGCTCTGGCCTCTGGCAGACTTGCCTAATTCTTCTGGATTCTAGCCTTTGCGCGGGGTCCAAAGGGAGCAACGCGAGGGGAATAAAATTGAAGTAGTCATACTGTTTCTGGTCGTAATCGTTTGTAATCATACCAAGACTATCCTCTAACGGTACCTTCGCATGTGGTTTAGTTTTGAGAAGAGGTAGCCATGGTGATGTATCCTCATTGTCAGGTTTCATCTCGAATGCGAGTTGAGGCTTCACCAGGTTTTGTGTACGGAGTGAGTTATCAAGGAACTTTCTTTGGGATTTTGATGTCGCAGAAGGCTGACAGATATCAGTATACGTTTTAATGGCGCATGCGACTCAATCCTCACCTCTTCGACTAGTTTCCTTTTGATAATACCTGTATATTCATCGAGACAAGTATCGGTCTTTTCGAGTAAGGAATCCACAACATCCACGACACTGCGCCAATTGTTGTCCACATCGTCGGCATCTTCTAAAATTGGTACACGAAGGCCTGAGACGGTACCTGCAGATTTGAGCAAGTCATTGGCAAGCGCAAGTAAACGCGCATTCTGTTCGTCGAGAGCACTTCCCACCTCGGGATTCAATGATCGATGAAAACCGAGATCTTCCGTTGATATGTAACCGGCAGTTTTGATGGTTGACACAAGAGCAGCTTGAACTTCATCTTGGAGTGATTGAAAGTCCGGTGTATCTTCTGCCATGATTTGACAGGATTAATTGTTGTTTGTAGTAGGAAAGAATGTTTGTTCAGAATTCCGATACGATTTGCTCAAAAAATATTCAAACTTCAACTTTATTCAGACCCTTGTCATTATTTTGAACGGTGGAGACTGACTAGCGTACTCTTTAACCCTTGTTGCAGCTTTTGGCTTTTGGGACCTCCGCATTTCATTCAGCCATAAACTCTTTCACTTGGGAACAGACTTCTCAGACTTCACATGACAAAGAACCTTGGGAGTCACCTCACCACCACAAAAGTCTAGTACAAGGTATAAAGTAACATACAAGTTAACAATCAATATTCGACATTCCACACTCAACACCAAACCCTGCTCTACATCAATATCTCTTCAAAATGTCGGCTTCACTTGCACCTGAGTGTAATGAAGTCAAGGAGTATGTAAATGACTTCTATCTTTGATTCTATTATATTCTATCTATTTGTTAAGTTTAGAGATGCTAAACATTTCTTAAAGACGATATGATTCGTGCTTCTTGAAATGGTACAGCGAAAGTAAGTACATTCGGTATTTGAAACACATATACGAAGTATAGACTAACATCTTTAGAATACCTTCGAGGGAAAGGTACGACGGATGAATGCGAAGCTTTATTCAAAGATTACAGGAAATGCTTAACGGTAAGCTTGGAAAAATCTTTCAGTAGTCCTGAACGATTTCCATTCTAACTGGTGCAGGGTGCTTTGAAAGAGCGTGGTATCGATAAAATGCTTGAAGAGGCACGGGAGGATCATAAGGAAAGTGATGCTGTGAATTTGAGGCGACCTTGTAAGTTGTGCATGTTCTCTTCAAATATGATAACTAATGGTCAACCAGGATGAAATATATGCATGATACCAAATTGTACAAACACACTACATATCTATGCATGGGAAAGGCGTCAGGTTGGTCTTGCAGGTTAACATCTACTCGCATTGGAAGGGGGAGGTTGGAAGTATTTCAAATTGCATGACAATGGAGAGACGGGAACATTCATATTCATCGGCAATATATACCAACAACACATCATCAATCACAATAATTAAGTATCTACATGTTCTGCCAGCTAATATACACATGACTTTGGTAGCTACCAATTTTTGAATGGAAGATTTATTTGAGGAGCATCTTTAATGAATCAAGTACTAGATCTAGTCTCTGCGAATAAGTCAACATGTCGTCATCACCCTGATTTTAATGTCAGGTATATTGGTGACATGATCGACGACAAGATCAACGACCCAGGCATCATCATCTTCATCTCAAGCTACAACTAAACATACTATCCATATCCATCTTCCATCACCCACAAATTTGCCAAGGTCGCCCGTTGTCACACACTCATACTAGCACGTGATCATGCCATTTAGCCTACAAAGCTTAATCTCTCAAACCCCTGCAAAAAAACAAATTGTTTTCAGCCTTCTCTGTTCAATACTCCAGATAAGTTCAAGGTCCTGTATCGGGATTGGTTGATGTGAATGGTTAAAGGTCCAGAAGATCTAGAAAATTAATCCCGCCCAAATTCTGGACCCCGACTTAAAATAAATATGTGGGAATCTCGAATCCTATACTTGTAAAAACACCTTGACACATTCTCATATCCATACATTTTCCCTCCGGCGTACCCTCCCTCCATCAACTTGTACACCAACCTCTCCATCGAGTAACCCGCAATAAACCCTTCTCGAATTTCGTACAGCACAGTCAGACGGTGATGCGCCAGCAATAGAAAACGATTCATGCACCCCTTCTCTATTCTCACACTTGCGATTTTCGTAGCCGGCTACATCACTGCGAGGTGGGATCTGGTTACTAGACTTTATGAGCTTGCAATATTCGCATGGGATCACGGAGTAGTGGTTAGCTTTGATATCCCGTGTATTCTATTAAATCCATTTTACTGATATTACTTTGCGCATAGGCACGCACACTAAAAGGATTCGCAATTCTTTCCCTCTTCTTCTTTCTATTCATCATTCCTGTGGAAAGGCTCGCGTCGAGGGAGACGACACTAGTAAATAAGCACAATATCTACAGCGCGAAACTAGCTAATACTCCAATAGCATCCGCGATCCGGCAGCGTCGGCATATCCGCACGAGAACAGTTGCGACGAAGGGGTTCATTTTGAAAGAAAGACTTTAGCAGAATTGAGCATTTGTCATGCCCGATCATGATGGTTTGATGAGGATTTTTTGGCCGAGGGATATACCGAGAAGTGATTCACCTGGAGTAATAGTTGGCTGGAGGAACTCTGGTCTTGATATATTTGTGGTTGCGATATTGGAGGATGTTGATGTGAGCAGTAACAAGGCTACGAAACTAGGACCGACTGACATAAATCCAGGCACGGAATGTAGAGAATGCATTGAAAGTCGGAACCCTATTCCGAAACGCAAGTCATCCTATCGAAAGAATATATGAATTATGCGGGCAATCATCACTGCAGGTATTGGGCCTGGCAAATTCCCCGAAAGCAGATGTTGATACTCTCCAAATTCGCGCAACTACAGGATCAGCATACAAATTACCCCAGATCTCTTGTGCCCGGGCATCAACAAATCAAATAGTTTTATTTGATCGACCTCAACCTAATAGGATGCAGTACATATCTTTAAAGCCAATATCATTAGCATTGGATGACAAGGCTGAAATGGCGTTTCATGCGCCTGGCAGTGTTGATGCTGAGGAAGAGAAAGAAGAATCAAGACAGAGGATGAGGACACAGGAACTGGTCGAAAAGTTGAAGTATCATTCTGTGGTTAAACATCCGCCATCCCAAAAAGAACTTGCCTTACCACGAATAGTCAATCAAATCAATTGTGCTTGGGAGGTTCACCAACTATTACAGAAAAATATCTCGCTTGTTGGAGCTCGGTCGAGGAGAAGTCTGAGCGTATCTGAAAGAGTAGTGGAGTCAGCAACCACAATGCGTGACTTTGTTCTTTTGGCAATATGGCAATTGATCACTCTCTACATATATCCCATCCTCAGACGTGGATTTGTCATTGGTCTTATATGCCATAGATTTGCTGCCGAAGCTTTACTGTTGGTTCTAGAATGGAGAGCTAAGCCAGATTATGCAGCTTTGAAAGATATCTCCGCAACTGCACAACAGGTTGAAATTCGCTTACAACAATTCTGTTACTGGCCTATGCAATATGTTACACTTCGGAGGAGTAAGAGAGATTGGGCTAGTGTAACGACAAGCCATCCGGAGTACATAAGGTTTTACAATAGCCTTTGGCTCGTTGCCAATGACGTGATAATAGGAATTGCATTGGGGTCCTATATCATTGATAATTCCGCTTGGGTTGCAGAAACTATCAGTGACATCCTAAGCACTTATTCAATAGCTGCACTACGAACAACGATAAAATGGCTGATGGACTGGCCGGCTGGCTTAAAACTCAACACTGAGCTGGCTGCTTTCTTGGGTGATTTGTTCTTATGGGTCATTGATCATTGGTCAAGTAAGTTTATTTCCTACTCCAACAAGCTATTCATCAATTAACTCTTACAGGCTGTATTGAAACTTTACATCCAGTATTGCCCCATGTTATTTGGGTCGTTGGTTTTTCCAGTTTTGCTGGAGCCAGCATGCCAATCGCCTTGTTTTCAGACCTACTCACCATCTTAACACTTCACATCTACTCTTTTTATATGGCTTCTGCACGTATATTTAATTGGCAGTATACAATCCTCCTCTCTCTATTCCAGCTATTCCGTGGCAAGAAGCATAATGTTCTTCGAAAACGTATCGACTCTTGCGATTATGATCTCGACCAATTATTACTTGGCACGATTTTATTTACTCTATTGTTCTTTCTCTTACCTACAGTACTTGTATTCTACTTAGCATTTGCATGTGCACGTATGGCCATTATCTCGCTGAAAGCTGTTTTAGACGCTTTACTTGCATGCTTAAATCATTTTCCACTTTTTGCCTTAATGTTACGAATTAAGGATTCGCAACGATTACCAGGTATGTCTCACCAGAAGAAATTGTCAGAATATGTTATAATAACATACAAAGGTGGTATACGATTTGAACTTCGAGATGCTCAACAACTAGCAAGTCAAATACCTAGTACTCCGTCTCCTCCACCAACATCTTATATATATCTCAAAGTATGATTCTCCTCACATTCATCTAAATTTCGCACTCTAACATAAACTTATAGTCAGTCCCTCTCACTTTCCGCGCCATGTTTCACCAATATTTCCAACTTGGTCATCGTATCCGTAAACACTACGCCTCACCTCGTGTTCTCCTCTGTCTAGCAACTGGTAAATTCGTTCCACCTATTCATCGCAAAAATCTTTATTCTCTTCAATACAGCATGTTGCCGGCGCGTAGAACAGGTATTATGTATATGTGGTATGCATTAACAGCGAATACGGATGAAGGCAAGGAGAAGGATAAGAGGAGAGGTAGTGCTGGGTGGTTGAATGGTGGGGTGACTGGTTTGACTATGGGAAATGGAAATTTGAGGAGGGGAAATGGGTATATGGCTAGAAGGGGCGGGCATTAGGAAGAATGGGGATAGAGACGGGGACAGGATGGGGGTGGGGATGGGATAAATATAAGGATGGGGAATGAGGGAAACGAAAGGTTATGTTTTGTATATATGATTGGGTTTTGATGGACGGGTGGACCACACAAGACGAGATGAGATAATTAAAGAGTATATGAGGGTTGGAGGTTATAGGTTTTGTATGTAGTGTATGTAGATACGGGTTACTTAATGATAATATTTCAAGAACCAATTTATTTTAATTGCGTTGTTGTGTTTGACATGCGATCACAGAGAGAATTCATGTAAGGTGTGGTGTGTAAAGTAATTATCATTCCATTGCATCCCGTTCATCAATCATCAAATCCCTTCGTATCAATCCGTACTGGTACTGATAGTGGTACTGTCGACCCCCGTTTCCTCTCCGTCGAAGCCATCACCATCATCATCATAATCATCATCACAATAATAATATACAAATCCCCATACCACTCTCCATCCCCATCCATCACATCCCTATCCCACCTCGCACATCCCACCTCACACATCCCACCCCACCTCCTACCCCTTCTACTTCCTCCAACCCTAAACCCTACAACTTCCCCAAAGCCTCATCCGCCTTCCCCTTCACATTCCCCTTAACCTCCGCCGCCTTCCCCTTCGCTTCCCCCTTTACCTCTGCAGCTTTTCCCTTGAGTTCTCCTGCTTCACTTTTAAGTTCGCTTTTTGCTTCGTTTTTTGTTAGGCCGGCTGCCTGTTTTACTTTTTGCGTTGCGCTTTCTATTTTGGGAGGAGGGGGTTAGTGAGTTTTTTTTTTTTGTGGGGGGAGGATGAGAGAGGGGGATGAGAGGGAAGAGGATGATGGGGAAGAAGGAAAGAGAAGACATACGACCAACTTCAATACCATCGACGATTTTACTAGCAACTGCTTTATCGACTTTTTTGACAGTTTCTTTGACGGTTTCAGTGACTGCTTTTTGAGCGGGGGAGGTAGAAGTGAAGTGTCTATTGTGAGTGATAATTTGGGTTTTGCCTTGGACTCGAGGAGTGCAGAGACGTGATTGTCGGAGTAATGTTCGGGTTATTGAAGACATTTTGATGATTTATATTTCTGTTTGATTTGTTTGTTTAAACAGTAATTTGAAGTTTGTAGTTTGATAGATTGATGAATCTATAAGTTAACAAGTAGATGAAAATATGAGTTACGAGTAATAAGGAAATACGTTGATAACTTTCATTCTACAGAATAAATACTCCCCTCCAAGACTCCAAGCTCCAATCCAAGCTCCAATCCAAGCTTAAGCTTAAGGAAGGAAGGAAGGAAGAAAAGAGCATTGTTCTCGTTTCTTGCCTCTGGGTGACGTCATTTTTTGTGCACGCTAGGCTGGAGTTGGTGTGTACTTGTGTATTTTTGGTGGTGTTTTGTTAGGTGATGTTACCCCTCTCTTCTTTGTATGTGCTATTACCTCATTTTTCTTATCTGGGTGAGGATTAGAGTATTAGGTTAATAGGTTTATAGGATCAGAGTGGTGGAGATTAGGTAGATTATTGGTCTAGGAGTAAGGAATAAAGCAGGAGATGGATGGGATGATTAGAGTACTAGGTAGGTAGGTATTATTCTTATTTCAGATACTCATCTTATGTAATTATTTATCTCTTAGATTTGATAAAGGCAGATATATATTTATCTTTCTATTTATTCACCGCTCAAAGTTACAAAAATTCCCGATGTGTGATGACGAATGGTCTTTTACTTTTCCCATTAAATCGGATGGGATTTACTAATTACCTTGGTAGTCATAGAACCCACCTAAAGATGATTTTCTTCCGGCAAAAGCGGGGAAGCGGGTCGTACCTCTACGGAGTGCGCCCTCGTCTTGTTCTAGGTACCTACCTACCTAGTTAGAGCTAGAAAGACGATTGAATTTCTATCAATATAAGAATTCTATTCTAACCCCTCTTTTAGAAGACTTAGATATTAACGAATGAAGATATATTATATTACAGAAGTAGATAATATTATAATTTATTTAGTGTTTTTCACTCATTCCCCCATCTAATCAAGTTCCCTTCTCTTTTCCTCTAACTATCTAGGTAGTAGATACATTCTATACAAATCTTCCACATCCCCACCTCATTGTTCCACCATCTAAAACAAACAAACACAACATGCTATAATCCAATTCATTTTTCAATTTTTTACTTTTCCCACATCTCTTTATTCCGCCTCTCTCCACCTCAACCATCACAATCATCCTTTACCACCACCGCAAAATAATCCCAAAAACCCCCGTCCAAAACACCTCCTCAAATCCACTCCAAAAACAAAAATTGAACAGAGGGGGATTCGAACCCCCGCGGGCTAAGCCCATGAGAATGCTAGTTAATTTTCCATCAACTAAGCTTGAAAGAAAGCTTGAGTCACACGCCATAACCACTCGGCCATCTGTCCTTTTGGTATTGAATTGTTGCCGATTCCTTAAAATTTATCAATTACTTTTGAAAATGTATTGTTAGTGTAAAAAAAGAGGGGGAAAATAAGGAAAGTGTGTATGGGAGAGGTTTGTTTGATCGGTTGGGTTTGTGTGATGTGGTTGGAAATGAACTACTCCGTAGATTAAATTACTTGATGACTATTCGGATTCTATTCGCTCTTCAGAAATAGTGATAATGAAATTCAGAGTAACTAATTGATACTAACAACAGTGGGTACAGAAATTCCGTGGGCATAATTGTTACGAGTGTTACGAGTTTTGCCGTCTAGATCACGTGGAAGTGCTCTAGGCTCTCGAGGTGGTTTATAACTAGGCGTCAAGCAGGGACTTAAGTAAGGTCAATAATGCAATTCGTAACTAATAGTAGAGTATACTAAATGATTGATCTTGATCTTGAGCACGAAGCTCTATACAAAGAGAATCCATCTTGATTATATAAACCCTCGTATTCCAACATTGGAGCGATGGAGCTGGGGAGCGAGATTCGAATCTCGCTCCTTCGCTCCCTCGCTCCCTCACAAGACTATCCATATGATCCTATAATACGTGATAATAGTTTATAATGTTACAACGTAACAATAATTCAGTGAAATATCAAAACCCAATATTTTCAAATCTATATTGTTCAATGATGTGACGGAAATCCCTGCTTTCCTCCCACCCTTATTATATAAGAAACCTCAGGTACATTAACCATGTCCACACATGATACGATTACTCGAGATTAGTATACGATTTAGGTGACCTGAGGATCAGATCCGGACAAGTACTAGGTATCAATGGTTATCGGTAAAGTAAGATCATTGGAGGGATAAATATGACTTCTTTTTGCCTAGCCATTGCGGCTAGGCCATTCATTTGTGTGTATATAGAGTAGCTATCCCCATCTACAGGTGCTCTTCACCTGTAGATTCTAAGTTAAATACAATTGCTGGTCTATAAACACCCTTTTGGTGTTACAACGGCTATCTTCTATGCCGCGTCACATGACTAAACCAAGGTAACGTGATTAAAGTCACGTTATGGACCGCTGAGGAACGCTGGCTGTCCAGGACCGCGCAGCGGTCCTGACTAGCCATAGGCATGAAGGTCTATATAATCAAGATAGATTCCCTTTGTATAGAGCTTCGTGCTCAAGATCAATCATTTAGTATACTCTACTATTAGTTACGAATTGCATATCATTATTGTCATTACTTCAAGTCCCTGCTTGACGCCTAGTTATAAACCTACTTCGAGAGCCTAGAGCACTTCCACGTGATCTAGACGGCAAACCTCGTAACATTTGGTCACAAATGATTATAATATATTGTTTACTGAAATTTGAAAGTTATATGAATTGGAAATTAATTTATCTTTTAATATTTTAAAATTTTGAATTTTGAATTTTGAATTTTTTTAAAAAGATATTAAATATTTAATATACTATATTTAACAATAAATAATTGATAATTTTGAGATATATTTATATTTCAGAATTTATTTATTAATATTTTATAAAGTAATCTAAATAAATCTAAATATCCAATATAAATTTTAGTTATATAATATTATAATTTGAATTTATAATCATTTTTTGAAATTGTTATTATTTCATTGATTTTGATAAGGATTAAAAAAGTGCTTACGGAATTTCTGCACCCACTGTTGTAATCCTTCATCAATTTGCAAGAAGATAAATTTAAATTTAAATTTCTGAATATTTGAATATTTGAATTTTTGTTCTCCGAACATACAAATCTTGTTCGGTAAAGACTAATGACTACAAATAAAATGGAAGACATTCCAAGTGAATCAGTGATCAATCGACCAGTATAAAACAAAGAAAGCGATATATACTCCCCCTAATGCTGCTTATATACCAAAAAAATGTATATGCATCCATATAGAAAACAACACCAAACGCCCCACTATGCCCTATAAACATCCAACCATCTTTCCTTCTCAAAACCCCATTCGCCCTCCTCATCTCAACCTATAACCATAAAACCTACACCACCTAGAACACCGGAAATAATAAGCGCCGTGACAAATCCCGCTCCGGCTCTATCTCCGCTAGTAACCGGTTTTTCGACGGTTCCGTCACTATTCGTACTAGTTCCACTTCCACCCGCGGCATTTCCTACACTAGTTCCACCGGTGTCATTGGTGACAAGATTGGGAGCCGTTCCGATGAGTGTTGCTTGAATTACACTGAGTGCACTCATTTGTTCTCCAACTCCATACTTTCCGTCGTAGGCACTTCCTGCGGTCCAATGCTCTCCACAGGCTCTTCCGCTACTTCCTCCAGAGCATTGTGCGGCTGCACCTTGGGCCGATGCATTGATGTATGTCATGATTGTTGGTTCGGTGAATGGGGCGATTTTAGTTGTTGCGGCCATCCAACGAGATAGGTAGGCTTTAAAGGATTGTTCATCAGTGTCGCAACCAACAGTGGTGGTTTCGCACGCTACTTCAAGCATAACATTGTTTTGGAAAAAGACGCTACTGGCGTTTAAGAGACCTTGTGTTCGATTTTGCCAAATTGATGATCCATTGGTCTATCAAGAATATGTTAGTAAGGCTGTATTGCTTATTTGATTGATGGTGAGGAAGAAGGGGGAGACGAACGTAATTGTACATCATGGCGGACCCCAAAAGATAAATACCAGCGTTGTAAGTCCACTGTATATGATCGATAGAGCTGCAATTATCAGTATCGGATGTACCATCATATACTTCATAACCGTCACCAATCAATCCAACACTTTGTTCCCAAGTAAAGATCCTTTCTGCCCATTCAGCATATGATGAGTTCCCTGTATATCTTGCCAACCTAGCTCCTAGGTTGAAGAAACAACCATTCGCAATACTGTTCTTGTAATTGTATCCAGAATTAAATGTAAAGATCTGCCATCTCAATCCACCTCCGCAGGTTGACTCATCCCATCTAGCTGCCATATCGTTGAAAACTGCTTGCGCCATCGCGACCCAACCAGGAGTTCCGTTGTCCGGATTGGTGAAATTAGTCTCCGCTGCTGTCATAGCAGCCATTCCCCAGAATCCCTGATCATCGTTTCCTTCTGTTTTTGTCTGATTTAAGGGCATGAAATCGTAATCGTTGCCAGCTTGATGTAGGAGTGCTTGTTTTACTTCTTCGTTGTAGGTTTCATCTCCCGTATAATACCAATAGTCGACCATTATGCCAAACATAGCTCCTGCCTCCCACCAATAATAAGGGTCAGGTAAGTTACCGGGGACATCTCCGGTTCTGTTTCCTGTATAATATTTCATCATGTCGTAGGCGACATCGGATGCGGCAGTTTTGATACTTTCTAATGACCATCATCTCATCAGCATATTGCTTATTACTTCAAGCAAGGAATGTGGAGAGAGGCATACCATCAGAGCTTAGATCAAGAGTGATCGCGCCCACCAAGCTACTGCATGTTGAACATATAGCGACAGTGTATGCCAAGGCTTTCCCTCCACTTACCCTCATCTTGGTCCTCTTGTGTAATTCGAACTTGACTATAGATACAATGTATAGCACTCTTCACTAGTAAGAAACCAAGAAAGAAAAGGATCGATAAACCCAGGATTTGCAAAAATAAAATCGGCCAAACGAGAGTATAGGATAAAATACGGCGAATCAATACAGTTCAAAAAGGAAAGCTTACCCTCCTACCATCAAGTTGAAAAGAAATGAAGACTGCTCTTCGAAAAATAGAAGAGAGAAGGAGACATGCTTCCTCCCATCGGCTCCATAACAACAAAACTTCTCCACTGTTCCGTACCTGACATACGAAGTACGACCTACGGCAAGTCCTCTTTGCCTTTTTTCCTTTTAATAGACCTTGCACCTCAGCCACATCGCAGGGGATTTCGAAACACTATTCTCAGAATCGTGTAGCCCCACCAGCGTTTTCTGGAAAAGAAACGAAAGGGAACACGGGAATAGCTGGACGGAGTAGGGGAAGACTGATTCCTGGTTCATACCAAATGAATAATGGATACGCATTGGCTTACGTGGTGGGTACGTCATCCTTGTTTGGTTCGCGTTTATTTGATGAGCTGGTGGCCCTCATCTCCCAGAGACATTCAAAAGTTTCTTCAACTTTCCCCATCGGGAATCAGAGTGTCAAGCTTCCAAACGTGCCACCTTTGATCTTGATATAAAATTCTCGAAGAGCAGTATCGAACGATGATAGAAGCCAAGCACTAGGTGTCTTGGATGGCGATGCTTAGTTGGGGATAAATTCTTGGGGCAATCCTCATCTTTCTCGAGAAGGGCTTGGAAAAAAGCTTGTCTCCACCCAAGTCCCGAAAAGGAGCCATCCGTTGCGGAGATTAGCGGCAAGGATAACCGGGATACGAGATGAGTGGCTGATCATGTGACTATTGAATCAAAGGGGCTAACCACTCAAAGCCGGTGATGATTGTTATTAATGAAAAGAGTTCCCAAGCTCAGACATGTTTACCCCATGGTACAGTAAGTCAGTTGTAGTTATATAAGTAGGTAGTTTGAGTCGCTGTGTTTGCCGTGGACGCCAACTGGATTTCCGATAGATCATCTCGTTTTTGCTGATCGCCCATGACCCACAACAACTTTGTCATCATTTCATCGATTCTGTGACTAGCTCTGTCTCTAGCTCTGTCTCCTGGTGTCGATTCTTCAAGAGCCGGAAAACTTTATCATCGATCTTCACATCTTTTGTGAGAGGCGACGACGTCCATTTATTTGGCAGCAATTCTGCAAAAACAATGATACCAAGAATGGAGATGTTTCGATTGACAAAGATGTAAGGACATCCGAATCAGCATGACGATGCTAATGCTTTGACTGGAAACAAATCAATGTCACACAAGACTACAATTGTTTTTAAGTAAAGTTGTCAATAGCTCTCTATTTTTTTACTTCCAATAAATCGAAAAGTCACCTGATGAGCACTTTCTTCATTCACAATGTTTAGTTTCTACACCTTCCAAGTCATGAAGCAAGCTAACAAGTCTGACAATGGGGCAATCATCCAAGCCAAGAAAGAGCACCTTGGTGGTTACACCAAACCACACCAAGCACTCACATCACATCACATTGTAAGCCAGTCTACCATTTATTTATGATTCACAATATATCTTGGACATCACGTTACAACCTTGTTGGCTCAATATTATCAAGGTACTTATATCTTTACAAGGCGAATAGATTTATCTTTACTTCGCATGCTTTTGGATTCTTTTGGATTTATTATCTCTATTGTACACTACTTCCTTTACTACTTTTCATCAATTGTTCAACCCTCTCTCTACGCCTTTCAAAGCAGAAATCATGAAGATCATCGATTCAACCACCGAGGCAGAAGAGAGACATGCAAAGTACCACCTCAGTAAACCTCTTGAGCTGCACACAGATGTCAAATTACGAATGATTTCCAAGTGGCCAAATCAAAGATTTGACATTGTGTTAAAGAAACATCATAGTCATAAGGATTATCATGGTGTCATTGAGCTTTTGCATGAGTTGGATCGATCTGAGCTGAGATCATTCTTGTGGAGAGGTCTGGCTTGCAGGAACCTGTCAGAGTATCGTGATATACAATATCCACAAATCGAGCGGAAACCCGAAACACAACTTACCACAGGCGGTCGAACATTTCCTTCATTCAAAAGATTACCAGCCGAACTTCGATTAGACATATGGGAATACATGTTCGCAGAAGATCTTGCCCCGAAAGTTCACCATTTGAACAATACCGACCGCAATACTGGAAAAATCACAGACTCAATCACATCACATCTCCCATTTTCAAACATTGTACAAGTCTGCAAGGAATCTCGAGAATGGTATCTCGCTCGAACACAAAATAGTTGGGCATTTGGGACGTACGTCAATTTTCGCAGCGACATCATATACCTTACCCAACAAGTTGAAGCGTCCAACATCCTTTACGATACTCTTCTATCAAGCCTTCAGATGACAAAAGTCCAAAATTTGGCATTGCGCCGAACATGCCTTACCGATAATCCTCAAAAAATCTTCAATCATATCGAAGCACACGCATATCTCCGTGAAAAGCTTCCATCCTTGGAAAACATTTACGTCGTCATAAATGAGATTCGAGATTCAAATACCATTGATAGAGATGACGACATCAAGTTTCAGCATCTCTCAGCAAGGCAAAAAAGAAAGTGGGTAGACGTAGGATATGCTAGATCATGGTTGAAATGGTTGAATGGGAGAATGATGGATAGGAGCTACAAGAGTGTGAATCATCATTTTGTTATGGTCGGTACTGAGTGCACGGATCCGCTATCTTCGGAATATGGAGAGATAACCTTCGAGAGGAGGATTCGTGATGGAACTCTCGAACTCTTTTGAATTAATGATAGAGGACATTTGTTATTGGCCTTTGATTCATGATTACGCCTAGGATGTTTTGGTCGGAGTTATTGCTGGAATCATTGCTGGAATCATTGTGAGGGATTGGGATTGGGCTAGGTATATAGATATGAGTTTGATCGTTTGGCTGCTTGGCTGCTTGCTTACTTATGGAGAAATATGATTTGTATTGCTGGATATCAGTGGGTATTGGAAGACTGGATGCAAGTTATGGATCTAATAGAGCTGATAGTGAAGAAGAGGTTAGAAGGGAAGGGCAAGCATGGTAGCCATCAATGAACATTACGCGGAGAAGTGTGCTCACGGCTGGTTTGAGAAATGCTTTCCATCGAGGCGTAGGTGTTATTATATATAGACGGCGCATGAGCTATCTACATGAATAGTCTCTCATATTCATAGATGAATTATAACTTTCGAAACACAGTTCATGCTCTCGTAAATTTGCCGTGCGGGACACAGCTGGATCCCTCATGTCATGATTCCTATCCTCCTTTATATAAGTTATTCAATATGATATGACATGGCATCTTAACTAATAAATCATACATTTCTACCCATTATCTAATTAATTACAACCCAGATTCGTTTCCCCTAGATATCCGAATAAAAATTATTCGGTAGATACTTACTCCTCTCACATTTTTAGCAAAATACTAATTAAGTCTAGTACCCTCATTATGCTTCTTTCTCATTCAACACCGTCTAAGTATAAATATTTATTAAATCTTAAAAACAATAATAAATAAAGCAAGGTTGAATAAAGTATATATTTATTATAAAAAGGATTTGATGTGTATATAGATAGATGGATAAATAAATAGATATAATTTGGGTTTTTGATTTTTGTAAATAAATAATATTGTAGTGTATGAATGAATGAATGAATAAATATAGATTTCTTTAAGTAACTAAATAATGGATTGAAGGATGAGTGGAAGGGAAGAGGAGAGGGGAGAGAGGGGGTGAGAGAGGGGAGGAGGGGAGGAGGGGAGGAGAGTGAGAGAGGGAGGAGAGTGAGAGAGGGAGGGAGTGAGAGAGGGAGGAGAGTGAGAGAGGGAGGAGAGTGAGAGAGGGGGTGAGAGAGTGAGGAAGAGGGGAATAGGGGAATAGGGGAATAAGAGAATAGGAGAGTAGAAGAGTAAGAAAAAAAAAGTAAGAGAGTAAAAAATGTTACGAGGTTTGCCGTCTAGATCACGTGGAAGTGCTCTAGGCTCTCGAGGTGGTTTATAACTAGGCGTCAAGCAGGGACTTAAGTAATGACAATAATGATATGCAATTCGTAACTAATAGTAGAGTATACTAAATGATTGATCTTGAGCACGAAGCTCTACAAATGGAAACCTATCCTTCTTATATAGGACTTCATACTCTACTATATTCCTTTGGATCTCTTGGATCTACTGGATCTAGAGTTTAACTTTCCAGATCCTCTAGATCTCCTAGATCCGTCACGTGATTTCAATCAGAACATATGTCTGTGCTTGCTGAAGGTGGAGAGACTCTATGAGTCAACTGCCATACAATTTTGTATGTGAATCGACTTGCTTTTCTACAATCGTGGACAGCCAACTTCCAAGCCAATCCCTATTTATAAATAAAGCGGATTCAATGAAAGAAGCATTGCCGATAAATTCTAACTTCATCTGAATATACTCGCTTCACGAACTAGTACTGGCGATCAACTATTCGAAAAATAGCCGGGCCCTCTATGTAATACAGTAGGTTTTGCACAGATGTATAATTGCCACAAAAGTCGTACCTAATGCCCACCAGGCGCTTTCCTTCTTTTTTCACTGGCCGTAGAAATGGTCGGTGTCTTGACAGATGCGGCAATATTCCAAACAAACCCTGAGGATCCAAACTAAAAAATTGTTGATTATTTTGCTGATTATCGTACAGATGCTGGTCCAGTAATATGTCGCTAATGTAGTTATGTAAAAAGGTCTTTGCTGGAAAGGAGACATTACCTACATCAAATTCGCTAAATTATGCTAATACTACCTTGATTGATTGTAGGTGTATCGAGGGTGTGTTACAAGTATGCCGCGGCTGTATTTCCCGAGTACAGCACCAGCACCAGCACCAGCACTCTGCACTGCGCTGCACTTTCACTGTGCCAGTCCGGCTTATTTTGCCCAGACGCAACAAGAAGTTGGTGTGGTAGATGGGTATATCGAGCGGGGAGGCTTGAAATTTGTGATTCCAGGGTTCATGGTTTTTTTTTTCATGGTTCATGGTTTTTTCGCTGACCGCAGATGTAGTCGACACAAGCCTAAGTTATAATTATGGAGAGTTGCATAGAAGTTCTGAGCTCTTCAAGCTCCTGATTGGTTGATTGCAGACTGTAAAAAATATGCAAGACAACTTCTATAGGAATAACGACAAACCCTGAAGGGCCAGAACTAGAACCTGAATGATTGTTTTGCTGGTCATCGTGCAGATGCTGAACCAGTAATACGCTTCGGAGGGATTGGTTCAATATCATATGACCACGGCAAAACCCCATTTCACTATCACCTCCATTACAACTTTTTTTATCTGTATATAAAGCAAAATAAGCATCACACCTCACAACAAAAAACACAATTTCCAAGCGGCTTTAGCTCACTTGGGAGAGCGCCAGACTGAAGTTCACTTCAGCCCATAAATCTGGAGGCACTGTGTTCGATCCACAGAAGCCGCATTCTGCGAGTTGAAGTCAACTTCAACTGATATTTATTTTTGCGATTTTTTTTCGTTTTGCTCTGTCTGTTTTTGTTTGGGAATTGTGTGGGTGATTTATTTGATCTTTGCTTTTGAGGTAACGGTGTAAGTTCGGGCAATTTTGGTTGGTGATTTTTTGTTTTGCCCCACATTGTCTGTCTGGTGTATTATTCAATATAAAATATGGTTTGAATGCCAGTGAGAGAGATTGTTATATTATAAATTCATTTGTATTTATTTACCTCTTATATCAAAACCCTACTCTAGTTCTCCCTCACTAACTCAATAAGGTTCCAAACAAGCCATTCAGCCCGGTGCTCTTTTTTACAAGTGAGCTCTCTCAAGTCAATAATTATTCATGGCTGTGTAACGATACTGTACTGGGGGCAGCGGCTGCCTAAGGTTTGTCGGTTGGTAGTTATGGGTTAAGGCTTTATCACTGGTATTCACTTGGAAGTGAAGTCGTTACTAGATCAAGTAGAATGTAGGTAAACTAATTGATAACTAAGTTGAGCACGAGGCTCCTATACTATCAAACTATTCTGACTATATACTGATTCCATTTCCTTTGGATAGTCTGGATAGTCGAGCTATCCAGACTATCCATCACGTGATCTGGTCCTGAAGGGGCTATTTGTCCCAGGACACTTATCTTGGGAACCCTTTCCTAGGACTTTGGCCTCAGGATTCAATAACTCCTAAGACCATTGTCTTAGCATAACATATTAGCCTAGGACACTTGTCCTATCATAACATGGCTGCCTAGGACGCTTTCGAACGATTCAATAGCATAGCTTTCCCCGAAAGAAAACCAAAATACAATTGCAATTACAAATAAAAATACGTAATAACATAGCCCTCACAGAAACAAAAACAAAACATGAATACCAAAAATCAAGGAAAGAAAAGAAAAACAAGCCATCTCAAAAGATTTTCTAGAAGGAAGTCTTAACAAGGTTACTTACTTAGTTCCCCGCACATCTAATTGTATCATTGGCATTGGTATTGTCGATCATTTCATCACATCCATCTATCTTATCACACCATATTTTCATCATAACAGACGCTGAAATTTGAATACTCACTTTTGAGAGCATCCTTCATCCCACTTTTTATATTTCTTGTATGTTGCGGAGTTGGAATTTGTAGATGTCATAATTTAATTCCAGGCTTTCTAGTACTCAGTTTAAGTTTATCTTTATTTTTGTCTGGTATGTATGTATGTATGTATGTATGTGTAGATTAGAATTGGATATGGTTGGGATAGGATAGGATAGGGTAGGGAGGTGCATTATGTACGTTTGAGTTTGGACCCTTAATTTATGTGGTTTTGTGATGGCGGGATTTATGGTGAGGTTGATAGGGATGGACTCGTCCTAGGAATCCTGGGTTCCTAATCATAGGCGATAAGGAACCCCTGGTAATCAGCAGCGAAAAACACCGATACTATATATGAAACTAAGCCAAAAATATAAAACCGAAAGTCACTGTCGTTCAGATTTCCAGAAACGGGTTCCGGCTCCGGGGTTTTTACATCTCTGTTTACAAATCTCATTCTTTTTTTATCATCCTTTCAATGCTGACACATCAAGACCCATTCACCACCCCTCATATCGACAGGACTCTTAAGAAGCTCTGCCAATCTCTTCTTGAATGCAATGGATGATTATGTGTATTTAGACTACTGTAAGCAGTATGATGAAGATTCTCACTTGGCCTCGTAACCTGATTTAACTTGCAAATACAGGCCCGTACAGGCTTAATTAGCTGCTCAGCATGATAGGACCCCTCAAAACTACCCACATTGAACGATACCTTCGATCAAGGTAGGCGCGATATTCTTTCTTCCTGGTTCATATGATGATTCAAATCGCCATAGATAGTTTTCAGCTTAAGAGTTTCTATATCTCGGCCTACCAATTCAATCCTCCCTTGCATTCTGCTATTCTATATATGCATTGCAACGAGGTATAATGCAGGGCTATGGCTGGGAATGAATGGTGCTCTGTGAGCCTCAATCTGGTTCATCGCGTCAAAGCACGCATCAGGAAGCGTCCGAAAAGACACCACTAGCGGACAGCCTGGCATAATCTCCAGGGTCTTACTGGTTCTCGCGTTGACTTCAACTCCACTTATCTAGCAGTGGGCAGGGGATTAAGATGCAAAGGTAGGAGTTCCAAGATCGAAAGGTAATGTAAAAGATGCAACGAGGAGAACCCTCTTATTGGAGGACAGTACTGTTGTGAGAGGATTCGGTGGGCTGTATCGCGCATCCAGCCAGCGCCGTGCTCATTCATCGGAATCGTTATTTTAACGTTGGAAATGAGCACGCTTGTTGCAACGAGGCAACTGAGTTAATGTTCTTGGACTTGGTCAAAATAAAATATCCCATACGAAAAAAATCCCCAGCGAAAGTTTCGCTCCGAGTTTATTGGGCAAGCATTTCTTTTCAGCTGTTGCAATTGCATAATTGATTTTTACTATAAATCTAAGATGTTTCCCCCCCTCAAGTCTGTAGTCCCTCTTCAGTTTGCTTCTTAGCTGGTGCATTACACTTAGCGTTTGGCTCCCAATCTTCAATCTTTATTAGAATATCAATACCTACATTCCATACCTACCAATAGGTCAACCCAGAAGTACTACATCATCAGCCCTTTTCCACACGGCAGATTCAACATGTCATCTACCAGCAAGGACTCTAACATGGCCGTGCATGGTGCTGTCACTTCCAAGTTAGTTCATACTCTTTCAAGCATTGTTCTCATTTTGTTACCAGTTGTATGAGCCACACACGCCGTGCCAGACTTGAGGCCTTTGCACTGGTTGTAGGTGTCAAGAATCAGGGACCGGCTCAGACTATGGTCTGTAGCCTTGCACTTGCTGGTCTTATCAGTCTATGCTATTGTCTCGACTTCAAGTGTTGCGGATATCCGTGGACATGCTGTAATTTTTCCTCTTTCCCAGCTTCCCAAGTTGTCTCTTCTTTCAGCATGCGTACTTCTTTGGATTACTTCAGTTCTTCATGCACCTTCGATTTTGATTCAACATCTCTCCGTCCTTTGCCACACAACTATCGCCATAACTCATTCACTTCTTGTAAAGGTTCTTTTTAATACATCATCAGTCTAACATTATCGCTCTTTTTAGTACAAAGAACTCTTCCTCTTCTACTTCACTTGAGTCTTGCTCGATCCATTCCACCACAACCGATCAATTATCTCTGTATGCATATAGAATTCAACAATATATTGCAGACGATGCCCACTATGTCCCATACAAATCTATTGCCAACGTTACACGTAACCCCCAGACTCAAGTCGCTACAGCAGCCGAAGCAGGATATCGAATGGGCATAAAATTGCAGGAGTTTGATGCAAAGTTCTACAGAGGCGGTGATGGTAGTGAGTAAATCTTGAGAAGAAGACACTCTCAATTTGCATCTCAATCCCGCTTGACAGGTGATCAGAGTAGTGGGGCTCTTGGGCATGCTGGCGAAGAGGGACGAAAGGATCAAAGTAGTAGGAGATGGGTACGAGATCCGGCTTGGAGCCTCGTTGGTGTTCGATTCATTTATAATAACCTTACTTTCGGATAATGACAATTTACGACATGAAATAATTGTCATGTTTAATGTCATTGCATGGCCTAGTAGGCTATATCCAGAATCACGTGTATAAACAAGAAGAACGGTATGCAATCAACCTATAACCGCGTCGTGCGCATATGTATATTTACTAAAAGTGACATATGCAATCACGAGAAGGCCGACTACAATGTTTCAACCAACCTCGTAGCCCTTCTGCTTTACATCATTCAAATAGAGTATTTGTACTATTTTCACCCGAATCGTGTAAAATCGTAAACTAGGTGCAAAACTCGAATTCTTACTAGACTGACGAGCATAGATTTAGGAATCTATTACCTCAACGACTCCGATCTCTATAGGCTATGAGTATCATTTTTATATGTCTTGTAACTATACTGGAACGCTGATGTGGTGGGAGCACCAACGATGGAGGGGTATGAATCAATATTATGGAGTCTGATATTGAGGCAGCTGATATTACATCAATAGGTTTAAATTATGATATTGTGTGTGTGTGTGTGTGTGTGTGTGTGCTATTACTTATATACGGAATCACTGGAATTTGGTATGTTTTTTGATGACTGTCGACTTCGCATAAATATAATTTCAATAATCAACATTGATTATTACAGGAGGAGTTCACCGAGCTCCACCAATTTTATATATAAACAAAAAGAAATGGTGTGCAAAAATGTATATGGTACGTAATTTATCAGTGATTACTTAGCGATATGAAATTCAATATCATCTGTTTCCATCGCTTTCCAATAATTAGAGGAATAGGCGTTATTACGTCGTTTACTATTCCCATCACTGGATGGCACTTGCATTAGTACTTTTAGAAAAATAGTCGAGAAATGTCCACTTAGAAATGCATATGGGTTAGCGTAGGAGCCCAGTCCTAGGTAACATTCAGCGGGTCACCTCCTATATATTTGGCGAGTAACATTTACCACTAGATAATATAATTTTTGATGCCTATTGCGACCTAACATCTTATTATTTCTCGCCTTGCATCTTCTGAATGACTATAAATCGACTTGTGGAAAGCTATGAAACTCACGACGTAATAAAGTGAATCACATTCATCGAATAACGTGCATTTAGAACGGCGAGAGTGGGTCTTTTTGCAAAGCCTAGTTTCCGATCATTCATGTGGGCAGTCTTCATGCGGAGATATTAGATAAAAGTCAGGTTTTGGAGGATTGAGCGAAAAATACAGCCCGTTGATTGAAATTCTTATACATTATATGACATTAATACTCTCTCAATATAAATCCATGAGATGAGTATAGTTCGTCGCATCACATTATAAAGTACATTTTAATTCCAACCTAAGCTTATCGCACGGTAACGTCCAGAGAAGTCGTTGCGAAGGAATGGACCAATACTGTAGTCATTTATTAGCCGCGCGCTTGAGATTCGTCTACAGCAGACAGGGAACTACACACTCTCATGAACTAGACCTTACAAATCGCAATAACTGAAAGGTACAGTTCGTTTTTGAATTCAGATATTGTAGGAGGCTCCCGAGGTATGAGACATAAGCCAGGAGAACCAATTCACTGTCGAACTCTAGTTCAGACATTGGAGAGCACCGACAGATAACTAAGCAGAAAGATATACAAACATTGAAAAATTCGAGAGCTGAAAAACTTTCATATGAAAGATTTGGACTAGCACTTGCTCAGTCATTTCTTAAGAAATCAGTATTGTGGTAGCATTTTCATCAGGTATGCAGACGTAATCGCCAATTGAATATTAGGGGCAAATTATCCATCATTTGTACATTCCCTCACCACAACGCCTTATCTAAACAAACATTATTTCAAATTTTGTAAAAGAAATTACACAGCGCCGAACTTTACGTGCTAAAACATTGCCCACCGTTTGCACTGACAACACTACCGGTCATCCATGCACTCTCTGGACTACAAACCATAGCAACAATGCCAGCGATTTCCTCAACATATGCCGGACGACCACCCCATTTCTTGCCCACTGCCTTGACTTCTTCCGTGTCCCACTCCCGTACACCCGACAATGGGATCAGAGGACTCCACTGTGCTTGCGCTGCAAGCACATCATCACTACATTGACGGAACATATCAGTGAGCACTGAACCAGGGTTGATAGTGTTGACGGTGGCGTGTTCAGCCAATTCTCTCGACCAGGTCCTTGTCATAGCCTCAAGCGCACCCTTTGTTCCGTTATAGAGCGTCAAATATGGAGTGCCGACCTTCTGTCCAATGCTGGAAACATTTACAATTCTTCCTGATCGATCTGTAGGTAGGTAGGGCTTGCATGCGCCTGTGAGCAAGATGGGTGCTAGTACGTTGGTCTCGTATGACTTGATAAAGTCCGCATGTGTAACGCTTTCAAGAGGGCCAATGCCTATCATAATAGCAGCGCAGTTGATTAGAATGTCGATTTGGAGCTTGTTGGTTTTGGTATTCGGAGGCATCTTTGATATACAAGCTTCGATGATGGAGGCACAACCTTCTGGTGTGGAGATATCAGATCGACATGGCACCGCGACTACGCCATGTTTCTTAGTAAGCTCTTCTGCGAGCTCAGCAGCAGAATTGTCTGATGCTTCGGTTAGATAGCTTATTAGGATGTTAGCACCCTTAGATGCAAGATTCCGAGCAATTCCAGCGCCAATGCCTAACAACAAGGTTAGTCAATACGTAAAAACTTTGGTATGATCATCAGTTCTTGTAACGTACTTCGTGCTGAACCCGTTACAATTGCAACCTTGCCAGCATGGACTCGATTAGTATCTGTGGATTGACCGTTGGAAGACATTTTGATTATCGGGGAGATCGCTAGAAAGATTCTTAGATGCAGAAGAGTTAATGCAAGTGAAACGTTGGGGTTTCTTAAGACAAGCAATGAGATACAGAGCAAATGAGAGATCCCTTTGGATAAGAGAGGAAAACGTCAACCCCCATGTTTGTATGTCAATGTGTGGAACTACCTTGTGAAACAGACAGTGGAGCAAAACGTTATTGAAAAGACGGATCTAATCGACACCAACATAGATTTGTCAGTTTTTGGAAATCATCTCCGGCTCGGAAGAAGGAAGCCGCAATTACTTATTATGCAGCCGGACAGTTCGAAATTCCCTGGGCTATAATAAGTCGATGGTAAGAAGGGAGAAACATTACAAAAATGACGCAGTTTGACCAATGACATTGATGACTTCCCAGCGTTCAGAGCTTCATACTCCCTGCAGCAAGGTTACACTAATATGCCAACAGTTGCACGGAATACAAAGACTTCTCCACAATAGAGAGTTTTTGGTCTGGAATTTCTCATCTCCTGTGGGTCATATTTTGTCATGAATCTAACCCTTCTTGGAATGCTAAGGATCTCGATGATTATTTACCTTTTCCATCTTGCTGTCATTCAAGGATTTGATCTGTAATTTAAGGTTTTCGATTGTTGAGAAATAAAGATAACTTCGGTCCAGGAACTCCTAACTCCATTATGATTTATTGGTATGATAGTTTTGTGAATCATAAATATAAGACTCATGGGAAATCTGGCAAAGATCAAAATAATTTTATCAAAATAATCGTGGGAAACTCTCTGATGGGGACCATAGGCCACAGGGTAGAAACAGAGATAGCTGTAACAGTAAGACAATGAGGTTATTCACGAGTGGTTGCACGTCTATGAGGCCATCAAAAGTCTGCGCAATTGACCGCCTTAAATGAAAAGGTTATCGCGGATAGAGATGAGATCGAAGATCACTATGGTGACGGCTTTATGGAGGGCCGTCGCTTGGGATGGCTGGTCGCACGTGCCTTAAGGCCACGTGAAAACAGTCCACAATAATTATAAATCTGATGTTTTGTTGGAAAAATTAAAAGTGGAATACCGGTAGCACTCCACAAATGACAGAAATGGATATTGCTCGTGCGGTCGCACATTATGAAACACTTTCCTATACAGGCTTAGATTTAGCTAGTAGGGCTATACGAAGGATCAAAGAGGTATAGATTCTGTGGAGCTATACTTTATCTAGTATAGCTCCTGAAGCACGTTGAATACCAGTTGATGAAGTGAAATTATGGGAACAATCGATTCCATTGGCCCGACTGACAAACCTCTAATGTGGACGCAATATAGAGTTCACAGATGAGGTTGGAGCTTAATAAGATAAGATTCTCTTGGAAAACCTTAGGCTGCCGATGCAAATTTGAAAGCTGCATTGGGTGCTCTAGCCTTCAGAAGTTACGCTAAGCTAATCAAGTTAAATGACTCGTAAACAGCGAGTAGTAGACGGACGTATTGCGAGCTCTGTCTTCAGCCTTCATTTATATACCTGGTATATAACATGAAATTTATACCCGTAAGTAGGCTTTAGTGCCTTTTGAGCAAATAAAATTGCCGGATGAGGACGAATGATAAAGCAGTAGTCCATGGCTCATTCAGGGCTTAAGCACCCGGTTACATTGACAGAATACCGGTACCGGTAGTTACTTCCCATCGTTCCATCAGAATCATACTAGCCTAAGGAAGAAATCAGGTGTTTTACGAACATCAAAATGAGATTGAGCCCCGTTGAACATCAAGGAGAAGCTCTCTGATAGGTCTTGGAGCTTAGTCAATGATAACCAGTTCACTCCACTTCGATCCGTTTTGTCTATATGCTGTGGGGCAAAGGGGCAGTGGGGCAGCAAGAAACAATGGAGGGTGGGACTAAGTTCCAATCTTAGCCGATTGCTGGAGGAAGAACACTCTCGAATTCCACGAACAGGGTCTTCCCTAAGCGAAGCGAGTCTTCGGTCCCTAGAATCGGAATAAACGTGGAAGATCAATGGGTCAAAAAGGTTCACCCCGGACTATAAGGAGAAAAAATATCCCTGGTCCACCCTCTACTTCGGGTACTCCTTCAGAATCTGAAGAGGTACATTATGTCGTTGTCCACAGGCTTAGCGATGCATCTCTTCACGAATAATACGCTGCCTTACAAATAAAGTCCACTAGATGCAAATATGGCTGACGCAGACGCTACTATCCTTCCTCTCGAAAGTTTCCCTCTAACAATATTCGTCGTATCACTCGTCGGTCTTTTCATCTCAACAATCACCATAGCAGTGAGAACGTATGTCAGAATCAAAGAAAATGCACTTGGGTGGGACGATAAGTTGATAGTCCTGGGATTGGTACGACCGTCTCTCCAACGTTTGTGTTACCATTGATATTAACCCTCATAGATGGTTTTCATCGTCGATGTCAGCCTAGCTTGCCATGGCACTCGAGTTGGCCTCGGCTCACACAACAGCAGACTAAACGCATACTTCGAGGTACAAGGAACGAAATACCTAATGCTCTGGATGATGCTGTACGTCTTAGGTCTCGCAATTATCAAGAGCTCCATTTGTGTGACGCTCTTGCGTATTGCTAGCTCACATAAGGTATATCGGTTTTTTGTGTTGGGCTTACTTACTCTCACCATCGCCACCTTCTTGGTGACTTTCATTGGGATTCTACTTTTATGTCGGCCTGTGGCTGCAAATTGGGATACGTCATTGTTAGCAGATGGAAAGGGGACATGTTCGGGTATGGGCACAATGATTGCATTGAGTTACACCTCAACAGCTTGTACCATTGTGACAGACATGGCTTGTGCGATATTCCCGGGCGTTATGCTATATAGGACTCAAATGCCATTGGGAAGGAAGATATCTGTGGGCTTGCTTCTGTCCTTTGCTTCTGTGTAAGCCCATTTCCCACCCCTACTTCTCTGATGTAGCTAACCAGAGTCTTTACCCAGTGCTTCGATATCCACCATGATCCGTTCACCGTACATCGAACACTATCGCACCCCAACAGACAACCTGCTTTGTAAGATATTCTGCAGACTTGCTTTTCTGATAACACTACTTACATCTCTCTAGACTATACTGGCTTCATCGTTCTCCTATCCAACATAGAAACCGCCATTGGCTGCGTAGCAAGCTCACTCCCAACGGTGGGTCGCTTTATTGTTCGCAACAGAGCTAAGAAAAGTTCCGCTTCGAGGTCGCAAGGCGCCAAGGACATTGTCACATATGGCAGTGCACCCATCAGTGGTCGACATAATGCCAAAGGTCGAGTGTTCCGCAATCCTACCGATACCGGCACGACATTTACCACAGTCCACGCGCATGGAGATGGAGATTGGAGCAGACTGCACGACGCTGATTCCGATCACATCCCGAATCTAGATGCTGAGCACGGGGTTGCCACTGATGATACTTATCAGGTGGAATTGTCAAAGTCGCCAAAACATACCCAGTCTGAATCTGTCAGGGAGCTAGCTCACGATGGCTCTTCGCATTAGGAAGAAGAAGCAATCCCTTTTTTGTTTTTTTCTTTCTGTTCTCTTATTCAACCGGAGCTTATACGGCCGTCATTTCGACGCAGAGTGTCCAATATTCTGGACTGTCGGAGTAAGTATGGAGATTCCTGCAGTATTTAAGCAGCTTCAACATGGGAAATTGGTAAATCTTTGGTTATAATTTAATACCCCCTTCTAATGTTATTTAAGCCGCCGATGTAGACAGAGTTTTATAGGTAGAGAGGCTACATGGGACAAGAATATTCTAAATATGGAAAGGTTATGATGAGATGACATCATGATTGTATTTTTAGTATCATCTTTATAATTCTTCTAAGAGGATAGGATAAATCTGCCTCTACAATGGTGGATATGATAGCTTTTTCACGGAATTTTCAGGATATCGGAGTTTCATTCTAGATTTGGGATAAATGGGAAGAAGGATAAGACGAGATTTTGAATTTACTGAATTCAATGTTTTTAATTTATCCAATGCTCCATACAAGTGATTGCCTCAAAGTCTTCAAGGACAAAGCCTCTTGTAGGATTAAATTCTCAACTCTTGGATACATTATTTAAAAATAGCGAAAATATCGATATCCGCCTAGTGTATGAGATGAGGAGATGGGACTACCATATAAATGTTACAAGGTTTGCCGCCGTCTAGATCATGTGGAAGTGCTCTAGGCTCTCGAGGTGGTTTATAACTAGGCGTCAAGCAGGGACTTAAAGTAATGACAATAATGCAATTCGTAACTAATAGTAGAGTATACTAAATGATTGATCTTGAGCACGAAGCTCTATACAAAGGAAATCCATCTTGATTATATAGACCTTCATGCCTATGGCTAGTCAGGACGGAGCAGCGGTCCCATAACGTGACTTTAATCACGTTACCTTGGTTTAGTCCATGTGACGCGGTGTGGAAGATAGCCGTCGTAACAATAAACTCAAGTAATCCGTTTAAGCCCCAAACCCTTTTGGGAATAAGGTTCTGGATATATCCTTCTAAATTGTTACGACGGATCTCACATACCTAACATCACGTGATTAGCATCATGTGATATGAGGATCCCAGTAGGCTCAGCTGTCCCAGTACAACTGGGACAACTGGGAGCACTGGGACGCATGCCACGATGGTCTATATAATCAAGATGGATTTCCTTTGTATAGAGCTTCGTGCTCAAGATCAATCATTTAGTATACTCTACTATTAGTTACGAATTGCATTATTGTCATTACTTTAAGTCCCTGCTTGACGCCTAGTTATAAACCACCTCGAGAGCCTAGAGCACTTCCACGTGATCTAGACGGCAAACCTCGTAACATAAATGCGAAAATGGGATTAGTTCAAAAATTAGAATTTCTGAAGTTTTATTCAAAATTTGTTTTTAATCTGTGACCAAAAGGGTGTTTATAGACCAGCAATTGTATTTAACTTAGAATCTACAGGTGAAGAGCACCTGTAGATGGGGATAGCTACTCTATATATACACAAATGAATGGCCTAGCCGCAATGGCTAGGCAAAAAGAAGTCATATTTATTCCTCCAATGATCTTACTTTACCGATAACCATTGATACCTAGTACTTGTCCGGATCTGATCCTCAGGTCACCTAAATCGCATACTAATCTCGAGTAATCGTATCATGTGTGGACATGGTTAATGTACCTGAGGTTTCTTATATAATAAAGGTGGGAGGAAAGCAGGGATTTCCGTCACATAATCTAATATATAAGTTTTATTTGATATTATTTTATATTTGTATTAAAAATATAATACAGATACATATTATTTTTGAATTTGAAAATTTAAAATTGAATTTAAAATTCTGATTTATTAAAACAGTATTTGAAAATACTTCCGAAGTCTATTCTAATAAATTAAGCTTTATTAATTCAAGGAATACACACGGACCACTTTTGTAGCCCGTTTTCGCATTCAAGAAATGAATTGATCGATGAAAATTTTTCGATCCACTTTACAAATTCCTTCACTCGGAAAGGGGAAATTGTAAATAACCTTATTCCCAAAAGGGATTGGGTTTAAACGATTTACGTGAGTTTATAGCGCATACTATTGTAGGACTTTCTTTTAGGTTATATGAACAAGACTTCGGCGTTACTCAGGCACTGGCAAGAGAATAGATTAGTATAGTCATGATGATCATTCAGCTAGATACTTTATACACTAATATTGTGTCTCTTCCCATGATAGCCTATTCTAGACTCCTAGAGCCTTGATTATTGATATTAGCTTGCTCTGGAATTAGCGAATAATTTAAAACGAATGTATTCTTAAGGGATATCTACATCTAATCTACACGCAATACCTCTAGATTTTGCGTAGAAGTATGATCTAAACCTAATTTTTTACCTTTCTTCTCTTGGTACATTCTATATCCACTCTTCTATTTCCACCTCCCTATGTCTATACCCTCTATTGCAATTATCCACTGACATCTTGAATTTCCAAACCAAGTCATCCTCGCCTAAATCAAAATTTCACTCTGCACTCTATCCTTAACACCAGCAGACACTCCCTCTTTAGCGCCTAACTCCCTCATAATCCACTCATACGCCGCCCACTGCGCTGCATTCACAATAAAGGCCCTCAAACTACATACTCCCAACCCTCTGAAAAAGACACCCATTCCTTCATTGCTATATGCAATTTTTGCTATTTCTAGCGCTCCTTTTCGTTTTTGCGGAGATCCCAGAAGAAGTGCTGATGTTTCTGAAACTGGTGTAGACGGGAGTATTTGCGCTTGAAGTCGTGTCTTCACCACATCAAGGGGGAAAATACTAGCCCATGTTATAACACCAGCTACACCACCGCAAAGGAGAATTTTGATTGCTTCGTCTCGAGAACTTGTGTCATTCTCCAGTCCGTGTGAGGCTAAAGGCTGAGAAAGAAAATAAGAAGAGTAAAGACGAGAAGACAATTCATAACTCCAGAAATAAAATCCGTATCCTATACTGTCCCTCAAAGCGGTAACCACACCTCCAAAGTACAAGCCTCTAACTCCGGTCGTAGATAAGATGGAACGAGCGATGGCCAGGGAAGAGAGAGGGAGACTGGACAGTTGAGTGCGGCATTTTATTAATTCAGTGGGGGTGGAAATAATGGAGGAACAAAGACCGCCAATCGTGCCGGCTATAAATGTCGAGGAGAGAGGTATGGACTCCGGGTGGTTTGGAGTGTAGGTAGGGTGGAGGAAAGAGAGGGTGCGGTTGTAGGTTACAAATAGGAGGGCATTAAGAGCACCAGTTGTGAGGATTGGGGCTGCGGTTCCGCGGACAAACGAGCTGGGGGTGGCAACCGCGGTGGTTGACGGACTTAAAGTGGCAGGGTTGAGACTTTGAGAGAGACCATTCGCACGTGATGATCTTGAGGCTTGAAGACGAACTTTGAGAAGATCGAGAGGATTGCCGATGATAATACTGATGGCACCACTGACGTAGCCAGCCCAGAAATCGGCGGACATTGTGCGATCTGTAAATGATGAGGAGGCTCGTAAAATTGCCTCGGATCAACGGGATGGTATGTCGGTTGAATTCTGTATGATGGAATCTCGACGGAGAGTAGATGACTTCCCGCCTTGAAGCTACACAGTAGTTTCTCTATTGAGCTCTCTGATTTCCCCCGCAAATACAATAAACCAATGTATTTTTTTCCTCCGCTAAGATCCAACTTTATCTATGCCGGAAAGCTAGCTATCATGGCTGGCGACTGATAGCAGATGTACCCTTTTGCTTTGAAGCAAGGTGTTCCCCTGGACTGCTTTAAATTTGAAAATGATTCAATTTGTTTTGCCTCGCTTTGCACATGCTTTCCTAAATCCTTAGAGGTCAAAGAAAACTGACCGGAAATGTGGATTGGCGGGGTTATTTTTTAGCGGGGGGATTAGCTCCCCGGAGCGGAACAACAACGTTGCCGAGGATAGATGGATCATAAGCCTAATGCCAGACTTGAGAGCTATAGAAAGATTCAAGGGACTATAAAAAGAACCTGTCAAAGTAAAAATTTCTGCGAAATACCCAGTGACTCGGTAACTAGCAGATTGTGAGATATAATTAACGAATAGATCAAGTCGTGAATACGAAATAGATACTTCTTACGCTAATTAATCCCTACAATCAATATTTATCAATTGAATACTGAACAACTAGACAAGGAATGTATTGATACATAACAAATTTATTGGCAAAGAAATCTCTCATTGCAGCTTCCGAATATAATTTATTATGAACATCGAATCCTAATTTCGATCTTCCACTATTGCGCAAGAAAATCATCCTTCCCTATCTATCAACAGACGCCACGCTTCTATACCTGTGCATAAACTACTTGAGCTTAACTCCAGCTTTCTCTGACCAGCCATTTGACGTAACCGGACAAGATGTAGGCCAAAGATATCCCAAGGGCAAGGAAGACTTTCCGAAACGCTGCAGCAGAATCCGATTTTCTGTTCTCTTCCAATCTAGAACACATAAGAATAAGCAAAAGGATACAATACCATATAAGAAATCGGAGAGTCAAGTGGGAAATCAAACCAACATTCCAGATTGTTCCAGAGTTCCTTTCGTGCCGACCTGTTCGTGGTTTCCGAACATCTAGACATTCATATGTCAACAAGGGTCAGGGGGAACAAAAAATGAGACACTGAAGCGGTAAAAGTGCATTCTGCTTCGTTGCCAGGCGGGAAAATGATGCACAAGAACTGCAATTGAAATCTTGCATCTGTACCTAGCAGGACGCTCCTTGTGGCGAGGCAACCCGGATGCTGTAGGCGCAGTTACCAGAATGCCCACAGCCGGAATGGCAACATGCATTCAAGAATGGAGCATCAAGAATGAAAATGCAGTGGATGATGGTGTTTGAATTACTGGTATCCATACGACCATCTAATATCGATGATGCACTTTCATCAATCTTGTGTAGAAAATTTTCAACACCAAAACAACTATAGAAACACGATGGATACAGGTTGCTTCCCTAGTGATTATGAATATTTTTAAAGATTGCAATGCCAAAGAACGGAGAATGATAAGATTTAAAGCTGCGACGCAGTCGACCCATGGATATTTCTATTTATTATCTTGTTTGTGGGACGGGACTTGACTAGAAGCAACTTGCAATTGGCCATCCTTTTCAGCCAAGAGAAGCAGCGAGGCATTTATGGCTTCTGTAGAAACTCCAAAAGTAAATCCGCCGCTAAGTTGACATCACGATGGAAAACTTTAGGAGTTTGGTGGAGTTTGCACAGACATTGAAATGAGGGGGAAGGAGCGGACCACGCGTATTTCAGCATTATCACGTGCTTTCGCGCATCTCGACGCGAATGTTACTCAACTTTCGTTCTCCACGCCACACCACATTGGAAAGATCAACAGTATCAAACGGCGACCAACCATTCGTTTGGAACAATAACATCTCGGGTGCTCAAAGGTGCCAAAATAACGAGGGAAAAAAGACAAGCAACGATTAATTAAAGGCATAATGATAACGCCACCGAGTGAGAACGAGAGTGTTGACGCGCAAACACACGTACAAACACCAATTCCTCTAGCCGGCAGGAAGAGGATTGGACTTGCAGGAACACCTCAATCAACGAATCGACTCAAACAACCTTTTCATATCACATCAGGCGAAGATAAGGAAAATGCTCCTCCTGCGACACAGAGAGGGCGATTATATGGCGGGACCCCTCAATCTGTTGACAAATTAGCTAAACCATTTCGATGTCCTGGTTCAGCAACGATAACTCGAGCCTCCGTGAAACCTGCTCGAAAGCGGCGAAAGGTTGATTATGGAGGTGCAGATGGTGAACAGGAAGATGGAGATAAACCCTGGACAAATGAGGATAGGTTGGCTCTCGCGAATAGAGATGCGAACAAGTTTCCTGTCTTCCAGGTTAAGGATAAGGATACTATGTTTAGGAAACGATTTTCGGTCCCATTGATAAATAAAGATGCAGGAGGATATAACCCTAAACGACCGCCACCAACACTTGGACTAAGACAGGGAGCGGTATTTATTGCGAAAGCTTTACATGATCCCAGTGGCGAGTTTGCGATTGTCCTCTACGACCCTACAATTGATGAAAAGCCGAGGAGTATAGAACAGGCCAAAAAGGAGGAAGATGCCAAGAAGGAAACGGAAGAGAAGGATGGTGAGCTTGACAAACCTGTACTCAAGCTTGACGCGCCATTGGCACATAAAAGTTTGGCAGAAATATTAGGAATAAAAAAGGTTGTTGAGGGCGAACGACCTAAAGTCCCGGTTGTGATTGATCCTCGACTAGCAAAAGTTTTGCGACCTCATCAAATTGAGGGTGTGAAATTTATGTACAGATGCGTTACTGGTATGGTGGACGACAGGGCGAACGGATGTATTATGGCAGATGAGATGGGTTTAGGAAAAACTTTACAATGCATTACTCTTATGTGGACATTGCTGAAGCAATCTACTGATGCTGGGAAACCTACTATCAACAAAGCTATTATTGCTTGTCCGTCGAGTTTAGTCAAGAATTGGGCAAATGAGCTAGTCAAGTGGTTGGGTCCCGATGCTATTCAACCATTCGCAATTGACGGCAAAGCTTCAAAGGAGGAACTCATCCAGCAATTACGACAGTGGGCTATAGCGAGTGGACGATCCATTACGAGGCCTGTTATTATTGTTTCTTATGAAACTTTACGACTTTACGTTGATGAGCTCAAGCATACTCAAATTGGACTGATGTTATGTGACGAAGGTCATCGTTTGAAGAATGGAGACAGTCAGACATTTGTAGCATTGAACAGTCTCAATGTTACTAGAAGGGTCATTTTATCAGGGACACCGATCCAAAATGATCTTACGGAATATTTCTCTCTTGTCAGCTTTGCCAACCCTGGTCTCTTGGGCACTCGAATGGAGTTCCGTAAAAAGTATGAATTGCCAATCCAACGTGGGCGAGATGCGGCTGGTAGCGATAAAGATCGGCAAAAGGGAGACGAATGTATCAAAGACCTTCTTAACGTCGTGAATAAATTCATCATTCGCCGGACGAACGATATTCTCTCTAAATATTTGCCTGTCAAATATGAGCATGTCGTATTCTGCAGTCTCGCACCTTTCCAACTTGATTTATACAATCATTTCATCACCAGCCCAGATATCAAAGCTCTCCTGCGAGGAAAAGGGAGTCAACCCTTGAAAGCCATTGGTATGCTCAAGAAACTTTGCAATCATCCCGATCTTTTAAATCTTTCCGATGACCTTCCAGGTTGCGAAAAGTATTGGCCCGAAGACTACGTTCCTAAAGATGGACGTGGCCGTGATCGTGATATCAAACCTTGGTACTCAGGGAAAATGCAAGTCCTGGATCGCATGCTAGCGCGCATCCGTCAAGATACCAATGACAAAATCGTGTTAATTTCCAATTACACACAAACTTTAGACATGTTCGATAAATTGTGTCGAAACAGAGGCTACGGATCCTTACGTCTCGACGGCACCATGAACGTAACCAAGCGTCAAAAGCTCGTCGATAAGTTCAACGATCCCGATGGTCAAGAGTTCGTCTTCTTGCTAAGTAGTAAAGCTGGTGGATGCGGACTCAATCTAATTGGAGCCAATCGTCTCGTCCTCTTTGATCCCGATTGGAACCCTGCTGCTGATCAGCAAGCCCTTGCTCGAGTATGGCGTGATGGGCAAAAGAAAGATTGTTTCGTATACCGCTTTATTGCCACTGGTACCATTGAAGAAAAGATCTTCCAACGTCAATCTCACAAACAATCTCTTTCATCTTGTGTTGTCGATTCTGCGGAAGATGTTGAGAGACATTTTAGTTTGGATTCGCTGAGGGAATTGTTTCAATATAGGAAGGATACAACGAGTGATACTCATGATACTTTTAAATGTAAAAGGTGTAAACCGGATGGAAAACAGTTTTTGAAGGCCCAAGCCATGATGTATGGTGATACGAGTACGTGGAATCATTTTGTTAATAGTGGATTGGGGACGATACAGGATTTGTTATTGAGGCAGGAGTGTGGAGATGAGAATGTTAGTGCGGTGTTTCAATATATTAGTCATTAAAAGGAAGGGGAAGTTTGGGAGGAGGGTCAGGAGAAGCTATATCCGTTTGGTTTTTGATGCATGGAATTGGAGCATTACTGCGTTTTGTAATCTTCTATTTCGTTTGGGGATTAAATGTTGGGAGTTAGGAATTAGGCTCCTCTTGGGAGTTCCCTCAAGCGGGAGTTTTGGCATGGTAATTACAGAAGCGATTTTATGATATAGAAAGATGTTGTTTGATTTTGATTCTCATTTTGATTTTCTTTTTAGATTGTCCATTCATGTATTGAAGCACATGTATATCCAAATAAGACACGATCTCACTCCGGCTCTGTAGCATCTTCTGTTTCATAACCGTATCCTATCGTCATACCGCAACTACTACAGTAATTATTTTCACAAGAAGAGGTAATGTTACAAAAATTTTCTTATCTAGTATACCACAGGTTTCACGAAACCTTAATTATTGAGATCTATCGTATTTCTCCCATCGTACCTTCAAATACCTAGGTACATCCAGGTATGATTATAAATATGATATCGCATTATAATACATAGACCTCAAATAGGGTATTTTCTACATCCTTAAATCGGATGTACTAACACTATGTTTCTATTCAAGGACCTGATCTTAATCAGAATCTCAATCGATATTCCGATTTGAATGCTTTACCCACTATTCAACGCACTCAATCTCTAACCTTCACCCCCAATACATACTATTCAACCATGCTATTCAACCATTCCTTATGATTAACTGTATTCAATAACCACTCACTCACTCTCTCACCCTTCCTCTCACCCTTCCTCTCACCCTTCCTCTCACTCTTCCTCCACCATCAAAAAATACATATAAATACATATAAATACACCTCCACACTCACAATCACAACCTTAACCTTAATTGCACATCTATATCTCCACCCCTACTATCGAAAAGATACATAGGTACATAGATACCGTACCCTTTCCCTTTTCCCTTTTCCCTTTTACCCTTTCCTCCGTTTCTTCCACAAACATGAATACAAACAAAAACACAAATACAATATCTCACAGGCGTAATAAATCTCCTTTCCCCCATTTTTCATCTCATCCTATTATTTCACCACTCCCTATCTTTAATACTTAATCCTATAAAAATCCTAGGAAAATTTTGCTGATAATTTATTTATTAATTTATAAATCTCTCATTTATATTCTACTAATACTCAACTACTATTTAATACCCAACACCCATCCTACTCAATCCCTCTCTAAGCTAACAACTTATAACTGTATAGAAAGCCTTTATGTACTAGGTCAATACACCTCTTCAAACTTTTCTTCCCTATAACCCCGCCCCAAAGTCAACATACCTTTCCCCCCCCTTCTGCCTTTCCCCCCCCAAATCATCAAGAAAGAATAATAACACCCCTACAATATACACTATACCCATCCTTCTCCATCCCCTCCTCTCCC